TTGACCAAAATACCACTCGGCATACATATTGTACCGAGTATCCCGAGGGAAGAAGCTAATAAGATCGAAGACTTCATTGACCACACCGGGATTCTCTTTGGTAAGACTGAGCGCAGGGACCAATAATCGTTTGCAGAGGTCTAGCCAGCGAGCCCTATTGTCCGCAGAATCATCCTTGACAAGACTGTCCTTACCGATTCTTGCCAATTTTGTTAAAAGGCTGGGGTCTTGCCCAATCTTATGACCGGAGAGGTTTAGGAAAGACTCGCAGAGTGCGAATACGTCGTCGACAGACTGGCAGATTGGAACATTGTCAGACCAGTCATCCCAGTAGAACCTGTAATCTGTTCCGTCGTTCGTATCTTCTTTATCAAGCTGCGCCCATCGCAGTACCCGTCGGGCTGGCGCCGGTGCTAATCTGATTTGACCCTTCGGTACACCCGCCTGATCATGACTCAGTATTTGCTTCTGTTCTCGAAGCTCGTCGATTGGTGGTAGTGGGCGCACGGACGCGTAAACCTTGCTCAGACAATGATGGAGTATCCGGTGAATGAACTCAGGGAGCTCAGGGTAAACATCCATGAGCCAGGGGAATTTGCTCAGGATAAAGAGAGATTCGGGGATGGCACCAATCGCAAGTAGACTCTTCAACAGAAGAACCTTTTGATCCGAAGGCTCCGGCAATTCGTTCTCCGCTTTTGCGGCAGATTTCTCGGCCTCTTGGTCTTTCCCTGGGGTCGATGATCGAGCCTCCGACTCGCGAAGACGGGGAATAGGTAATGTGTCATCTGAGAGCGCACCGGCAGCCATAAGAGCGTTGACTCCACCGCCAGGGCGCGCTGCTCTCTCCCTCTCTGCCTTTTCCTTCAACTTCTCCTCCTTCAAAACATCCATCGTATCGTCAGGTCGCCAGAGGTGAGGGTATAGATCACGGAGAGAGATGAAGCCAACCTTGATCAATAGGGCCGCGAGATAGATAAGGTTATCTGGCAGCACATCTGACTTTGCCCGGGCTGGGGATGAGTAGAATCGGAGTTTGAAGCCAAGAAGCTGTGCAGCTACCCGGCTTCCCTTGGGTGGCATCGTACCTGTTTCTTGAATCCATCTACGGGTATCAGCCTCCTCAGAGGTGAAATTATTAGACTCAGGTAGCAACATGTTGAGCTCCTCTTCTGAGACGGGCCTCCGGTCTATCTCAAAGAAAGCTCGGATCTTAACTTCCCGAACCCGAGCCCAGAATTCACGGTCTCGTTGAGAATTTGCCTCCGTAGCTGCTGCACGTTCCTCGTCGGTTGTCTGCCACCCGGGCGACCCTGGTAGGGCCCAATTTGGGAGACCCGATTCGCGCGCCTTCGTATCACTGACGTACCCCTCCTCTTTGGGCCACCAGGAACTTGCTCGTAGGAGCTTCACGAAGAAACGATATTGCTTGACCAGTACGGCGGCAAAGACATCCAGAGTCACATCCAGAACACGACCGACATCCATATCAAAAGCACCGATCATCGCTTTGACCCTTTCGAATGTATCCTCAACAACCTCGCTAGTAGGTGGTTCATTGTTGCTCGTCGTGAAGAGTTCGGTTAAAAGCTTGGAGTATCCTTCGGATTCCTCACGCAACAAGTTATAGTTTGACTGTCGGTAAAGGAGATTGGTCTGTTTCCGGATACCCATGCGAGCGAACGTGTCACGGACAAGGCCGAGCGACTGAAGGAGGGGTGTTTCGAGGTGGAGGCGCATTAGCGCAGGGCTAATCCCGGTTGAAAATACTAAAGGTTTCAAAGCATAATGTGTGGTATCGAAGTCGGTCACGATCGACAAGGTGTCAAGGAAAAGGGCGCGAGTATCAAGACAGGAAGTTGGCTGCTCCCGGGTATCCATGTCAACATCATCAGTAGAGGCCTCTTCTCCAATGATATCTTTGATAGCCGCTCCAGTTTCTTCGGCCGACAACCGTTCATCAAGCGCGCATCGAATCAGTTCTTGGTAGATAGATGTGAGCACCACAATGTCCTGTTTATTCCTTGCCTGCATCCCGCTCTCAACAATCGCCTGTCTCCCACTTGCCGTCCAGTTTTCCTTCGTGTCGTCGGTGATGTATTCATATCGGTAAGGCGGTAACGGCTTCTTTGGAGGTTGCGCTGGGATAGCCGGCGACATACGCGATTGTGGTGTTGGAGTTGGCTGGGTTTGAGGCTGAGAATGCGATGGCTGCTGTGGCGACTGCGCCGGGGCGGCGGCGGGCGCAGGAGACTGGGAGGACTGTGACTGAGATGGGGCCGGGGTTGTGCCGTTCGTTTTGCCTTGGTCAGACGCATCTTTCCCAACAGGCCCCGGAGGAGACATTGCGCCGTCCTTTCGGCCACCCGTAAAATTTTGACCATCGTTACTCGATCCGCGGCCAGAGTTCTGCCGTCCACCACGGCTCGGTTGCCTACGTAGTCGTCCGCGTCCGTCTGAAAAATCACGAGACTGAGGAGACTGCGAGCCGTGATTGTGTTGCGCCATGTTGAGATTCCCGGGGCGATGGGGCGAAGGCCGTTGACCGTCGTTGTTCGAGTCAGAGGACCATGACCTCTCGACTTTCTTCCTCTTGCCTCCGGCACCTGGAGCCATGGCAGCTTCTTACAAAGCTAATGGTCAGGTAGAGAACCGGTGTGTTTCCGACAAACTGCAAGTCATTGGGCGATCCTATGTCCTGGTGTTAAGAGGAATATTAGCTCTCCTGGCGGGCGGGCAAGGGGGGCAAACGCGTGAAATAGGACCGAAAATTACGATCGTGGGGAAAATTTACCTGCAGAGGTGGAAATTGATACCTAGGTAGATATCATGCGGGATGAAAAAGCCGCGACGCCTTGGAAAATGTCGGGAATTGGCTGGCGAGGACCAGACGTAATAATCCTGACAGCACCTGGGAAGCGCGCTAATAAAGAAGATTCCGCTTGGCGCGATTAAACCGCCTAGCGCGGCTATATGGACACCTTACACTAGCCTTGGTTCCCGACGCCCCCATCTACTGCAAACTCCACAACAAGATACCACTAATAAAGTTGATCAACTATCTTTCCTTCGTTATTCAGATTACAATCTGTTTATGTTATTCTCATTAGCATTAGTCTCCCAATATGCCTGTGCAAACCCCCTCAGGCCAACCCCAGGTCCTTGGCTTCAATATCGACAATCGACGGAATGAGCCCCAGCAAACTAGGCCTGCGAGGTGACCAACCCAGCAGCTTCTTTCCGCGGTATGACCAGCCCCTTGAGCTGCTTCCCCAAGCATAGAGCCCAAATGCATTCAGCTCCGTTACCTGCGCATCACTGATGGGCTCAACCTCAGCCGTGGGGATGAGTTTCTTCTCATAGGCTGTCTTAGCAACAGCTCTTTGAACATCTCCCCAAACAAAGGCGCCGTTCTCAGCCAAGTAGTACCCCTTGTCATTCCAGGTGGCCTTGCCACCCCCAGCAGCCGCTGCATCTCCCAAGAGGCGGTAGAGGTCACCCAAGTCCTGGACGTGGATCTGATGCCAGACGTTCTTTCCTTCACCAACTAGGAACCCCTTCTTCCTCTTCAGGACGGCAGCAGTAAGCCAGTATGCCTGGACACTCTTCTGGTTTCCGGGTCCACGGCCGGGACCGTAAATCGTGGGAGGGCACACAATAGCCACCTTGACACTGTCGGGTGAGCGTTGCCCAGCCTCAATTATGATCTTGTCCACGTTTCGGTGTAGAGAGTCTTCAGGGAGATTCAACAATTCGTCGACACCTTCCCAGTCATCATGCTGCTTGGCTCTTTCAAACCCCCATGTGTTCGTACGGAAGTCCTCAACGGTCAGGATACCGGTTCCCGATGTATGGATCAACCACAGGGGCTTTTCAGCAGTATGGTGCGCTGCGCCTTTGGCGATGGCAACGGCAGATTCAACATGATCACAATCAGCGCAGTCTAGTAAAATCCGATGTTAGCAACACATATTCAGGTGGGATCAATGGTAGCCAGATAGGTTATAGACGCACGGAATACAATATCTGCGTTCTTGGTCTCCTCCTCAATTACAGCGGAAGAGTCCAAATCTCCTAGGACAACTCTCGCGTTAGAGTATTCGCCAGACAACTTGGCCGCCTTGTCCTTGTTACGGACGAGGACAGAAACCTGCCAGTCGGGGTGGGCTTCGGATACTGCGTAGAGCACATCACCGCCGATGTATCCAGTTGCTCCAGTACTGTTGAACCAATCAGTGAACTGGAAGACTTATTTGCGAGCCAGGTTACCTACAGAAATATTTTTAGAGGCGCCATGGCAAATGTTAATATGTTAAAGATCAGTGACAGTATGGGTTGCGTAAAGATGTGAGTAGTCGTGAGAGGTGTAGGTGGGGTGAAAGACCATGCGAGGGTGGGAATCATCCACGGCGGAAGAGGTCAGTATAAAAAGCTTGGAGCTCTGCCATTGCATCATTCATTGGGTGCTTTGAAATCAAAGAGTGGGAAGACTGAAGAGTGGGGTGTGGGGTTGGCGAAGGTGGTGGAACAATACATAAACAACAAGCATGCGACAACCAATACATGTCGGGGATATCCTTTTTTTTCTAATAAGAAAAGAGAGCTGGGACATGGCTCCAGACCTCTCGGGGTATCCTAAAGATCGCGAAATCAAAGTCTATCTAATCTGATCGAGCCGGGGCTACAAGGTCGTTTCCGTCGTTTGATAGCTCCCCACTTATGCAGGCTGGACCCGGAGCAACATTCCCTGATCGACCTCAAAACTCTTCGGCCTATCGGGAAATTGGCCATCGGTAGAAGCCGGATATGCGATTATAAAGAGCTCGCTTCAAAGTCAATAGGCGAAAGCACTAGGTACATGGAAGCAGTAATACTTGGCACGCGTTCAATTGCGGTGTTAGGAGTACGCCAACACGGAAATCATTGTCGAGGGGAATCTCGTCGAGAAAGCACACTCATAATTTACAAAGGCAAAAAGATTAACATCATGCTAGGGGCAATCAAAAGGTGCTGCCGGCTAGTCTGCTAGCGGCATTTCGGGCGTCAAGCCGGTCATCATCGTCTTCAACAATGGAATCGACGCCGCTAGGTGAGCGTAAACGTCCCTTGGCTCCTTGGCCGTTCGCCTCCTCCTCTTCTTCAGGAGCAGGGGCCACAAAACTGCCGCTTAGACTACGTCCAGCACTATCAGTACGACGTGGAACCCCACTCCATGCGTCACCTCTGGGGCCTTGGCTCGAGGCGAGGTTTGCGCGTCGCACGGCGGGGTGGCTTTCACGTCCCAGGCGACTGAGACCACCAGATGCGTCGATTGCGCGAATATCAGCCCGTACACTCTCCAAAGTGGCAAGTGTTCTGCGCTCAGTCTCAATCTGCCGCAGCGTGTATTCTCGCAGGCTCAACCATACATCATTGGACGTCCGTTCAACCCAGCGGCGCTTCTCCGTCAAAAGGTGAGACGTCACTCTTTGGGTCTTTTTGGTTAGATATTCTTCATGGTTCTGGGCCTCATCGAGCGCATTTATGGCTTCGTCCACCTTGTCCGGGCGAACAGATGAGCTAACCTTCAGTCGATCTGCCGCTGCGCGTTTACTGCGAGTGGCCTGCTGAGCCTGAAGGAGTTCTCGAAGGAGGATATGGCGGTTAGTGAGGGTCTCTTTGACAATGAATGCATCGGATGAATGATAACTGAGCGGTTCCCCAAGAGTCGTTGCCTCCGCAGTTGCTTGGACCGCGTGGTAGTCTCCAACGTTTTGGATGACTTTCCCTAGCTTGCGATAAGCATTGGAAAGGCCGGGATGCGTCTCCTGGACATGCATCTGCCCAATTTTCACACCAAATTCTGACTCTGCAAGACCCAGGCCTAAAAAAAAAAAAGGTATCATAATTAGAACATAATCAATGAAGTGAGTGTAAGGGATGCAACGTACCTCGTCGAGCCCTGACTATACGATCAACTTTATGGCCCGAATCCATGCTTCCAAGGTAAAACATCTTAACGACGGGGCGTGCATTCTGCAGCTCCGGTGTATCATCAGGTGGTGGTGCGAACTGCTTCAGATACTTTCTTCGAACACCTGTTGCCGGTTGCTTCATGCGCACGACGGGACTGTAGCCGAAATCGCTTTCGACGAACAAGATAATCTCGTCATCCTGAATAAGGACCTCGTTGGTCAAGATACAGTTCAGCCATCGCTGCATGGACGCTTTCACGCGAAATTCGTCCTCATCGGTCCCTGCTCCGGCGGGCGTCAGAGGCGGGGGTACAGCAGGAACAAGTGCTTCCGGGTTAGCCGACATAAGGTGCTCGGCAAGCTTGACAAACTCGGCATGGGTTCGCCTAACATCGCGATATTGAGTAGTTCTAAATTTAGGGATATTGGTCTGATGACGCAGTGAGCAACGGGGAGATCAATGCCGCGGCGACCAGAGGATTCTACTCACATGAACATCAAATCGAAGAATAGGATCCTTTTTACCAGTTCTTTCTAGTCCGGTTATCTTTGCCTGGATTTTGTACACTGGGCCCGGTTGTTTTGTATTCTGCCTAGCTCCCTGATACCGTGCGGGGACCTGCGACCGGGCTTGCTGTTCCCCAGGTTGACCGGTCTCACTTATGTGTGTATTCTGCACTTGCTCGGATAAACTTGATGAGCCAATGTTCCCTTCACCAGGTGCCCTCGATTCATCCGCTTCTGCGATCTGCGAGCTTCCGTCCGCTTCGTACGGAGACTGGTGCTGCGGGGGTAACGGTGAGGATGGGATATCGCTGGTGCTTGATGGAGGATAAGCCGGTTCTGTAGCTCGAGGCGAAGCCCAGGGGGAGGCGCCCACGGGGTCTTGCGAAATGCTAGAGTAATCCATATCTGTATCCCGTTTGTGTGTGATGTAGGAGGTAAGAGGTATGCCACGGATAGGGCCACGTCTGCATCAGCAATGGCAGTCATCAGCAAGGAATTTCCGGATAAGGCCCATGTTAAGATTCAATTTCACGTACCGTGAAGCCCCTCGAATGAAAATTGAGGCAAGGATGTAGGGGTGGAGGGAAAAGGTGGTGAGATGCACAAGAGGAGATCATGGAGAGCGACCGGGGGAGTTACGTCGTTGCTGCCTGCAAGGCCTGATTGGTCAGGCATATGACAGCTCCGCGTCCGACGAGAACCTCGACCTTCGCCATTTCTCTACCTCCACACCTCAATTTCGACTTTTCAGGCTTCAAGTCTGCCTACAAGTCTCGCAAAAAGGATGCAGCGGTAATACGGCCTAACGACTTCTCAGCCCTCCTCCGACAACCGCTGGAGACATGGCATCAACTCTACTTTTGCGCGGCAACCGGGCCGGCCGAGCTGCTCGATATTTCGGCCGTTCTCGAGCTAGGTGCGGCGCGATTGAATCAGTACCCAATTTGCTCTCCGAAGGACCGAAACACCCCAGTCTACGAAGCTTTTCCACGTTTAAACCACTATGCCAACCCGACCTCGACCAAACCCGGAATATCGGCATCATAGCACACATTGATGCGGGGAAGACGACAACCACAGAGCGCATGCTCTATTACAGTGGGTTCACGAGGCGGATAGGAGATGTAGATGAAGGGTCTACAGTGACGGACTTCCTACCTGCAGAACGTGCCCGCGGCATTACCATCCAGTCCGCCGCGATCACCTTCCACTGGCCACCTGGAGAGAGCACCGGTGCTACTACGCGAGACCCGCAAGTCCCTAGATCTGCGTCGCCACATTTAGTGAACCTGATTGATACGCCAGGGCATGCAGACTTTACGTTTGAGGTCTTGCGGTCATTACGCATTCTTGATGGTGCAGTGTGTATTTTGGATGGTGTGGCAGGTGTAGAAGCGCAAACCGAACAGGTTTGGCACCAGGCAAGCACCTATAACATCCCGCGGATTGTATACGTGAACAAATTAGACAGGGACGGCGCAGCTTTTGGCAGAACGGTACGAGAAGTCGCTTCTCGGCTGAAAGGGTGGCCCGCCGTTTGCCAAATTCCGTGGTTTGAAGGAGGCAATGGAAGTTTTGTTGGGGTTGCCGATGCCATCAACCTACGAGGACTCCGGTGGGATGGGGGCGATGGGAAAACAGTGAAAAGATACAACCTTCATGAATTGGATGACGCCGAGGAAAGACTTGCGCAGGAGCTCCGGCGCGCGCGAGTAGCGCTAGTCGAGCTGCTAAGTGAACATGACGAAACCATTGTCGAGAAATTCTTCGAATGCGAAGAAGACCACCTCTCTGTTTCTCCCGGTGACATTTTGGATAGCCTACGTCGGTGTCTCTTGGACGGAAAGGGGAGGAAAATCATCCCAGTGTTTGCTGGCGCCAGTTTCCGCAACATCGGCGTGCAACCATTGCTTGACAGCGTTGTTGATCTCCTCCCTAGTCCCGAGGAGACTCCTGATCCAGAAGTAGCCATTGGTGGCGTCAAAGGTGGCCTGAGGCGCTTACTGTCAGGAGATCTGCTTGTGGAGCAGAAGGAAAAGGCGACCCAGGCAAAGGGCAAGCAAAAGAAGACATCTGCCGTAGTAGCTGACAGTCGCGGTGCCATTAAACAGTTACATGGCTGTGGTTTGGCATTTAAGGTGGTCAACGACGCGAAGCGAGGAGTCCTTGTATACGTTCGAGTCTACTCTGGTTCCTTGGACCGAGGCAGTCTTTTATTCAACACCAACTTAAACCTTTCGGAGCGTGCACCTCGGTTGCTCAAAATGTACGCTAACGATGCAGTTGAGGTTGACTCTATCGCCGAGGGCCAGATCGGGGTTGTGGTTGGCCTCAAGCATGCCCGTACCGGCGATACACTCGTGGCTTGCAGCACCAATAAACCAACTCCTCCTGAGCCTTTGAACACTCTTCAATTACGCCCTATCAACGTTCCACCGCCTGTCTTCTTTGCCAGCGTCGAACCACACAGTCTAAGCGAAGAGAAGAGAATGCACGAGTCGCTGGCATTGCTCCTGCGTGAAGACCCCAGTCTCCATGTCAATATCGACGAGGACTCCGGACAGACGCTTTTGAGCGGAATGGGAGAACTTCATCTTGAAATCGCCCGCGACCGGCTCATCAACGACCTCAAAGCCAAGGCATCTATGGGGCCCATCGAAATCGGGTATCGCGAATGTCCTCTAGGAACTTCTGGTCCTGTCACAAAAATCTTTGACAAAGAGATTGCAGGTCGCAAGGGCAAAGCCGGCTGTACCGCGCTGGTCGAGGCGTTCGACCCAGAGGCCTCCCCAGCCCAAGATGAAGATGTCCTCTCCGTCGAAACGGCACACGGCAACCAAATTGTCATCCTTGCTCCAGAACTACAGGTCGAAACCAACAAAAAGGGCATCGAAGAAAGCCCCATCCTCCCGCCAGGCTTGGACGTCGATTCCGTCCGCACGGCACTTCAGAACGGCTGTCTTGCAGCCCTTGCCCGTGGGCCCCAATTCACCTTCCCCATGCACAGCACCCGCATCACTCTCTCCCTCAATCCAGCAGCCCATATATTTGGCAGCGACACCACAGCTGCGTCCCTCTCCGCCGCTGCCCGCCTAGCAACCTCCACAGCCCTGTCTAACCTTCTCTCCAATCCTGCTGGCGCCGCAGCCTCCCCAGGCACATCCCTCATGGAGCCTCTCATGAACGTAATCATCAGTATTGATGAAGCCAGCCTAGGAGCTGTTGTCCACGACATTTCATCCTCGCGCGGCGGCCACATCGTCTCCCTAGATGAGGAAGTCCCCATCACTTCAACGAACCTCTCCACCCCCAACGAAAAAATAGATACCGACCTTCCTCCCATCGACCCAAGCAAGGTCTACGCACCACCCGACCCATTCCAATCTTCCACCGTTGTCGACGCGTCATTAGGCTCTGACTCGGTCAATCGACCTCGCATGATCACGGCAAAAGTACCCCTAAAAGAGATGGTGGGGTATCTCAAGCATCTAAGGAGCTTGAGTGCTGGACGAGGGACGTTCGTTATGAGCGTTGATCGATTTGAAAAAATGAGTCCGCCTAGACAGAAGGCTGTGCTGACGGAGTTGAGAGGTGGTTATTAGTCTCAATGATTCTGACACAGCCAAGGAGTGTGGATAGGATAAGATTTTGTACTATACATTGTAATATAGGGACTATGTACAGGGTGTAATGAATAATTATTTCTAGAGTTATGTTTTTTTCAGGCTTTAAAGTGAGTTCTACTATCGTGGATAATGCCACTAGAATACTGTTTGCCCTGTGTGGGTTACAATAAATTCAATATATATATAATCCCGTAAATAGAGCAGTCATGTTATACCCCTTCAATTGGGACCGCAGTCGCATGAAATGCATTTGAAAACCATCACTTATACCAGGCGGCTAAAAAATATACATAAGAGAGGAATGCATGCATTTAGATGTATTCGTTACCCCTCCCCAAACAACGCAGCGCTCCCACATACATACACATAAGACACACCAAATTGTACCCTTGACCAAATCACAGTCTATTTACCTAGTTAATTGAACTCACCAATTATCATCCCATGCCCCATCCTCCTGGCTTTTCCTTGATCCAGGCGTAGGGGACGCCCTCCCAGTACCCGCAGGGGTAGGTGCAGAGCCAGCAGACGCTGTCGCCGTGCCCGAAGATGTAGCGCCGGGACCTGGTTTCATTGCCGTGGTCCCGAGAGCACCGGACTTGGATGCGGTCCTGCGATGACTATCCTGGGCACCGAGGGACGCGAAGTCATCCCAGAAATCCTTGCGCTCGGGCTCGGCGCGGCCGCGTCTGGCACCGCCGGGAACATCGTTGGGGCCCTCGACGAAGCGGTTGAAGGAGTCTGCGGCACCGCGGGCGCCGACTTGGATGTTTTGGCCGAATTGGGTTGCGTGTTGGCGGGCTTGGGCGGCGAAGTCAGATTCAGCGAACTAGTGGTTTCGTAGTTAGCTTACTTGCACTTTTTGAGGTCGGATAGGAAAATAGAGGAAGTAGTCTACTTACCGACTTCGCTGTGGGCTGGATAAACGAGTCATTCATAGTCTTTGCGCTCTTCCCAACAGTCGTCGTGAACCACCCGAACCCCTTCGTCAACGCAGCCATTGGATCCTTCTGGAAATCATTCAACGCCGGTGCAGAGTTTCCCCCCTGCTTGGATGAGTCTTCAACAGGCAATCCACCTCCGAAGCCCGTAAACTTGCCACCTTCGGAGGGACGAAGCGTTTCCGACCTTGTCGCATTCTCCGAACCCATTTTCGCAAAGTACTCCTCATTGCGCGCCTTGCGACTCGCTGCTGCACCCTCAACACCACCCGGGCCCTCCTTCAAAGCAGGCGAAGACGAAGAGCCACGCGCGGGTCCCGTATTCGAAAGGGGCGTGTTCGACCGCGAGCTCCCCGTATCGACTGCAGTCTTCGCAACCGGCTTTGGTGGTCGCTGACCCGGTACGTATTCCCGTCCCTCGACTCTGGCGCTCAGTCTCTCCTTCCATTCCTCACCGACCTCGCCCTCGTACCGTTCTTTAATTGTTGAATCCTCGAATGTGCGGCCCTCGGACTGTGTGATTGCGTGTGCGTCGAAGAATTCCTTCCACGGATTGTTGCCTCCTAGTTCCATGCGATGTGTCTCGGAGTTCTTGAAGGCGTCCATAGTGATTGACCGAACGAAGGAGATGTGTACCCCCAGCCCGCGGTGGGTACCTGCGCAGTTAAGGCAGATGAAGGTCCCGAATTTGGGCGAAGCCTAGAAAAGAGAAATTAAAGCCGTCAGTATAAACCGGAATACGCGTGAAATGGACAAGACGTACCCATTGAGGAGAAGGGGCGCCACAGTCGCAACATCGGTCGTTTCCGTTGATTTTTGAGTATTGATGGAGCTATAGTTGGCAATTGGCAGGCAATGTTAGCCATAAGGGCTGAAAACGCACAGGTCCAAAGAGGGTCGGGGATTTTGCCCGTAAAACTGGGCCAAAAACATACCTTTGCCTTCGTCTCCGGATCAACCTCCCACATTCGTGACATGGTGTATATGATGTGTATAGAATGGTACAGGAGATATGTAATGAGAGTAGATAGCGGTTCGAGCGTTGGTTGCTCCGCCCTGAGGCCAAGGAGGTTGTGAAGTTATGTACGCAGCTTGTCAAAAGCAATATTTTCGAGCGCGTTTGAGATGAGATATGTAAATCGAGCCCCGAGGATTATGTGCAAGCGAGCCAAGGCAGATAACAAACGAGCGTAAAAGACTGATTGAACGGCAGGTTGGGCCAGAAGACGGGGGCTCCGACACAGAAGTCGATGGCGCCAAGAGCTGTGGAGTGGCCTCTCGTCATATGTCTCCATGGCGATCTACTCCGTACACGGTGCTACTCTCAGGACCAACGGTCAAAGGATCAGCTCCGAACAAGACTAGAACAAGGCCAGCCTTGCGTTTCTCATAAACTAAATGTTGCTAAGATACAATATAACAGAAGAGCAAGATTCGTTATCAGGTCACGTTCCATCAACCACCTCACATTACGGCATTTGATCCTTCACTATACGAAGCCCTGGCGGCATTCCGTATATAATCCCATGTAAAAGAGTGCATCATTGCATTACTTTTATTCCTTAAGACCGAACCGGACAGGAATAGAATTCATCAATAATTTTTTCGTTGTTTTTCGTTTTTGAAGTTTCTTGGCTCTTCGTTGCATAGTAATGCGTCCTTGCAACGCTTACTACGGAGATCCCATACGCACGACGGCCTCCGACTTCGATATCTTAAAGTGATTTTCGAATACCTATCATCGGATAGAAACCGTGCTCGTTTGGGTCAGAAACGACCTTGTCATTTAAGCGGCAGCAGGAGCAGCGTTCTCCTGAGCCGGAGCCTCGGCACCCTCCTCAGCCGTCTCACCAGCGGGAGCGTCGTCTTCCTTGCCGGGGCTGTCAATGGCGACCTTGACAGCAATCTCACGGCCCTCAATCTCCTTTCCGTTCATCTCCTGCACAGCCTTTTCCTGCTGCTCCTCAGAACTGAGGGTGACGAAACCGAAGCCACGGCCCTTGCGAGCCTCGTTGCGGGCCTGGAGCTTCTTGATCATGAAGCGGGGGATGGGGCGAAGAGCAATCTTAGCGGAAACGGGCTGGTAGGCGGCAAAGATTTCCTTCAGCTAAGAGGGGATTAGCATGTACAGAAGCTTAAGAAAACATGTCAGTTTCCACATACCTTCTCCTCGCTCAGATCATACGGCAAGTTAGCCACCATAACCTTGGTCTTGGAGGGAATGCCGTCCTCGGGGGGTCCACGCTGCTTCTGGGGACGGGCACGGGGCTTGCCGCCGGCCTTGCCAGCCTCGGTGGCAGCGGCATCGTTTTGGTTGGTGAGCTCAGACAGAGGGGCAGCCTCGCCAGAGGCAGTAGCGGGCTGCTCTTCAGTACCCTCAGCACCTTGGGCCTACGGCGAACGAAGATGTTAGTAGTTGCTCAGTTAACTAGATGGGACACGGCATACCGAGCGACCTCCGCGTGCTCCACGACCAACACGGCCGCGACCACGGCCACGGCCACGGGTACGTCCTCCCGCCCTCTTGCGGCCTTCGTTGCCGCTGGCACCTTCACCGCCACTTACAGCACCCTCAGCCTTGGCCTCAGCTGGCTCAGGCTTACGGGCAAGCTGAACGGAGACCTTGCGCTGAAGAATTTCCTTTCCGGAGAGCTCTGCAATAGCGGCAGTAGCTTCCGAAGCGGTTGCGAGATCCACGAAAGCATAGCCGACGGGGCGGTTGTTGCGAGGGTTCACAGGGATAGAGACACTCTCACTAGGAATAGATAAACGTTAGTTCACGCACATAGATAAGATTCAAAGAAAGGATGAGTTAAGCAATAAAAGTTTTCTCTTGGTGATATCGTGGTTGGATGAATGCACAGCAGAGGAAACGTTGGGAACCCAAGCTTCGGAGAACCTTAAAAACAATGGGCACGGCAATGGGAGGCCAGACAGCGCACGAAATGAGATAACAAAATGGACTTACATAGTGTAGCTCTTGAAAAACTCCTTGAGCTCCCCCTCAGTGGTCGCATATGCGAGGTTCCCAATGTACAACCGACGTCCTTCATCAGCACTGACAGCAGCAGCATCGGCAGCGGCCTGAGCTGCGGGGGCAGTGCCGTTAGGGGCCTCAGTGGTAGGGGCAGTGGAGGCCTGGTTGTCGGAGGTAGTGTTATCGACGGCAGTAGACATCTTGATGGCTGAGGACACAAAGGGTCAAAGATTCGAGGAGGGAGAAGATTGGCGGTGGAGATGACCGGTTGTGTGTCGGATGACTCAGAGAGCTTGTTGGCTGCCCTTGGGTTGAAGTTGATCGAAGTTACGAGGGGGGAGGAGGAAGGGTAGCTTGGTGCCCTAGATACGGGGGGGTTGTTGACAGGAAATCTGGAAGAACGCGATGACGATTTGCCTTGAGAGGAAGGATCAAGATGAGGTCCGACGGGAAAGGAGAAAGAGCGAGAAAAAGGAAACTGGATCCTTGGTGGTGACTAATCTGTTTTGGGAAGCCGGCCTCAGGCATCGATGAGCTCACTTGGGTCTCAGCTCGAGGCCCAGACCCACTGCTACCACGCTGCCACATCTCAACATTGGCAGCAGTCTGCACTATCCATATTATTGGGACATTCACGGTACGCAAAGCCCCTGGAGTCGCCTGCGGAGTTCATTTCCGTTGCATATCAAGTCCAGAGACCGGGCTGCAGGAACATTGTGATATAAATAGATCCGTTTGTGTTATTTTACCACCCGGCTTCCGCACTAACACTTTATGAAGAGTCATGCATCACCAAGAATTTCAAGAATTCAGTCTTCCCCTGCTGCTAAATTGACTCCGGCGGCTCGGTGACGCGTGTCAACTTGTCACTATACCCAGTTAGCCCCTTCCTATTTAAAGGGCATCAAATGAATTACCCATTCAGCTTTTTGATCAGCGCACCCAGCCCATCGTGAGAGTAATCTTTCCCATTCCACATGTCTTTGTGATATACTACTCTTTCACCCGGCCCTTGACCCTCAAGCCTAAGACTCACTAAACTATCCGCAGTCTTGGAAGCATGGATCCCAGCAAAAGTATACTTTCTGCGCTGCTTCCACACAAGTTCGTCCTCCGTTGATGACGTGACTTCTGTGCCTAGCGTTTCGGACTTGGCAAACAACTTAGGGATGCCGTACCACTGGCCTGCTATCTTATATCTGCGTCCAGTGAGTGAATATGTATTTTCAATTACGGGAAGAGCTTGTTAATACCGCGTGTCGCAGTAACTGAACGGGTCATCGTAGACCGCCTGTTCGGCGTAGACATCCATGTCATCTTTTGACGCGCTGCCGTCGTAAAGGGAAAGTATATGTTTCTGTATTTCTGTCCGGGCTGGTGAGATCGAGATGGACTTCTCGGGGTGGGGTTCATAGTCTGCATCCCCGTTAACGTTTCTGGGTGGCGCGGGATGAGGTTCGACGCCCCTCTGGTCAGGGTGGGAGGATGTTGAAGATGGCATTGTTTAGTCTGGAAACCTCAAAATTTTGGGCAGTTCTCAACCAAAAAAAAAAAAAAAAAAAAAAAAAAAAAAAAAAAGGAAGGGTGAAGTTCTTGTACATGGATTTAGTGATGGACTTCAGTGGATTTCAAGTAACCCCTTGACATCATAGTTACATCTCACAACGTAGCAATGGCCTTATGGAAGTGGGCACTTATAGAAAAAGCCTACGAATGGCGATTCCACTTGGAATATGGTAGTACGGTGTACTTAACTCCATGGTAGTACTCCTAATTGAAGAACACATGGAGTGGGTAAATGCAGGTACAAGTTAGTTTAAAGCCCGTCAATTCCATTATGTCGACCATGAATGGGATTAATCTATTATCTATGTCAGCGCCACACCAAGGAAACTGCACGCTAATTTACATTCCAGAAGTGCAGAATAAATGGCATTCCCGGCTCATTAAGCAAAACATCCATCAGGCATTAGTATCGGTTGCTCGACATCGCGAGAATAGTCGATCGATGTACCTACTTGCCCAATATCCAGATAGTCAGTTCTTATGAAAAAGACGGCTCCCCTCTATTTTGGCTTCTGCAGGTCTGCAATCGTCACTGATATCCTGCTCCACAAGCTGTCGTTCGCTGGGGGCCATTGTCTTGCGCCTCTTCGCCGTACGGCGAAGCTCTGGTGATTTATTGGAAGTTGACGTGGGAGCGTTGCATTTGCTCTTTGTTGACTCGGTGGCTTTGGTCGCATGGGCGACCCTAACGGCAGCAGCGTGTCTCGCAGCCTTCGCACAAATCGGTTTGGAAAGCGGTTCAACTACCGTGGCACGGACTGCATGGAAAACGTCCTCAACTTTGCAGCCATGTTGTTTCGCGAATTTCCTGAATGGAAATGAATGGATAATTGTTTTCGCCATGTCTGAGAAGAACTGTTCGGTATACAGAGATTCTTCTGTCAGAGTATTGTCTGGGTTGGCGCTCGCGGGGTCCCAGCTGTTGGATGCCTCCAAGACAGTCTTCGCATGGCTGTTTTTAGAATTCCTATCGCGGCTCCCGGTAGGGTCTTTGTGTGCTTGGGTTGCTTTGTGAAGGTTACGATGTTCTCGAAACGGTGAAAGAAGATGTTTAGTAGCCATTATCGCGATGTCTTTATAGCCTTGTCTGATGCAGGTCCGTTGTTAAAGCTGTGTAGCCTAAAATTAGTAGATGTCAAGCTTGATAACAAAGAATACATTACCCCGGGATGTTTAGCTGGAGGGCAAGCTGTTGCTATTATGCCGGCGTGTAGCTCCAAAGTCGACTGACCTGGAATTGAGAGGACATTGTTGACAAGGCAACACAAGAAACACATGCTTACAGTATCCTACAGTGAGAAACAAAGGAAATAAAACTTCTCAGAAAGAGAGGCAGCCAGTGAATGAAGCAGTGAATGAACGCAGCTCTTTGGAGTACAGGGACTGCTGCCTGAGGCAGAAACCGTTAGAGGACCCAAAGAACGGGGAGAGAAAATTGCACCCTCGATGCAGCAAACAAGAATCCAGATGTTTCATCATAATTATTTCGGGAGACAACAACGAATGCTGCTGGCATCTGCAGCTCTTGACCAGTCACCCACCGCGACCGGGGGCCCCAGATGCACTGGCGATGTCATGTCGATCCCTTTGGCTCGTTCAACTGGTTTTGATGGAGATTTTCATCGAGCGCCACGGTGCTTGGCGGGTTGTTGCGGGACCAACTGGGCCCCCCAGTGACTAATTCAAATGCTTCTTTATCCTGCTGCGTCTCTTCCCTTCTCCTCTTTTCGCCTCTCGACTTCTGCTTCATCACCACACCGTCCCAATGGATCCGATAGAGCCGGCAGGCCCGTCTCCGGACCATCTTGCTGCTCCCCAGCCGCGGTCTCGACGCGCTTCTGCTGCAGCGAATCCTTCTGCCCAAGATCGGACGGTATCCGGGGCCCCGACGGCTCGGCCGCGCGCCTCATCTGTGCGCTCAAACCACTCCAATCGCTCCTCTATTCGCCTTTTTCGCCCGCCTTCATTTACCAACCTACCTTCGTCTCCCGCACTGCAAAATACAAGTAATCTAGGCCTCAGGAACAATGGGTCGCGTGCGTCCTTTGCGAATCTCGGTGGGAACCCTCCCCAGGAACCCGAGGGACCCAGTGATGCTTTCGAAGGCGGCCGTCGCCGCAGTAGCTCCGAGCCCCGTCGAGGACGGTGGTCGGCACCTAATCCAGCTGATCTACCGCGCCTCCAGCCTGGACAGCCCATGCGAACCGTCATGGAGGAGCCTCAGAGCCCCGGCAGTGCTCGCCCAACCTTGGAACTCGTCCGACCAGCCCCAGTGCCCGAACAACCGAAGGATGGTGATCGGAGGAACATTCTACGAAGGACAAGTGCAGCAGCATTAAATAAATTCTCCCGCAACCGAGCTCAAACTGTCGGCGGCCCTTCCCCTCAGCCAGAGACTAACGCCCGGGAATATGATTCGCACCTTGTGGACGTTTTGGATGTCATCGGTAAGCGTTCCTTAGGCTGCTGCAGACCCGTGCCGTCGATAAATGTGAACTGTGCCCCAGGTTTGACAAACTAACTGTATATTAGACCCTCAGGTTTCGGCTCTTACTACTCTTACCAATGTCCAGAACTCGCTGTTTGTTCCAAATCTAGGTCCTCTTGTGAATCGCAATCAGACGTATACACTTTCACCTCCCTCTGGTTTAGAAGGAGAGGAGTCAACGTCGACAGAAGAAGATGAAGAGAAGGAAGACAGAAAGGGGCTCGAACCTGGTGCTCCCTTAGAGAGGCCGATTACTAGCATTTCCGCTGTGTTGGATGAGAGAGAGCCTCGCTTTGCCATACTACCAGATGGCACCAATCTTGCAGGCTGGTCATACCAGGACATTGAAGAGTTGAATGACCATGTGCGACATATGCTGCATTCGCGTCGCTCAAAATTCAAGCGATCCATGAAAGGGTTCGGTAAATACGTCTCTAAACGTACGTTATCCATATCTTTTTTCTTCCTTGAGTCTATCCGCTAACTTTTATACCCAGCTCTTGGATTTCTGATCACTTTATACGCGACTCTCATTACACTCTTTGGCCTTGCATGGGTCCTCTTCCTTATCGGTATTGCCTCCACACTTCACACACCTTCATCTTCTATACATTGTGCTAATGTGAGATATAGGTTGGATCAACGTTGGCGGACGACAGTCATATATCATCAATGTCATTGACAATGTACTAGTGGCTCTATTCGCCATCATGGGTGATGGGCTGGCCCCGTTCCGTGCAGTTGATACCTACCACATGATATTCATCGCACATTACACTTTCACGACCTGGAGGATTCGCAAAAAGCGCCGGCTCCCAGATTTGAAAGATAAGAATGACTTGCCATCTCGGGGGGAGGATCAAGCAGATGCTGATATCGAAGCCGGAGAACTCCCCAAAGAGGATGAGCATGAGTTCAGCGTGCTCAATCGTGTGCAGCAGCTGAAATTGCAGCACCACCAAACCAAATTTGCGAAGTCCCATACCTTTTACAAACCTCACGAAACCATAACTCACCATGCCTTCCCGCAACGTTTTCTCATCGCCATTGTGGTTATTTTGGACTGCCATTCACTTCTTCAGATCGCCCTCGGCGCTTGTACATGGGGTATCAGCTACCATGTACGGCCATTCGCTCTCACCACCGTCATCCTCTGCTGTTCAATCACGTGTAACATCACTGGAGGTGTCCTGATCACGATCGGGGACCGAATGACGCGCAAAAAGGACGTGGTCGAACGAATGTTCCGCCAGCAACTCACCAAAGAGGCAATGAAGAAGATGCAAAAGAAGAGAAGAAGGGAAGAAGAGAAAACCAACGCCGAAAATCCTGGATCGATGTCAGATTCATCGTCGAATGCCCTCCAGGTTTATGAGGGTACATGATGATCGGACTCTACCTTTCTCTCTCGCCCTTACAATGCCTGACAGTCTTCTCACAAGTTCTACGACCTAAACTTCATGTTCACGATTTTCTTTCCATTTTCAGTATACTATACGATATATAATATTGGCTCTCATATATACTGATCTCTGCCATGTTAAAAGAGCGCTTATCCTTTATTTTTGCAACTTGTTTCCTATAGCATCTGTCAGCGTATGATGCCGTGATTGATACCACTAATGTTCTTACTTCTGTTCCTCAAGATACTGTATATTTAGCACCCCTAATTATCATCCTCAATCTATCCAAACCGAAACACGAGTGTTTGGATCTTGCATATACAAACTTGATCAGAAATTTGTAGTAGAGTATTACACAGCCAGGTGCATAGTTTTATTAACCCTGGGGGGTTATAGGCCCTAAAGGAAGCACGAAAAGTCCTACCAAGACATTCAAAATGATCTAGATAAGATCAAAATAGATGTAATCACTCAATCTAATGCAAGTGGGTGCTTAATTATAATTTGCAGTCAATGGACCCATCTATGCGAGCCAATAATGGATGTTGATTGTTCCTGTCAACTGTATGCCAAGTTGCCAACCAATTCCATCTGAGGATGAATTCCAAGACTGCTTGCTTATCACAAACGAAATGAATATTAGGTAGTGATCGTTTAAGACTAACAAGTCATAGTTGTGCTTCTATAATTAAATACTAGACAGCTCCACCCTCTATATGACTGCTTTGTTCCGCGCTGTTTAGAAACAAAACAATCTTTCCCATCATATGGTAAGGGCTCGGGTTGCTTGCTTGGTAATTTCGTGCTTTTTTTTGCCCCCAAATTCGCAGGCTATATGTGGAATAGGTAGAAGCTTTGGATATACAAGTTAGGTATCTGTGAATACAGAACAGGAGGATTTGAGAGAAACATGTAGTAGATACAATATGTCATCAAGAGACAAACCATAAACAAGGAAACTATATATCGCTTGACACAGGTGCATGATTACGAATCGCTGCCGGACAAGTAAAAAAAAAAAAAGGGTAAATGACTGGATAAGTAGTTAACGGTGGTGGCGCTGATAAAAGTCCAATAAATGAGACTGAAATAAGGGAGTGACAAGTTTAAATGGTGTGCATGGCTTTGGTGGGGGAGCGCGTCTTTGTTATAGTTGCTGGGTAGGCCTAAAGCTCCTCGCGGGACGATTCAGTCTTGGCCGTAGATGTTGACCTTCTTCGAGACAATATCCGCTCAAGTGTGTCCAACCGGTCCCGCGTACTGCGGATTGCGTGGTCCATCTCGCGGTCTGATAGGGTTTCTTCGCCCAGCGAATCTTTCAGTTCCCGCTCAGTTTGGGATTTGCGATTGGTCCGGGGTATGCGTGTTTCGGATTGCCGCTTCATCGTTGGAATGGCCATTCCATCTAACCCTACTCTGTCTTCAAGCCAATTCCAGAGCTCGCTTTCTTCTCTGCGCCACATTTCTTCATAAGCGGCCAAACGCTGGGGTATAGAGTGGCCAGGATATGCCATGTCTGACGACATTATTGGTGGGTGGGAAGGCCCGCGGAAGAAAAGCATGAAAAGCAGGACTCCGATTACTAGGACAGCTATATTGCCATTCCACAACGGCGCAAATAAACCAAAAATTGGTCCAAGCAGTCCATGGAGCGGCTCGAATACACCCCATGATTCGGCTTTCTGGGCGTGCGCTTCGGTTACTGCCTTGGCAACAGCTGCTGCGGTCTCGTCGTTCACGGCGTCACCCTTCTTACGTCTGAGTTTGCCTTTCCCACCAGTTTTGGTACCTGCACGAGCGCGGGGGGCGACTGCGGCTCTCAGGGCGGCGATCAGGTCATTGCCGAACGCCGTTTGACCGTCGGTGGCGCCTTTCTCAATCGGGGCTATTTTGGTTAGGATGATATTGAAGCGAGAAAGATGCCAGTGACTCACCTTTTAGCCAACTCTTTCCAGACCATTCAATCGTACAGGTCATGAGAAAGCGCGTTTGGTTGTTTGCTGCCCACGTGAAGAGGTATTTCGTCTTGGTAGTGAAAACATTCCCACTAGGCACATCGGGTGTCTGGGTACTGAGTGTTACAAGAACAGCCTTCTCGAGATCTAGGAAATCCAGCTGTTCGACACTAATACATTTTGTTTGCTTGGGACCGATGGATCCGTTAAGAGGTTTGATATAGGAGTATTTGCGCGTCCGACTCTCATTCGTAAGCCCGGTCTTTTCACTGTTGAAGTCAAGCTCGCCAGACTTTTGGTTATCGACAAGGAACTTAGGTATAAACGACACTGAGGCTGGTCCAAAAACGTAAGAATATACTTTGCCCAAAGGCGCAGGAATTGTTTCGTCTTTGATGAGTCTGTCGTACTGGCCTTCAGGGCCGTCATATTGAGTGGGAGAATGTGTGGGTGGGCCAGGGAAGTCACCATCAGCATCTCCATTGATACCCTTGGTGCCCTTAGAGGTTCCATTGGGCCCGAGTCCCGATGAGACTGTTGGTATTGGGGCAGAAGTCTGTCGAGGTAGACCTTTCAGAGGAAGCGATGTACTACTCCCACGCATGCTGTCATCACCGGGTTCGAAGAAGCTATCAGCATTGTCATCATCTTCATCCTCATCATAGTAGATATCTTCCTCGTCTTCTTCAGAAAGCTCATCGTCGCTTTCACCCGCCTTTACCGTCTTGTCACCCGTGGAGTCTAAAACCGTTGTCCCGTTGATAGAACTCTTAATACTGGGGTGGTTGATCTTCCAGATATTGACCATCAAGTCATAGGTTGACTCTCGACTCAAAAGACTTCGGAATGTGTGGCGGGCATGCAATGTCTTTATGGCGATTGCGTTCGGAAAAACCATGGCAGTCGATTCTTTCTCAATAGCTACGACCTCATCGAAGCTAATGACAAGAGTGGTAACCCAGCCTAGGATATTGCTTGAAAAGCAAATGTGCCCTTCGGAAATGTAAATGCGTCCCGCCAATATGATCTCCCGTTGCAAGGCACAGCTGTAATCCTCAATGAGATAATCATCCTCTGGAACGCTGCGAAAGAGCTGATGGAAGTCCCTGTTACGCTTTTTGCTGGCAACAGCGAAACCTGTTAGCCGTGGCAAGCTCGCATTGACCCCTGGAACTCCGAGCGCAATGGCACCGGCACCAATCGCCCCAATTGTTGATGAAGTTGCACCAGAAGAACCCCGGTGACGCCGCTGGGCCAGCCGACTTCGTACGCTGTTGCTTCGATACGGTCTTGCGCCAATGTCCCCGTCCAATGTGCTCCCACCTGACGGGGTTTGGGCTCCAGTTGGCTCTTTCAAAAGATTTGGGGTAGAATCTGTATCAAACTGATCGTCGTATATTTGCTGGTTCAATTGATTATCGGGTTTTTCATATGCCATAGTAACTGCTCGGGCAACCCGTCGATCCTCTAGTTGTGCAGCTGCATCATCTCGTTGAGAGACTGCGGGGCTTCTGCGCTTCTCTGGCGGCAGTTCGGGCTTTGTGATGACGACTCCATCTGGTGTCGATATGGATCCACCGGGAGGTATAGCAATATCCAAATGGCTGAAGTTCAAATCACCTGAACCTAGAGTGTCGACAGCCAATGATTTCTTTTCCTCGGACTGATCTGCGCCTTCGGGAACTTGCGTAGCATCAACGGATTCCTGGTCTTCTGGGACTTTGGCCTCTGGTATTGCTGGACTGCGTGTCTTCGGTGCATTGAGACCGCCGGTGAGGGTAGAGGCAGCAGTCTGCGCCACAGAAAACACAGATGAAAAGAATCCGCTCTGAGGTGTACCAGCCTTGCCTTCCTCAATAGTTGGGCTGGCGGCCATCGCATTCGATAGTTTGCTGGGTTTGGGGTTGGCTGCAGAGGCAGACCGTACGCGTCGATGAGAAATCATGTTTCCAGAGGGGCTCACAACAACACCAGGAGGTAGTTCGCGCGATTTTATCGAGGACGGGGATTCCGTGACACTCGAAGCTGCGACCAGTGGCGCATGATCAAGGTTCGGAGTTGGGGGAGTCACTGTAGTAGCTGGAAATGGGATTGCAGTGTGTGGTGGTGTTTGTAGGCGCGGTCGCTCTGGCTCTTGAGTTTTGCCCTCCTTAATATCTGTTCGAATTGGCTTTGGGATCGATGGAACAGGCGGAGGAGCGTCCGCGGGGTTACCCGGAGCCTTTTTCGACGACAAACTACTTCGCCGGCTGGCGCTCCGTGCGCTTTCACCCGACGTTGACGACGCTCGTTCTCGGTTTGCATTTTTCTTATCGGAGCTAAATGCATTCCTAAAACGTTGGCTTTTAGATACGCCTTTCTTCCTCTCATTACCAGGCACGCTCAAGCTCGAAGCCGTGGTTGGCCGGGACGACGGGCGTTGTAATTCCGTGTCTGGGTTGGATCCGGCACGATCTGAGGTTGCACCACTTATTGCAGATTCCGCATCGCCATGCGCTCCATCTGTATCGTTGGCATGGGCCGAGTTTGCTTTAATTAAAGGTGAGGATGATGTGTAAAAGCCGGAATGCGAATCATGCGAGGTAAGGGGAGGAGTTCTGCAGACAGGGCCGAAGGTTAGCTTTCATTCAAAGTAAGACACCCAGTCAAGAGCGATCTACCTATCGGGTTCGGAGTCATCCGTCAAAAGGTTCGAGGTATCGTCTTGCGTGCTATTGCTTTCTGTGGGCAGCAATGAGGTGCTGGAAGCTCTCTTGTGAGTAGTGATACCGGGGACCTTTCTATCATTACTGTCTGCTTCCAGTGTAGTCGGAAGCTCGTCGACCAGCTTCAAGCTTTCCTTCTTCTTCTTCTTGCGGTTCCGTCTCGAGGCGAGCAGCTTTGACAAACCGGTAGATCCCGTTTTGGTGGAATCGGCATCCCCTGCTTGCGACAATTGCTTGTCGGAAGCTGAATCTACCGAAGAACGGCCATTGCTGGGACCGGAGCTTCCAGTAGTTTCAAAATCAGGCGGAGTTGTGCTTGAACGGAGTGATTTGGAGAGTGGGGGGACATCTAATGGCGCAGGCTCGGGGTGATCGGGGACAACGGGGGCATCCATAGCGAGCGGGACGGTGAAGCGAGAGCAAGGGGTCAACCCAAATTAGAGGAGTATTTGACGCATGCAATGGCTCTGAAGGACGGAGTTTTATGCAAGCTGAAATATCATGGTAGGAGCTGAATCAAGCTCACGTCCGTGCTGACGCCGAACAATGCGAAAGTAAAGAGGGGGAAAGGCCGGGCTCAGTGGTGACAGCTATGGCTGAGGTCAACGCCAGCAGCATGTTCTCCCTGTAGCCTACGGAAAAGCCAGATGCGACAAGAGCTGGGAGGTATAAAGGGATAACTGGGAAGCGAAAAAGTGGGAAAAGAGGGAGAGGGGGGTAGGTGTCAGAATGTCGGGGGTCCGCAGCAGGGGAGATGGAGACGGTAAGGCTACGACTACTGACGATTCCCGGGAGCTTCAACGAAGACCAACAATACGAGTACGAGCCCGCTTCCTCACGTCCGACGTCACAATAACTTCTATTTTCATCAGTATACAGGAAGATAGCTCTTGTGTTATACAATATCTCTCTATATTATCTATCTGTTACCAATACTTGAACTTAAGTCATTCAATCATGCGGCAGGCAGCACTGATACAGAACATTACGCCGTACAAGGAGTCTAGATTCCCCGTTTGTTAGCCGGACTAGGTAATATGAGGTAATGTTACTGTAACATTTAATAACGTCACATCAACTCTCCCTCTCCTCCCCTCCCCCCCCCCCCCCCCACCTCTATCCTCACCTGCCCTCCTGCCCTCCTGATGAAGATAGCATCGCTTCTATCTCTCCGAAGCCATGGAGACTGCTCCTCTGACTCTGGTAAGTCGAATTATGTCTGCAACTCCGTCACCTGAGTGAACAGCGCAATCTGACCGTCTCCAGGCTCATACCCATGCCCGGAACGCAGTCCTTGAAACTCGCAAGTCCAATCCGGTAGCTGCAAGCGAAGAGCACGACTTGGCTGCTGGTGAGTTTGCAACAGTTGCGCAAAATAGTAAGGATCGTGAGGTATCTCTTCCTGTCTCCGTACTTTTCGCAACCCTCTTTAAGGATTACGCGTTAACCAATTGCTCTGTACTGTACAGGCTTTACGAATGCTCCATCTGCTCGAACAGCACCACAAGAAACTCGCACATATCCTTCGCTTCCAACATGAGAACCCACCGTCTGCTGCTACCGGGGAAACTTCCCAAAATATTACAGAACCAGTGACGTCGAAGACCGATAGCCACCAGCCTCCAAAACTGATCGGAAACCCCCGTGTACCAAAAAGAGAAACATCTTCGATAGCGAGCAACTTAGCATCCGCACGAGGAATCCCAGCCCAGCCGCGCCGTGCGTCACCTGCATCGCCTACTCTCTCGTCCCAGCAGGCTGGGGCGAAAATGACGGACGGACGTGCGAAGGCCAAAGATAGCGAGTCGAGATTAAGAGGTACGCAGGCGTCTGGACAGAGAGATCATGCGAGCCGCACCCCGAGTCAGAAGCAACCGTGGTCGCCACCGGTTGCTAGCCCTACCGATATCACCTCCCAACAATTCGTACCATCCGAGCCATCAGAACCGGCGCAGCCTATGCACCGACAATCTACCACCGAGGAATCGTTTCAACGGTTCTACTCAACATTTGAAGGTCTCATTTCTCGGATATCAGCACCGTTGGCCTTTGCGGGACTTCCTCTTGGATCAGATGGTAGCAACAATGCCAATGCAACTCGTAAATCGTCTGCGGAGACAAGAATTGATAGACAAACCGCCGTGTCGGATCGTTCCGGATCCTCCGCTGAGCCTGATATTAGCCGCATATTTTCCCGTGCCGCTCTAAAAGCCATTCGTGGCTCAAATGGAGGAGGGGGTGGGATGGGAACAGGAAACCCAGCAGAATCGTTCTACGTGGTGCCTACGACTGGTGGAACCGTGTCTTACGCGGGTATTTTGACCAGGGCTGAAAAGGAAGCGCGCCGAAACAGTATCGATGAAGCGGACGATGACTTCGTCGATGCCCGAGAAACACCTTCCTCGCCAGAGTTGCTCCAGACTAGCAAAGGCAAGGGCAAGGGCCAACCAAGCCGAGGGAGCGATAAACCCGCGGGCCTCCAACCGCCTAAAACACTAGAAGAACTGCAAATGGAGAACCAAGCGCTACGGCATCTGTCCGACACCTTGTCTAAACGCTTACATATGTGGGAAGTCAATGCACAGTCATCATCCATGGCCCTACAACAGTCTCTGAAAGCAATGCACCACCAAAACATTCCATCTCCAGAGCACGGCCCCCAATCTGGCTCTGCGGTGCCATCACCAACGGCAGCTCTCTCTACAGCAGCAGCCACGGAGCAAGACCAGCGCATAAAAGAGCTCGAGGAAATAATCCGACAGGGTGAAAAGGAACTTGACCAAGCGGGTAGGGAGAATGAAAAACTCCGCAATGTGCTCGGCCGTTATAGAGATCGGTGGGAAAAGCTCAAGGAGGGAGCTAAATCAAGGCGTGCAGAAGGAAGGGCTGGAGAGTCCAGCACAAAGTCTACCAGCGCAGGCACTCCACAGCAGAGTACTGGCGCGGAAGTTAGTCCAGGTGACACCGAGCAAGAAACGCCACCTAATGAACCAGAAACGAAAGCGGAGGAGTCGTAAATGGGTCTTGACATCTCGTCCTTCTCGACGCTATATTGATTTACACATTCCACGCTTTATACCCTCTAAACATAACGAATGAAATGAGCAATGCTTAACGATTATTGACTAACATTGAAATTCTTCTCTCCACTCATACATATGCAGGCCTGTATTAGAACGTCTTCACCTAGCTATAACAACCTCTCTTTTATCACCATACTCCTCCACTAAGACAATCACTGCACCCAAAACGTCGCGTTCCCCCTAGCATCCTTTGAATCCCCACCAACAAGAACTGTAAACGCCCCGGGCTCAACCACATACTTCATCCTCGCATTCCACAGCCCCAGCTCTTTAACGTCAATGTCAATCTCGACAGTCTTAGTTTCCCCAGCAGGGACAACTACCTTCTCAAACCCCTTCAGTTGACGATTCGGCACCACAACCGTCGCAATCTCATCCACGATATAAACCTGCACAACTTCCGTCCCATCACGGGCAGCATCTGTATTCGTGACATCCACGGATACAGTGACCGTGTCTGTGGCAGAAACATTGGTCTGCGAGAGCGTCACATCGCTGTACGTGAAGTTCACATAGCTGAGCCCATATCCGAAGGGGTACCACGGATCCGGGGTCCCAAGAACGTATTGGTGCCCGAAGACGAGCGTTCCATTCTCCGCTTCATAGCCTGAGTCGCCGATATCACGCGCGGAGTTGAGATGGTCGTAGTAGATCGGCAGATCGCCTACGTAGTGCGGAAACGAGACGGAGAGCTTACCAGACGGGCTATAGTCGCCGAAAAGCACATCTGCGAGTGCATTCCCGCCCTCTTCGGAGGGGTAGAATTGTTGGACGAGCGCGGAGGCCGAAGACGAGACCCAGGGCTCTGTGATTGGTTTTCCGGAGGAGAAGACTACGATGGTGGGCTTGCCTGTATCGATAATGGCCTTGATGAGGGGTGCTTGGGCGCCGACGAGGGACAGGGAGTTGACATCGACGTGCTCGCCTGTTGTTGCGTTGAGGCCTTGCCAGAGTTCTTGTTGGTCGCGGGACCATGTTCCTACGACGACGATGGCGACGTCGGATTTCTCTGCTGCGGCAACGGCATCGGCGAAGCCGGATTCGTCGTTGCTCCAGCTTTCGCAGCCTTGAGCGTAGTTGATTTTGGCAGAGTCGCCGACGGCGGCTTTGATCCCCTCGAGGGGTGTGACGCCGCGGTATTGGCTTGAGGTGACATAGTCGCCATACTGGATTGGGTTGGTTAGTTGAGTACTATGTATGAGTGGTAGTTGGGTTGACAAACGTTCATGCGTCCGTGTGCCATTGGCCCGATGACTGCGATTTCGCCAGTTTTCTTGAGAGGGAGGACGTTGTTGTGGTTTTCTAGCAGGACGATAGATTCTTTATCTAGCTCCCTGGCCAGGTCAACGGCCTCTTTTGAGTGAATGAGGTTATCCCATTCCTCTTTAGGCGCAGCTGGGTATGGGTTCTCGAAGAGCCCTAGGGCAAACTTGGCTCGTAGAACTCTCGCAACTGCGGTATCGACGGTCTCTATATCGAGCTTGCCAGACTCTATGAGCTGAGGGATCGTGTGGAAGTTGCTAATCAACGTGGTCAGTAGGGGTTTTACTCGGATTATGGAAGATGGTGCTCACTATGAACCGCCGCCCATCTCGACATCGTTTCCAGCGGGAAGGGCCTGGAGAGTTACCGATTCTGAATCAATAGGTGAACTCTCACACAGACGGAAGTTATTGCAAAGTCGGTCTGTGGCTCCAGCATCACTGATAACAAAGTACTCATAACCCCATTCTTCTCGAAGGATTTCGGTGAGAAGATGATAGTCAGCAACAGCAGGGATGCCGTCATATCTTGACCAAGCAATTAGACGATTTCTCCGAATCTTGGATCAGCCGTAGGGACTTACGAGTGGTAGGCGCTCATAATACTGTAAGCTCCGGCGTCTATAATCGCGCGCTTGAAAGGATGTAACCAGCTTGCTCAAAAGTCAGCTCAAATCATCCTTATAATCATTGGCTAGGAACATACGTCGTGCGCAGGTATCGCTCTCCACCGTGAACAGGGGCAGTGTTGATTCCCTGCTCAGGCTGACTGAAGCCAGCGTAATGCTTGACCTGAGCTGAGGCATTGTGACTTTGCAATCCCTTGACGTACTGGTATCCAATTTCGCCGGCGAGATAGGGATCTTCGGAATAGGTTTCCTCAACCTAAGCAGCATTAGTAACATTCAGGTCGTCTGGAATATAACAGCTTCGCTTACGCGGCCAAATCGCAGCTCTCGAGCAAGGTCGACGACTGGGGCAAAGAGTTGATTAACACCCAGAGCCAAAGCCTCCTGACTGATCAGTCTTGCCATCTTGTAAACCAACTATCTTTTATTAGCAACCGACAATAAGGGGCCGGGTCAATGTGAGCTTACCTCCCTGTTGAACGAGCATCCATATGCAATAGGTGAGTTATAGATGGTGGCATTTCTAACCAAGAACCCGTGGATTGCTGCAAGTAAAACGAGATGTCAGCACGCATCTTCTTGCTATTCTAATATACACCCACCTTCAGTCTGCACAAACGCAGGTATCCCGAGGGTCGTGTTTTCCACCAGGTAATCCTGCGCGCGTTTGATATTTGTTGCAATCCACTCCCATTCAACAGGGTAACCGACTGGAAGAGGAAACGATATCAGCAATTTCACGGTTGAATATTAAACCAGTCGATTGCATACCGTAGAACATGCCCGCCCTTTCCCTCATATTCCATTCTAGCCCAGTGTAATTGAACGCCCCAGTTTCCTCATCCATCCAATTTGTGATATCACCTAGAGAATGTCAGTCGGTCATTGACAATAGACCAATGTCACCAATCGTAGACGACTTCAGATATTAACAAACCTTGTACCAATTGTGCTGTCTTATCCTCGACCGTCATACGACCTAGTAGGTCCGACACCCGATCCTCAATCGAAGCATTTGGATCCTTATACAGTGGTGACGAGTCCTTTGCAACCGTCAAGCCAGCGCAAATGTGAAGGAGCAATAGCCCCCTCGAAATGAGAGTTAACAACATCGTTTGTAGCTTTCGTCAGCCAGAGATAGCCACAACCGTATGCTTCTGACTTCCAATCTGTGCCTCCTTTGGAGGAATTATGAGGTGAGCTGTAACCGGAACCCGGCACCGTTTTTATTCCTACCGGAAGCTCCAGCTCGCTAACCAAGAAATAAGTAAGCTGGTAGCTGCCGAGACCTAGCTAGCAGCATGCAGCATTAGCGAAGACATAAAAGAAGGGAAATAGGGAAATGAAAGCAAATGAGAACTCGCACGGCGTGCGGGGGGGAGAAGTGGCATTGCCATGGTCGCTTCGTCACTCACCTCCTTGGAGTGAGTTGGAGGCCAAGGCTGAAGAATATTATGATCCCAAGCATCTCGGAGATGACCCCGGGCCTGGATAGTGGAAAGGCCGACGAGTATGAAGATTGGGGAGGGAGCTCTGGTCAATTGGAGACAATACTGGGCTGGAGTGGGGGGAGGAGAATGCCGGCGGAGAGAGCAGAAATGACGGATAAATGCAGCTGCGGAGATGAAGAGGGGTGAACAATGCGAGGGAGACAGTTCAGGTAGAGGGATCATACTCTAAATGGCGCAAGGATCTCCCAGATGGAGATTGAATGCAAGATGCAGTGTTGTTTTTTCCACCTATCGAGAGCCCGCGGTAAAATAGCGGCTGCAACCACCGTACCATGCATCAGGGATTACTCTTGGTCGATGTGCTGGAAGATAGAAGGCGAAAATAAGTGACAAGTTGAGCGTCTCTAATTACAAATAGATTATGTGTAGTGAATATGCTATAGACAATGGTATCAAGCCGACGCCATGAGTTGGGACACACCAACAATGTTAAAACGAAAACAATATGTACCGTAGGAATACGATAGGAGTTAGTACTTGGGAAGATCAGGCCTGAGTACTGGATGAACCACCCGCACCTCCAGACTCTGGGTGGCTAGCCTCGCCCGAGGTCCTCTCGGCAGCCTGGGTTTCACTGGACTCTTCCTGATTCTCTTTTCGTTTCTGCAGGACGCCTCCCAGCCATGGTACAGTCTTTCTCCAAGTATCGCTCAAACCGCGCAGACGCGAAACCGTCGTGACATCGTCCGAATGATTGCGAGCAATTTCCCCACCATCGAGGCCAGGCGTGGAATGCCCTGCGCTCACAGGAGCGGTGATGATGCCTTCTGAAGAGTCCGCTGGGGCAGTGATAGTAGAAGAACGAGGCGCTGCGTCCCAAGGGGTAGCATCCAAGTCCTGGTTGACCTCCTCGCCCGCGGCGTCACCGTCCCTTAAGATGTTATCAAGGACAGACGCACTCGGATTCTTCTTTCGACCGCGTAGCCTCGGCGTTCGTCGTTCTTTCGCAGGGCTTATTTCATTGCGGCGGATTGAGTCGGCAACCACGGCGCTGAATCCGCCAGATAGGGTGGAAAACAATGGACCTGGGGAGAAGTGTGCAGAAATGGAATTTCGCGGTCTCCGCGGCGGTGTCTGCGGAACAGTGTTGTTTCGGGGATTGTTCGCTGGACCATCTACCGCACCGGTGCTATCCGCATCGGGGGCAGGGGGGAAACGAAGAAGCACAGTGGAGCTTGCTGCTTTTTGCAGGGACTGTTCTGGGGGAGTAACTGGCCGTTCAATCTCCGAATCAGACGCCGTCCGCTCAAAGGTATCGGCCCAGGGGTTCCTTAGTAGAGACGAAGGCTGGGAAGGAGTTCCTGGAGAAGGCTCCTCCAGAGAATCAGCAGCTAGCGAGCGAGCCGGCGAGGGGGACGCGGCGGATAAGCCCGCTCGCGGGGTACTCTGGTTATCGCCGAGGTCTTCGAGGCCCGCACTTAAAAGTGACCCTGAAGGTGACTGGAGTGGGCCGTCTGGGAGATCCGGGCTTCTGGGTCGCGGCCCGTTCTTCGTTTGAGCTTGCAAGGGAGGGGACAGATCAAGTCGGTCCTGATACCGCTCGCCAGTCAGAAGCCCGATAGCCTCTTCCTCGTCTGTAGAATAGGAGGACTCGTCGTCGGCGCGAACGCGGCCGCTAGTGATAAAGTATACACCCAGAAAGGTGAGAAGACATCCACCCACAAATTTTCCTGCTCGGGCAGGCGTGTAGGCCTTGAAATCTTGGTAAAGGACGGCGCTACCAATGATCACGGATAGGGTAAAAAGGACAAATTGTGTCGGAATCACTTGTGTAGAATCAAACCGCTGCAAGGCCCTATTGATGTACCTTATCTGCATCAGGGCGCTAAAGACAAGAACGAACGCCAACAGGTAGGTAATTGGGAATGTGATAACATGCCACAAAGTAAACGACAGCAGAGAAGAAACACCCTTTGTCGAAAGAGCAGTATATCCACCTATGCACAGTTAGCAACCATTCGAAGATGTTTTTGAAAGAGTGACATACCAAACAACCCGACCAGCCCAACATCTATCAGAATTGACCGCGATCCATATTTGCCGCTTGCCCACATCAGAACAGCGATAAGCCCAGCAGTGATGCCCAAGTAGAGCTCAAATTCCCAGCGCGTGATCATCACCCAGATATCATGAGGTCCGATCTTCTCTTCTGATGATTTAGCACTGAGAACAACCACCACCGCCCCCGCGATGGCGACAATGACACCCCAAAAGTCCCTCTTCCGGAACTTTTCCTTCAGCAAGAATGGCGCAATAACGCAGTTCGAGATCAAAGCCACAACTCCCAAAGGCGAAACAATCGAAGCCGGAGCAAAACCATACGCCATGAAATTGCCAGTTTCGCCGAGCGTCATCAGAATTATTCCCGCCCACCAATACGGGGAACGCAGATAAGACTTCCGTCTCCCTTTGGGCGAGCCATTCTCGGGCTGCGCAGTCCTCTCTGACACGGTAGAATCCCGTAATTGGTCTTCTTGAATCGAATCATCGTCTCGGTAACGTCCGGAGTGACCTGAGGGGTTATCCTCGTAGCGTTCCTCTGAAGCCTGTCTATCTTCGTCGACGGCGCCGTAGGAGCTCCCTGAGATCCCCCGCCGATGAGTCCGCTTCCAACTCAGCTCCTGTTGTTGCTTCTCGTGTTCCCATTCTTTCTCTATCCGAATGTGGGCGTAGCGCTGGATATTAAGGGCCAACGAGATCAACACGTTCCCAGCCAAAGCAGTGATGATTCCGATCAGCGACGACCACTCATACTCCTTGTCCCCTTCATCACCGTGATCATGTCCAAGGTCCGAGTATAAGGACGGTAGGGAATGCGGCGGCGACGTGGGGCTCGGAAAGGGTGTTGGTGTCGAAGCGATGGTGGTAGCTAGAGTCGCGAGCAGGCCAGCTGCCAGAGGGTACTCTTGCGTAGAGTCCATTTGCGTTTATAAAAAGGCCGAATAATGATGAAATTAGGTAGATAGGAAAGGAATGCAAGCCACCCGAGGGTCGCTTCTCGCAAGATCCGCCGCCTCCGAAAAATACGGCAAACGCGGCGTTTAAGCGCGTCAGGAAGGTCAAGGCTTCTCTTTAACCCTGCGGTGTATTCAGGATCTGAGCGAGTTGACGGAGGGTGCTCATGCTGAAGAGGGAGTCTGCATCGTGCGCCCCTGACGTTGCTGGAACCCGAGGTTCAAGGTGACGGTCTGAAAAGGTTGTCGGAGGACAGGGATCTCGTCGAGAAAATAAGGAACCCGCAGAATACCGAGCGTCGATGGAAAGTTGGATCGAGGATGGCTAGCTGAGGAGGAGTTGGAGGAAAAGAGATCAACGGTCGCAGGTGCGGAGTGTCAGTTTAATCTTGCAAGGTTGGACACTAGGCGCGCCTTCGTATAGTCTGCTGGTAGCGCTGCGGAGAGCGACCTTGGAAGTCCAGTGCGCAACCTCTGATGACTTTTGCCCTTATTATTGGCTCAGTTACTGTCCAAGGGTGCAAGCTACCCATCTCTAGGCTACACTGCTGCTGTCCGCGCCGCACTCGACGTCATTAGGCAGACGCTCGCTCTTCCTTGCATGCTGACCGTTTTACAGTTGGTTACCTGGTCTTTCTCCCCTCACGTCTATGTATCGCCGCTAAAATGGAATGCCGTACAGGCAAATCATGAGAGTACATTTCTGAAGTCATTATCTATTTTTGAATGCTGTAAAAAGTGTATCAACGCCGCGCCTTCTTCCTATCCGGCTCCGGTTCTTCATCATCACTCAGATCGCGGTAAATTGGTGTAGGTTGCGTTTCCTCCCATGCCTTGGTGAAGATCGGGTCCTTTTTGGCTTTATCAGCGTATTTCAGCAGCGCCTCTCGAGGATCTTCATCACGCATAGAGCTAAGCGGGATATTCTCCCGAATGTGTTTTTCGTCGGGTTGCGATTTTGCGAACGGTGTTTGTACCGGCAGGTGAGGCCGTCGGGGGTCTCTTGATCGGCCCGAAGCCGTCAATCCAATGGTCGGGTGCCGTGCAGACCAAGTAGCAGAACTATAATGTGGAACGCCGTTCGATCCGACAACCACCGAGTCTCCCGAAATGCCCTGCGCGAGGTTCATGGTGAGGGTTGGGTCATCGTCGATGTGGCGACGCTTGGGTGCCTTGGACATAACCAGAGCAGCACCCTTGGTGGACATGTCCGGGTTATATAAAACGTGTGTTTCCGCATTTGCGGATCCGGTGAGAATTTGGTTTAACTTCTCATGCCATTGAACCGTGATCAACGGAGATCCAGGAGTAACCGGTGTAACGAGTTCAGGCTTTAGTGTAGCGGGATTCAAGATGTGTAAATGACCGGTCTCTGAGCCAGTTACAACATTCGCTGAGGTAGGAGAGAAGATAATGTTTGAAGTTGGGAATCGCGAAGAGCTGGACGGGTGCGCAACAGTCGTAATTGGCTGTTTGAACTTTCTCGTATCCCACAGTTTGATGGTGTCGTCTCCACCCTTGGTAATGACGAGCCTCCCGTCGGAGCTGATATCGATTCCGCTGGTCCAGGTATCCTTCGTATGGGCATCCCTAACCTCAGCGCTTGGTCGTGTATAAGGTCCATTCCCACTCCACATCATCAAGCTTCCGTCCAGGGCAGCCGCAACAAGGACATCCGCACCACCCTGTTTAGGTGAACCCCAGGCGACTGCAGTCATTTTGCTCCGACCAGCGGATCCAGCCGCTCTAGACTTGTGCATAATCACCTCTTTTTGTAACCTTCCAACATTGGCATCCCATATCCGCACCGTGCTATCCGTTCCTGCGGTTGCACACAGATTCTCATCGGTTGGAGACCATACGCCGCTCGTCACCTCCGAAATGTGTCCCTTGGTGTTATGCATGTCCCTGAGGTACATATCCCCCTTCACAAACTCGGTGATTGTGTCACCGTCGCGATTCAATATTCTCGGTTGCGGTGTAGCAGAGACGACCAGAACGTATGCTGGGGAAATGGGATTGAAAGCTGCATAATGCACAATGTGTGTTTCTTGTGATGCTGACTGTTTCTTTGCGGATGGGTCGACGGACTTGAAGGAGCGAATCGTTGAAGGCGTCATGGAGGCAAAATCGTGGAGTTTTAATGTACAGTCCGTAGATCCGGATATCAATCGCGACCCAGCAGGGTCAACAGTAATGGTGGTAACTGCGCGCTCATGCGTTTTCATGACAAGCTCGTGCGATACCGGGAACTCGTCCTCATCGTCGGAATCCGAGTCAGAGTCGTCTGAATCGTCTGAGACATCGCTTCCCTTGTCTTCCGGGACTGCGGGCCCTACATCATCCTCGTCGCTGTCAGACTTCGCACCTGTATCAACTTCGCCGTGTGAGATTGTCTTTGCCTTCTCATCGCGGGCGTCCGGCTTGATGGTGCGTTTCGTCTGGTCGATTTGGGCGCCGACATCCGTTTTCTTCTCCTGCTTCCCAAAGCTTGTTGGAAAGAACTTCTTGAATTCTTCCTCGTCGAACCCGTCCATAGCTGATGATCTGTGGCTGCGCGCCTTGCCAGTTCGTCTCAGGTTGAGAATGAGCGTTATCGCGAAGTTCGGTGAGTTTGTCAAGTTTTGCGTGTTTACAGTGTTTGCATTCCCTTATCTTTGATTAGTAATTGCTGGATTTATACAAAAGCTTGGCGTTTTAAGCTCAAAATATGCGTTCCCCGGAATCATTTTCTTGCTTTGGAGCACTGGTGAGAAAAAATTCCATCAAAAGTTTATTGTTGAATAGCGTGTCCAATGTCTATGAATAGTGTTTAACCCGCAGAATCCTATTCTGAGCGATTTCATGCCCTATATTCATTAACCGTCCAAAAAAGCTTAACAGGACTTGGCCTAGACTACATCTAGAACATAACCCCCAGGTTCGGATCTGTATTATTAAGGGCAGCGGAAATTCCCCGTTTTACATCTGCACCGGGACTTAGGGGAGTTAGGAATCTGCTAACAATACGTAGCTGGAGCCAGTTCCCCGCCACGTCCTGCCCCCCAAGAGCTCAAGCGCTGACCATTATGCCCAAAAAGTCCCCACAGCTCGCCAGCTAGCAGGGCTAGCAAAGATGGTGGAGCATTGTAGGTGATGTCACGTTGCCGAGCGGCAAACGCGAAGATGTTAGCAACTGCCGAGCGAGACCCCGAGAAGCCAGCGTGGGCAGAGAGCAAGCGGTGGATTATATCTGGGGATGGCTCCAGCTTCCGGGCCTCATGCCGGGCCCAGTTCGGGGCCAGTCCCGGGCTCCAAATAGCTTAATCTCGGCACCGAGACATCTGGTCGGCAACTGCTCCAATGACCGAGCTCGACTATACAAACGATGTGCAAGTGCGGCCTCAATCCGCTGTGGAAGTCCCACTTCCCGGCCAGAGCTGCCATACCCCGGCGACGGCCCCGTGGGCTCGTGGAGTTGATTCCGAGCTATGGATGCCCTCCAGACTTCGGATTTAGTGGTACCTAGAGGCTTCTTATATTCGTTAACTGCGTTGTCGAATTGGCCTAGTTTTTCTGTCTATCGGTTTTACAATTCTTAATTTTACCTTCTAGCCCTAACCCGGCAGCCGCTATTATACAGAAAAAGAGAAAATGGCGTACGATTTCGCAGAAAATAACGCCACTGATAGCTCTAGGACGAGTGACGACCTCAAGGGGTCTGGCTCCGATTCTTTGCATTTGGAAACAATAGGAACCCTCGGGCACTCTGTAAACCTAGAGGCCATCCAAACGGTGTCAACAGGAGGGCAGTTCCCCAAGGACAGAACATGGGATAATGAGTCCCCCTACAACCCCAGCAACTGGCCCCATTGGAAGAAGAACGCGCAGATATGGATGGTTTCTTTCCACTCGATGATGGGAACTTTCATGGCAGCTGGCATTGTACCTGCTTATGATATCTTTGCGGAAACATATGGCATTGCGGTGCAAGATGCAAGCTACCTGACATCACTCCAAGTATATATGCCACAATACCCATCCCATGGTGTATAAATAGTTCATTTTACTTACTTTTCCTTTGCCTCCAGATCCTTCTCCTTGGTGTATCCCCCTTAGTCTGGAACCCAGTCACCGCAATCTACGGCCGATACCCCGTCTCCCTCCTCTCAGTCTTCGGCAGCATGGTCTGCAATATCGGCGGCGCTCGGTGCCGCTCCTATGGCGGCCAAATGGCCACGCGAGTCCTCACAGCCATCCTCATCTCACCCACAATCGGCAACGGCAGCGGCGTCGTCGCCGAGCTCGCAGAGCCCGAGCACCGCGGCAAGAAACTAGGCTGGTGGACGCTCCTCACCACCCTAGGTGTCGCCATAGGCCCCTTCCTCATGGGCTTCGTGACCAAGCATATCGGCGCCGACTGGATCTTCTGGATATTCGCCATTATCAACTTTGCCCAGCTCGTGCTGTACATCGCCATCGGCGACGAAACAATCTACAACCCACACCACGAGCGCAAGACCACCGGGTTCTGGGGCAAGTTCGTCCCGAGGAAGATCTCCTCTCATTCTCTCAAAGTAAAGGATATCTTCCTTCCCTTTACGCTGGTGCAGTACCCGCGCGTGGCCATTGCATCCTTCTCACTTGCCATCTGCTTCGCCTACGTCAACGTGGCAATCAGTGTCGAAATGCCGGCCATCTTCGGAGGAAAGTTCGGCTTCGACGCGCAGCAGATCGGGCTGCAGTTTATCCCTGTCATTATTGGGTGCGTGCTGGGCGAACAGCTCAGTGGGCCCATGTGCGATTGGTTCTTAGGCCGGGTGCGCAAGACCAAGGGGGATGCCTGTCCTGCTGACAGGTTATGGCTTGCGTATATTGCCTTTGGCACTGTTATTGCAGGCCTCTTGACTTGGGGGTTCCAGCTGGAGAAGGCAGAAAGCTGGAACGTGACGCCGCTTGTTGGTGTTGCGATTGCGAGTTTTGGGAACCAGATGCAGACCACCATTTTGACAACTTTTGCTGTTGAGAGTAAACGGGAGTGTGCGAGTCAAGTTGGTGTCTTTGTTAATGTTTGTAGACAGGTTTACTGCTTTGTAAGTCACTAAGTATCCTGCGGTGTATCGCTCGAAGATTTCACTGACGTTGTTCAATAGGTTGGGCCGTTCTACTTCACGCCCATGTTCGACACGTTGGGCCTCGCTGTGTCCGCTGGGATATTTGTGGCAATTATTGGTGGCTGCTCTCTGATTCCAATCATGGCAATCCAGTTTGTTGCTACTCGCGCGGATAGGCCTTGAATCATTGATGTGCACGGGCCAGATGACATAGACAGATAGACTATATAAACCAGGAACTCATTATCAATCTCAAGCCCAACACACACACTATGTATGCTGGCGAAAATATGCGCATCTTTAGGTCTTTCTTCGTATGGTTCTGGGATGGTAAGGCCAAGATTTTACTAGAATTATATGAGAAAATTGAGGTAAATTGAATGTCAGATTAGAATACACAAGTTTCTATGGGTAAGGTGATAACGCTAATAAAGTAGCGCTGCACCAATGGCCATGTGCATCTACAAGTACAATCCTTCCACAGGTCCGCCATCCTGCTTCGTCTTCATGATACGCTCGCGAGCGGCGCGGAAGTCGTCCATCTGCACCCTCATGCGGCGCTCTCTCAGCGCCATCAGACCGGCTTCCGTGCAAATAGCGCGGATATCGGCACCGGAAAGGTCATCCTTCTGGCTGATGAACTCGTCAAGGTCGACATCGTCCCCGAGGGACATCTTCGAGGTGTGGAGGGTGAAGATCTTCTTCTTGGTGTTTTCTGATTTCGGTTAGCATCCTGACTACACCTGATACTGTTTAGAAGGGGGAAAACTTACGGTCGGGGGCCTCAAACAGGATCTTGCGGTCAATACGTCCAGGACGAATCAAGGCAGGGTCAAGAGTTTCGATCTTGTTGGTGGCCATAACAACCTTGACATCTCCGCGGTCATCAAATCCATCCAACTGGTTAAGAAGCTCAAGCATGGTTCGCTGGATTTCTCGTTCACCGCCGGAAGTCGAATCGTAACGCTTCGTACCAATGGCATCAATTTCGTCAATGAAGACAATTGATGGGGAATGCTCCGCGGCCACCTGGAAGATCTGACGCACCAGACGGGGTCCGTCTCCTAGGTACTTTTGGATCAACTCACTTCCAACAATACGCAAGAATGTGGCACTGGTCTGGTTCGCAACGGCTTTGGCAAGTAGCGTTTTTCCAGTTCCGGGCGCTCCATAAAGAATGACACCCTTTGGTGGTTTGATACCCATCTCCTCATACAGTTCGGGGTGAAGAAGCGGCAACTCGACTGATTCTCGGACTTCCTGAATTTGTGATTCGAGACCACCAATATCGGCGTAAGATTCTGTCGGCGCCTTGTCAAGCTTCATCACCGAAACCAGCGGATCTGACTCCTCCGTCAACACACCAACAACCGAAACTGACTTGTGGTGTAGTAGAATACTGGCACCGGGTTCCAGCAGGTCCTTGTCGACAAACGACATGATGGACACGTAGTACTCTGGGCCGGTCGCACTCGAGACAATCGCGTGGTCGTCATCAATCAACTCTTCCAGGTTGCCAACACCCATCGGGCTCCCTCTCATATCATCGACACGCCCGCGCTCATCGGCATTTCTGTCCGTGATATCGACTTCTCCACCACTGGCAGCCGGTGACACAGACGCCTTCGCTTTCCGCAGCCGCTCCATGTTTTCAACGTACTCTTCCTCCAGTAGTAGGTGATCGTGGACGCGCTGCATCCGAAGATACCGGAGTTTACATCGTGACGTGGGGTAAATGTCTGGTAGCTTGGATGCAGTGCTGGGACCGGCGGCCTTGCGCTTCTTACGACCGATGCGAGTGGTAGGTGGTGGTGGTGGCTCGTACTTAGGCTTGTCCTTCTTTAAAGGCAAATTATTATTAGTAACTGTTTGCAGGGCCATCGCAAACGACACAGAAAATCTCTTACCTTGTTATCCTTGTCGTCTTTGCCATCGCCCCTAGGGCCTCCGCCGATGTTGGACTGTTGGTTACCCTACACGTTTTCATGCTTGTCAGATGGGGGCAACACGGCGAGAGAGCGCAACAGAAACTAACCATAGTCCGGAGGTGTTGTAGTGCGATAGATTAACAAGCTTTGGGTAAGAACAACGATGGACGGGTGAAGATTAGGGAAGGGAAGGGATGGAAACGGGAGGAGGATGACAGAATGGAGCTTGATAGCAGCTTGAGGTCAGTTCGGAGCTGTTGCTGTTGTCGCCTTCGTCAGGCCTTGGCATTGATTACGTTATGGAGTGCACACGTGACCTCGTCGCCAAAACAGCCTTGTACAAACAACAAACCATAAACTACAAATGACCCGGCGGTTAATTAGAACCCAGTAGAATCAGGCTACGTAGTTGCAAACTGAGGCGTTCGATCTAATCCCTGGTAGTAGATAGTGATCCTGGTGGCCCAGGCAGAGCTGGGCGGTCGAGTCACTGCTCGCCCTATCAAAGAGTGCACCGCCGAGTCTATAGCGCCGTGCTGTGCGTGGTGGCTCAGTTGGTGGTCATGGCCTGGGATGGAAAGGAAGGAAACCTTTGGTGACCAACACCTAAATACTCATCATCCGCCGGTATCCTTCCATCCTCGCCTGAGACGTTTCGCACCGTTTCTACCTAGTCGCCCGATCTGTACCTATATGTCATCTTACTGGTCTAAACTCCATCCATCTCCGTCGTGGGCCCCTCAGCTTCCCCTCCAACTTAGGTAGCCTGCGTGAGGCTCTTCCGAAACCCAAAGCGCTCCCAGTCATATCTCCAGTGCTCGTTTACACGTCACCCCCGGTGACTCTTCTTCCAAGGTGATTCTTCATCATATCTCTCCTTCTTATCCTGCTACTGCGAAGTTACTCCGAGTTCTCTCGAGGCTAACCACAGCTTCCTAGGCTATTAGCTCCGCACTTCCCCTCTAGCTGTTCCTGTCGCATTTATCCCCATCCCTCGAGCATTATTCACACCCATGGCGTCCAACCGAACTCGCCGTATCACAAAGGAAATTGCCGATATTCGTGCAGACACCCACTCCCAAATCACCGCAGAGCCCGTTGGCGACGATGACGATGTCACGAACCTCCGCGGTACTTTTCCGGGCCCTCCTGGGACGCCATATGAGGGTGGCACATACAAAATCGACATCAAGATACCCACCGAGTATCCGTTCCGACCGCCTGTAATGAAGTTCCTGACAAGGGTTTGGCATCCAAATGTTAGCAGTCAAACGGTTAGTTTCCTAGACCTGAGCCTTCGACGGCCTCTTCTAATGCCTCTACCCGCTAGGGTGCTATCTGTCTCGATACACTATCATCCGCCTGGTCCCCTATCCTCACCATCAAGGCTGCCCTCCTCTCACTTCAGTCTCTCCTCAGCACACCAGAGCCCAAAGACCCACAGGATGCCGAGGTCGCGTCTATGTTGCTTCGGAACCCCAAAGAGTTTGATCGTGTCGCGCGAGAGTGGGCTGTCCAACACGCAGGAGCGCCTAGGAAAGCAGCCGGAGAAGGTAGCGGTGGTGCCACGACCGAATCCCTACGGCAGTTGGAGCAGAAGGAGAGGGAGGACAGAGACAAGGAAGACCTCTCCAAGTAAGTTATGGCAAAACGCTCTAACAAAATTGGTCGCTGACATATTCAATTAGATACGACGGGTACAACAGGCAGCTGATTGATCGTTTTGTTCATATGGGTTTTGATGTGGATCAGGTTGTGTCAGCTTTCAACTACTACGGCATTGACCGCAATGGCGGCGAGGACTATGAATTGGAGGAAGCCTACATGGGCGATGTAACCGCTCGACTCCTCGGCGAGCCCTAAAAGCCACGCTCGTCCGACTCGAACGTGAATTTGTTTGTTATAGGTGGACTTGATGACGAGCACGGTGCCCGGCGAATTCGTTCTATTATTCTGGCTTATTTATTCGCCCGTTCTTCGGGTTTTGGGACATTTATCAGATATGTTATCGCAGTTCAACTCATAAACGGATCATTTAGCATATCGACATCAGCTGGTCTCTTTCAATTTAGCTGTCTTAAATTAACTCTACTTGCTAGTAATTTTTCAGTAGAGTAATATTATTATTTTCCCTCTATTGTTTATTGAGTAATTCATAGTTCAGCTCACTTGGGCACCTGCAGATTGGCGAGATTTCCAGTTTGGGAATCTGTATCGATAAGCACGTGGATCCCTTGAGGCTTCAACAGCTCCCGCTCACTTTCGACCTCAACTTCGATTCTAACAGCATACTCTCATCTAGCCATGGATAAATGAAACACCAAAGCTCGTTTACCGAGTAGATCATTCGTGTATTCGACATCGCCTGTCTATATCCGATTAAAACCGCCCTGAACCAGAATCGCACAAGCTCATCTCATTTTCCCGCCACGATGATCGAAGACGACTTTTATCGCACCTCGTCGCAGTTCCGTCTGTGGTCCTTCACAGAGGATTCATTGCGATCAGTTAGGCAAAATACGAATAGCCTTGCAAGTGACCGAGTGCGGGTTGCGCTACGAAGGGCGCGTGAGGCACGGCAATCTGCCAACTCGTCCGCCGCAGGCACGCCCAATCCGAATGGCAGCGATGCAGACAGCAAGGGCGGAGAGGAGAATGATATCGAGTGTTTGACGCCGGAGGAAGAGCAGGATTTAGTGCGGTATTTCTGCGAGCAGCTCGTACAGTTGGGGGAGAGCTACAAACCTCCGCTGCCGACGACGGTCAGGGTATGAAACCTTTATGGGAATTGCTGGATATATTTATTGGAAATCTTGCTGACGAAGCTCATGTTTACCAGGCCACTGCGATTCAATACCTCCGGCGCTTCTATCTTACGAACTCACCCATGACCTACCATCCTAAAACAATAATGCCATGCGCTCTGTTCATCGCTACTAAAACGGACAACTCCTACATGTCACTACGGCAATTCGCTGACGGAGTTCCCGGCGATACCTCAGCGGAGGACATCATTGCCCCAGAATTCCTGGTCATGCAAAGTCTCCGCTTCACTTTCGACGTTCGACACCCCTTCCGCGGGTTGGAAGGTGGACTCATGGAACTGAGCGCCATCTCACAAGGCCTGGGCGAACCGGCGCCTCACCTTCCGCAACAAACACCAGAGTCTCTTCGTCAATCCATATCGTCCCTCCCTCAGCCTCCTAATAACCCTGCCTCATCCTCAATATCCGAACGCCTCGCCCGAGCCCACCACAACACACGCGAAATGCTCAAATCTGCCGCCCAAATGACAGACGCCTATTTCCTCTACACCCCGTCCCAGATCTGGCTGTCCGCATTCTTCCTCGCCGATCAACCCCTCGCCGAATTCTACCTCGACACAAAGCTCCCAAATCCACCCGACACAGCCGACCCATTCAACCAACTTCGTGCCAAACTCTTCAAAACCCTGACTGCCTGCTCCTCCCTCCTCCAATCCTACAAACCCATCGCCTCTGACCCAGAACAGAAAAAGGTCATGCGCCGTATCGGCAAAAAGTTATACCACTGCCAGAATCCAGAAAAGGTAAACCTCGCCGGTCAAAAGCGGATTCCGGCAGCGGCGGCAGCATCAGCTGCTGCTGCTGCGTCTGCAAGTGATCCCGCAACACCGGAAAGCGAGATGGAGCGGCTAGCCAAGAAGCGGAAATTAGAAGGGGAGCAGAAGGCGCAGGATATTTTTGGCGGGGAATTGGTTATGGAGAGGACGAAGGAGAGACAGGGATAATAGAACCCTTTTCTCTCTATACCGAAGTAAACGAAAAATAGTTCTCTTTTTTTCTTTTCTTTTATACTTTGTATAACAAGATATGCCTTACTTGGGTTTTATTAGCCTTTCAGGAACAAAAAATGAGCAAATGAGTTGCATAAGATAAGTTTAGTTCGCAGTTTTTGGAATCGTACGCTGCAACATGTCCATTAGCTACGAAGCATTTAATACTTGGTAGGCAGTACTCTACTTTATAACTACTCTGTATAGCTTGCGTAAATAAGAATGTCCTTCGAAATCAATGAGATGATTATTCCGTTAACTCCAGATTGCTTTTCATCTGCTCCAACAACCTTCACATACCTCGTAACTAAGCGCCAGGTAACGAAGGGCAGTATCCAAGACACTCGAAGCCAGATATACAACTGCAAATACACATACTAAAGAATACTAGTCCACTGACACAAAATGCCGAGCCAAAAAGGAGTCAATTCAACCCTCCAATGCTGAAGTCTAGATAGATAAACGGGAGGATGGAATGAGGTATGAAACACAGGCCATCTAAAAAACTGAAGAGCACCCAATAGGAAATATAGTAAAATAGAAAAATGATCCATCCTGACGCGAAGAACAAAATTTAGGGAACTTAAATTTTCCCAATGGTTAATTTAAACCTAAGGTATCCATCCTATCAATCCATTCGGGACGGTTCGTCACTCCCGTGGCTGACAGAAACTAGAACAGAACGGATTTGAATTGACAAAAAAAAAATATCAAACAAGAAAAACTTTTCCTCTTCTCCCACGTTGTATCATGATCTAGCATGCCAGTCGTTAAAGAGAAAAAAAAATATGAGATTCGCGGCATCCGTGCGGTTCACGCTTAGACGGCACCCTCGGAAATCATCTTCTTGCGGAGGTGGTTCTTGTATTCGCCAATGGTGCCGTCCCAGCGGCGGACAGTCTTGTGCTCGCAGACCATGATGTCCTTGGCGATCTTGTCGAGGAGTCGGAAATCGTGAGACACGACGACGACACCACCAGAGAAGGCGTTGATGGCGTCTGCCAGACTGTCGATGGTGGGGATATCGAGACCGTTGGTAGGTTCGTCAAGGAGGAGCATGTTGGGGGATTCGATGGCAAGGAGGGCGAACACGATACGACTCTTCTGACCTTCGGACAGGGTACCCATCAGAGCAGTCTGGGACTCACCAGAGAGACCGTAGCGGCCGAGCTGTTGACGCCAGTACTGGAAGTCCTGACTCTTCTCGGGGAATTTGTCACGGACGAACTCAAGGGCCGACTTGGTAAGGTCGAGCTGCTCAGCGGAGTGCTGACTGTACATGCCGAGCTTCAAGTGAGTGTGACGGCTGACACGGCCACCGATGGGAGAGAGCTTTCCGGTCATGAGGCGTAGAAGGGTTGATTTACCAACACCGTTGGGGCCGACAAGGGCAGTTCGGGAGTCCATGTCGACACCAAAGTCGAGGTGCTCGTAGAGGGTATCCGCCCATTCACCAGAGTAGGAGAAAGAAACGTCATCGAAAGAGAGGACGGGAGGGGGGAGCTTTTCGACATCGGCGAAGCGGAAACTGAAGACTCGGTCAGGGATGACAGGCTGGATGAAACCGTCTGCCTCCATCTTGTCGAGGATCTTCTGGCGGGACTTGGCCTGTCGCACCAAGTTGGCGTAGGTACCAGCAGAGGCGATGAACTTCTTGATGTGCTGGATTTCTTCCTGCTGCTTGTTGTAGGCCTTCATCTGGTTTGTCTCCTGTTCGGCGCGAGTCTTGTGGTAAGAGTCGTAGTTACCACCATAGTACAGCAGCTGCTGTCCACGCATGTCGATCATGTTTGTGCAGACACCGTTGATGAAATCCTGGGAGTGAGAAACAAGAACAAGGGTACGCTCCCACTTCTTGAGGTATTCTTCCAGCCACACACAGGCTTCAAGATCCAAGTGAGCAGTGGGGTCGTCAAGAAGAAGCAGAGAAGGCTTGACGAACAGGGCCTTGGCAAGGGCCACACGCATACGCCAACCACCAGACATGTCCTTGGTCTTCTTGTGAATTGTCGTCTTGTTGAAACCAAGACCAGTCAAGATGAGAGAAGCACGGGTGTGGAAGGTGGAGGGGTCCATTTTGTCCATACGCTGTCAAAAGTTAGCAAGAATTCTTACTTCAAACAATAAAAAAGGTGGGAAAACGTACATCATACAGATCCTCAAGGATAGGGCTATCAGGACCCTCCTTCTCAAGAATCTCCTCAGCCTGCTTCTCCATACGGTCAAGCTGGTTCTGAGCCTCCGTAACAACCCACTCAAGCGCCCCCAAGTCACTAGGCGGGGCACCCTCATTCAGGAGATAGATATCAATGTGTTCAGGGATCGGGAACTCGCGAGCATCGATCGACTTGAGCAGGGTAGACTTTCCGCAACCGTTCTCACCGAGCAGACCGTATCTCCGACCGAAGTTAAGCTCGAGGGTCGAGTCCGTGATGAGGACCTTTCCGTGGAACACAAGCGAGGCGGAGGTGACCTTTGCGTCGCGCGACGAGGGCATCGACGAGAGCACACCGGTGGTGACACGGTCCGAGAGACCGTGCTTGTCCATCTGGGCTGTGAGCTTCTCGACTTCCTTCATCTTGGCGTCGGTGGTGGCCGGTTGGTCTTCAGCACCGGAGTCAGCGGGCGTGTCGGACTTGCTGCCGACCTTCTTCTTCTTGTCATCGCCACGCTTGGCCATGCGGGCGGCTTTGGATGCTGACACCATCTTGGCTGTGTTGTGTTGAGGGGGGTCGGTAAGAGGGGTATATAGGCGAGGAAGGGAGGTTGAGGGAGGCCTGGAGGGGGGGGAAGCCTGACGTGAAGACGAGGTGAAGGAGGGAAAAAATGAGAGGGTGGATCAGAAATAAAAATAGCGGGGGGGCGAGCCTTCCTTTGCTTTGGTGGGGGAGAGGTCCTTAACAAGCCCTTATCGATAGACCTGCTAGATAACCAACAGGCGGCAGAAAGAGATCGAAGAGCGAGTAGTCTCGGTGGATGACTAGCCGGCAGTCAACGATCGTTGGAAGATGAATTGCCTCTGGATGAAGATGAAGGGAAAGAGAACGACAATAATAATAATCAGAGATTGCACCCAAGGCTGATTGTGGTGGGAGTCGGAGCCTGAAAGACGCGGCCAAAAACCTTGACTGTGGGCCGCCAAGGGACATCCCATTGGCCAAACGACGTCATTCGAGACTGGCGTGGCGGGGCTTAGCCCGATCGGGCACTCACAGTCACGTGAAAGCCTTCTCGACCAATGTATGACTAATGACCGCCTTTCTATTGATCAGTACTCGACAGTGCGTACAAGTCGGTGGAAGCGAAATATTTTATTCATGTATTATATACTAATAAATATGTACTGAGTATGTACTAAGTGTCTAGGTATAATGTCTATCCGGATGACCAACTACTCTTTCATCCGCTCGCTAATCCTCTCCAAAACCTCCTTCTCATCCGCATCCAGCCAGAGGTTGTCAGACCACTCAACTTTACCAGGCCGAATAATAACCTGCACGTCTTCCGAGTAATCATCCGACTCGGACGACCCAAATTCAGTACCCTGCTTGACCTCCGGCGCGCTCTCGATATCCTGCGGCTCTTTCGGCTGCGTCTTCGGTCTACCAACGTGGTGAGGCGTCCACCAATACACAGGGAACCGGCGCTGGATGTTATTAAGTATCAGCGCCACCGTCAACATCAGAGCAACTCCTAGCAACATAATCGGAATCAGCCACCAGCCCACGTCGTGCAGTTCCGTGGCGGCGAGTAGCGCAGTCGCCCCGGCAGGTGGGTGAACCGTATTCGTAAGAACCATTAATGCCGTGGTGATAGCACAGGCTAGGGACCCGGCAAGCTCGGGCTTGTTTTGCGCGCTAGGGTTCAAAGCAAACAGCTTCGCAATGGCAACCCCGATTATACTCGCGATCAGTTGGCTAAATAGTGCGTTTCGCGGTTGAGCAAAGGGCGACTCGATGGCGCAGAACTCCAGCACGGCTGCTGCACCCTGTAAACATGTTAGCCAAACAATTCTAGTCCCAGGTCAGCTAAGGTCAGGTCAGGTCAACATACAAAAGAGCCCACAATAAGCGGCGCATTATGGTTTTGAAAAGCGGGAACATGAAGTGAAACCTCCGCAACGAGTAGCACGCCACAGAAAACGCCAATAAGGGCCCAGAATGCAATGATGAGATTCCCCATCGCCTTCTGCGGATGCTCCCCTCTATGCCCCAGGAAATGAGAGATGGGGCGCGGCACCCAGTGCCATGGCGGCGGGGGAACGAACGGGTTCAGCACGGAATCGATGTCGAAGTGCCACCGCGAGAAGTCGATGCTGCGGCGGCGGTGATGGCCATGGTTATGGCTATGGCTGGATGAGCGGCGGGAAGAATGTGAATGTGTGCGCGCGGCGCCACCGGTTGGCGTCGTATCCGCCGTCATATTTCGATGCCTTGCTTCGGCTGGCTTAGAGGCGCATATGTTGGTAGGGTGCAAGAATAAAAGAACTCAAATGGGTCCTCTGTGAGACCTCGAGGTTTCCCGGGTCGATGCTCGAGCAAGCACTGGTGGGAACGGTCCAAGTGGTAAAGCTCACAACTAGACAAGTAGAGAAAGGACAAGAATATAAAGACCGAGGAGCGAGCGACGACACGCCACCAAAATACCAGGAGCAGCAGCGAAGCAAGGGAGAAAACGTGCCTGAGCAAGGTGTGGCCAGAAACGGGACTATATATCCACCACCTCAGGCTGAAGAATTGACGGGCCAAGCCCTACCCCAGACTCAAAGTCTCCCTCCGAACGAATAGCAGCGGAACAAACACCGAAGTGTGTCAGGTCATCAGGTCTTCGTCGTCTCAAGGGGGATCTGAGAGCCAGAGGCAGCGACAGGCCCTATTTTGAGGCATGACAGGTCCAGCCGCCCTTCACCCGTCATAACCGTGTCTCCGCGGAGAGAGAATTGTCAGCGAGGAATGGCCGAGGATTGCAACAGAAAACGGCCAATTCGCGACTGTCGCAACAATGAAGCGCGCATCCTTTCGTGGCTCTTCCACTCATATAGTTTGTGTTGGGTAACAGAAACTCCGCAATTGGCTTAGCTTGCGGACCGCCGGAAAATCCTGGTACGTAATCGGTATTTTATTACGCTGATGTCATGTATTTTTGCCCTATGCTGGTCTTATTATTTACTCAGATATCGAATGCTGATGCAGTGACAAGCGTCGTGAAAAGTCTAGATTCAATATGTTCATGCAGATGTTGAACTATTTTTATATATGCCATATTAAAGAATTACCCTTTGCAGATCGTCTGCAGCTCGACCACGAGTCGGGACGCGAGGCAACCCCGAGTACACTCCGGCCTCCGCATCAGGTATTTTATACTCCTCACTCACTCCGCACTCCTCACGACTCCAACTAAAAGTCCAAAGTCTTCCCTTGCTTGGAGCTCTCTTGGACCAAATCGATCAGCCGAATAACCTCTGCGGCCTCCTCTCCGCTAGCAGGGAGCTCGCCTTCGCCTGCTAGAGCCCGAGCCATCTTCCTGTAGTATTCGGACCAGGTGGGTGGCTCCACGGTGGGAGTGATTTCGCGGACGGGCTTGCCGTCTTGAATAGTGGTGAGGGTACCTATACAACATGAGTCAGCACCTGCAGCATGCGTTCTTAATTCAATTGAGCTCTTACCGTATCTCTCGCTTGGCTCTCTGCCATACCCACTATCGCTAGGCTTCATGCCAGCCTTGAGCTGGTCCTCTTGAATATCAAGGTGGAACTGTTCCATGTCAACTCACACATTCGATTATTCAAACGGAAAAAGACCTACCTTCTTAAAGCTCCCCTTCTCACCCCTGACCCAGAACCGCAGCTGTTCCTCCTCAGGGCTCACAACACCAGCCTTCGCGGTAACGAGTAACCCGTTGTTATAGTGCAGGAGCACGGTAAATGAATCCTCATAGCCGGAAGTGTTGACTTCACGCTGGGTGCCAACAAAGCCTGTCACCCGGTTCGGCTTGCCGAGCAGATGAACGGCCTGGTCTAGCAGGTGGGATCCAAGATCGTGGATCGCGCTACCACCGGGAACAACCTTGTTCTTCCACTTCGAGACAGTAGGCGCGGGCTCCTGGGGGCGGTGGCGGTCAAAGTGGGATTCGAATTCAACGACACGTCCGAGAGCACCAGTCTTGACGAGCTTGGAGAGGGTGACGAAGTCGGCGTCCCACCGGCGGTCTGGGTCAGGTTAGCAGGTCATCCAGGGGATAGCAAAGACGGTGGACGTGTCTTACTTTGGTAAACGGCGAGGAACTTGTTTTGCTTCTTTGCGATGGCGACGAGGTCGGCGGCTTCCTTGTAGGTCGGGGTAAATGGTTTCTCGCAGACAACTTCCGGCCATTAGCAAGAAGTCTATGAAGCCTTCATCTTGGTGCCTGTGAACTCACCGTGTTTTCCATTCTCGAGCGACAATTTGGACAGGGAGTAGTGCAGATCGGGCGCGGTGGTGATGACGACTACATCGACGGCCGCATCCTGGACCAGCTCCTCCGCACTGCGGTAGGACTTGATCCCGGGGTGGTCCTTCTCGGCATCATCATCGGGCTTGGGGGTGCGCTGGACAATAGCATACAGCTTGAACTGCGGAACCTCCTGGATAAAAGGGATGTGGAAAGTTTTGGCGCTGAAGCCGTAGCCGACGACTCCGACGTTCCAGGTCTTGGAAGCCATGGTGGGGTAATATACAGGTGAGGGGAACACGGGGAAGGGTGGGATGGACACTGAGACGAGCAGAAACAGGGAGGATGGACCAGATTATATAGGCAATTGACAATTGCGACAGAGATTTATATTTCTAAGCAGAATGCAGGAATGACAGCTTGAAGCCTGAAGCAGAGGTGTGGGGGAGAAGCGAGGAAGGTCCTGGCGACGGCAACTCTGGCTCAGCGGGGCCGGCGACTGGTTTCCGGTGACAGCATTCCCGCCTCTTCTCTCTGCTCTCTGCTCTCTTGCCTCCTCCACTCCCTCAACCAACACACCGCGTCACCTCAATCGCATCCTACCCAATTAGCCGCTATCCACAAAATAAAGGGGGGAAGGAAAGCTTACATGATACCCTTCCGGCTGTCTCAGCACGCTCTCGTACACCAAATTCGGGTTGCCGAGAATCTCAAACTTCGGCGCATTCTCACTTCCCATATACGCCTTGCTCGTCCTCTCCGAGAACCCCTCGGTCGTATAACTCGTCACCGGCCCCTTCTCTGCCTCTGCCCGCTTCTTCTCCACCGACGCCCTCACATACTCCAGATACGGCGGGTTCCCAGGGTAAATCACATTATCTGCCGCAATTACTGACACCCCGGGCACAATCATCCCGAGCTGCTCACATAGTTTCAGGTCTAGCGTGTACGCCGGCTTGTAGTGGTCGATGAACAGCAGCTCTACCTGCTTTACCTCGCCGGTTTCAAACAGCCGATGCAGGAGCACATCACTCCTGCCAACAAGGATCTGCACAAACCCACTCAACCCCGCAAGCTCAACCAGCTTGTTCGCGATATCTGCGAACTCAGCGTTAAGCTCGAGACTGAAGTAGCGTGAGCCACCATTACGGCGGACGACGTCGCCGTACAGGATGGCGGAGTAGCCGACGTAGCAACCGAGTTCGATCATGGTGTGTGGCTTTCGCTCGTTGATGAGGTCGGTGACGATGGGGCCTTTCTCGGGCCCGACGGTCATGAAGGCGTAGGTTTGCGAGAACTCGTCGATCAAGTCGAGGACGGCTTGCGGGTTGCCGCGGATGGAGTCGAGGTTTGGTTGGTTGTAGATGAAGTGTAGGAGTTTGAGCTCGCGGCCCTCCTCTCTCTGGTGCTGTTAGTTCTTTACGAATTGTAGAAGAGAAGCTGGGTGGACATACAGATAGCTGAGAGCGTCGTGTCTGTTTGTCTGACATGGTGAGTACTGTAGTAGCTTTGAACCTGGAGATAAGTTGCAATGGTGTCTATCTTCGCATGAAGAGGGGACTCCCTCGTTTATATACACCCCTTACTTAATCCTGCACCACCAAAAGGACGCCCAAAATGACGTTATTCGGAATGGAAAGAATTCCGCTACGATACGCTGATAGCATAAGCCAGCCAGATCCTTCGGGCCCGTGAACCGTTCTTGTCCGCCATCGCTCAGTTCTAGTGGAGAGCCAGCGCTGCATCCCGAAGTCCCTGTGGTCGAATGTGGTAGATAGCCCCGAGCATCGGAGGAGAATACCGAGAGAACAAGGCAATCCCCGAGACTCGGAGATAATCATTTGCATCCGAATCGACGAGTCTTGTGCAGGAAGATGTTCGTGACTCACTCGGAGTTAGTAACGGCCCCGAATGGGGATATCAAGGTTCACATGGATGTGAGGTTGAGTGTTGCCTGCTGCCTGCAGAAGGTGAGTTGCAGGCTCCAAGAGATCATTGGTTCTGTCGTGTCTGTTCCCTCGTACGACAAATCCACAGGTGTACCCGATGGCCTGGTCGACACGATGAGGGGGAGTGGAAAGGATACGACGTTAGAAGTGGGGGAACACCGCGGACTTAAGCTTGATAAGATTATCTGATCAAGTCCAGTCCGAAGTAACTTACAAAGTATACCAATATTAACTCTGCATAATTATACATCATTAGTGTATATATCAACAATACATATATAGATTGTCAATAGATCTCGCTGCCAGTTTGCCCGACGGTCGGTCGAATGCAGTATTGACGAACCCCGCATTCCTCACGATAGTTTCTTGACTTTCTTCATTCACAATAAAGACATTTCATTGGTGCAAAATCTCCTAAGTATAATCAAAACGACCAATTAGTGTATAAACACTGCGATGCGCATAAGCTGACATCACACTACACTTGGCCGGCCTAATCCTACGTCAAGTGGAGTAAACAGCATATAAAAATGTTGGGGTAAATATTGAGAGCATAATTAAAAGTTAGTGCATAACCCTTTTCTTCGTACCTGAATACGAGACCAAGACATGCTGCTCGGTATAATAATGCCCCTAGTGGAATATCTTCATATATAAACCATTGCTGTAACTACGTATTTTTACTTACATGAATGGCGCTCTCAGTCAACAACCACAATGCATCTCGCCCGGATACTCACTCTCCTCACTGCACTGCCCTTTGCAGCTGCAGCCATCCCCCCAAGACAAACATGCATCGTCCCAGCCTCCGGGACAAACAAAACCGACGACGCCCCGGCCATCATCTCCGCATTCAAGCGATGCGGTCGCGGCGGGAAAGTCGTCTTCCAGCCAACAACGTACTACGTCAACTCGGCGATGAACATCTCCTGGCTCCGTGACGTCGACGTCGATATCCAAGGGAAACTGCTGGTTCGTCAATTACCACTACCATTACCTATACCAAGGTCGTGCAAGCTGATAGTAATTTACTAGTGGAGTACTGACATCCCCTACTGGCTAAACCACTCCCTGCCCGTTGGATACCAGAACCAGTCGACAGCATGGATCCTAGGCGGGGATAACGTCCGCGTAAACGGGCACGGCATTGGCACTTTCGATGGGAACGGCGACTACTGGTACGAGTGGATACAGGAGCAGGAGAACACGTCGAATTATCCTGGACGGCCTGTCGCGTTGACCCTTAGCGGGTTGACCAACTCGGTTGTCAAGGGCGTTAATTTTCTGCGGAGTCAGATGTGGTATGTATCTATACGCCCGATGGGTGGGGTGACTGCTAATGGCTTGATAGGACGCTGGCGGTTATATACTCGCACCATGTCGACCTCGACGGGGTCTTTGTGAACAACACTGGGAACCGGGTGGATAGCTGTATGTTTCCACTTGAATGTTACAATATATACTGACTGTCTGTCTGACTATAGCAAACACGGATGGCGCGGATACAATTCGCTCGTCGCATATCAGCTTCAACAACTTCACCGTATACAACGGCGACGACAGCATTTCGTTCAAAGCCAACAGCACCGATATCACGCTCAAGAACTCGCACTTCCACAACGGCTTGGGCATCGCCATAGGCAGTATTGGCCAGCTTAATGACGAGTTTGAGACCGTCGAGAGGATCAAGGTCGAGAATGTGGTTTTCGATAACACGCTCCATGCGGTACATCCTCTCCTCCATTCTATCTGTAACACCGCTGATAGATGCAGGTATACTACAAAACCTGGACCGACGACCAGAACGGATACCCTCCCAACGGCGGCGGCGGCGGACTGGGCTGTAAGCACCCTCATTACTATTCTAAGTACAAAATAGAGCTAATGAAACAGACGCATCCAATATGCACTTCAACAACCTAACCACCACCTCCCTCCGCGGCTCTGCAGTCGCAATCTCCCAATGCACCCGCTTCAGCGGCGCCCCCGGCGACGGGAATTGCACCAACTCCCAGTTCCAGATCAGGGACATCACGGTTGCAAACCTGAAGGGAACGACGGAGTCCTCGCGCGTCGCTAGTTTGCAGTGTAGTGGTGTTGCGCCGTGCACGAACCTTGGGCTTGTTGGGGTTGATTTGGAGCTGGCGAATGGGACCAAGGCGGAGGAGTATCTTTGTGGGAATGTTAAGAGGCCTAGGGGGTTTGAATGTACTGGGGAGGTTTGTGAGGGAGGGAGTTCTACGGGGGAGTGTTAGACATTGTTTAGTGATAGGCTATTTTCCTCTCAACATCCAAGGGATCGTGGAGAACCAGAAAACGCAGATCTCGGGGTAAAGACGACCGAGCAGACACAAAGATAGTCTTAATCCCCCAGATTCCCCAGAAAAGCCGATGCTGGTTGCTTCTCCAAGTCAAGCTAAGACGGACAAATAAAGCCAGCAATTACAAGCCGCAGCCATGTAGATCCATGCTTAGCCAGCAATAAAACAACCAACAATTTCCTTAGTATTTTCATCTTTAATGACTCCAAAATCGACGGCAGTATGATGCTCCTATCCATACTCACCCTCGCTACAGGGGCATTCGCCTCCTGCTGGCGGAACTCGTCATGCACGGGGCCCTCGTCACCCTCCTTCCCCGGCCCCTGGGACGCAAACAATTACGCCCCAGACTCACGATCCATCCAGCCGAAATCCATTCTATCTCTTCCAAACGGAGAATACATCTCGTCTTACCCAGACGACTCCACGCCTTTATCAACCAGCGACATAGGACTGGTATTCGACTTTGGCATTGAAGTCGGAGGGATCCTTACAATCGAGTATACGGCATCTAGGCCGAATATAACACTCGGCCTGGCATTTACCGAGGCAAAGGACTATATAGGAAGAAAATCTGATAACTCAAATGGCGGGACTGGCGCAGATGGTGCTTTATCTGCTACTCTGTCCGAGGGGGAGGGGCTGTATACCATGCCCGACGCGAAACTCCGCGGGGGGTTCCGATACCTGACATTATTTCTAGAAGGAGAAGGTGAAGGGACTCTCACGATCAAAAATATAACCCTGGAAATATCCTACCAGCCCACCTGGTCGAATCTGCGCGCATACCAGGGTTACTTCCACTCCTCGGACAGCCTTCTTAATCGGATCTGGTATGCCGGCGCATATACCCTGCAGACGAACTCTGTTCCGAGGACAACGTGTCGGGCGTCGATTAGTTCCGCGACGGGGTGGGCGAACGATGCGGTTTGTGGGCCTGGGGAGACGCTGTTGCTTGACGGGGCGAAGAGGGATCGGTGGGTGTGGATTGGTGATATGGGGGTTGCGGTGCCGAGTGCGTCGGTTAGTACGGGGGATTTAGAGAGTACGAAGAACGCGCTGCTGGCTATTTGGGACAATCAGGTAGGTGGCCTTGGAATATGGAATAAACGGTGAGCTGATGTCTGGCAGACGCCGAGTGGGCTGTTGCCCAAGGCTGGGCCGCCGTATCTGAAGGCGGATAGTGACAGTACGTTCAAGTCAGGCATTTGAGTGTCGATGCTAAATGCGGTATAGCATATCATCTATGGACGATCATCGGGACGTATAACTACTTCCTGTTCTCCGAGGACGACGACTTTCTGTCTGATATCTGGCCGCGCTATGTCAAGGCTCTGGACTACAGCATCAGCAAGATAACACCAGACGGCATCATGAATGCCACCGAGACTGCGGACTGGGGCCGCTGGAACTATGACACCCTCGCAAGTTCTGCAAACATGCTGTATGGCACCTAGTTATCAAGTTATATGCCCAGCTAACAAAACCAGTCTCTACCGCGCCCTCACCACCGCTGCATTCCTATCCCCCTACGCAGACCCCAACACACAAACAAACTACACAGCCCTCGCCTCCTCCCTGCGCACATCTATAATCACAAACCTCTACGACCCCTCCTTCGGCGCCCTAAAAGACAGCCCCAACTCAACCCTCTACCCGCAAGACGCAAACAGCATGGCGCTCGCCTTCTCCCTCTTCCCACCAAACAGCACCGCCGCCTCCAAAATCTCCTCCTACCTAGTCTCAAACTGGACACCCATAGGTCCTGCCAGCCCCGAACTCCCAGGAAACATCTCCCCCTTCATCTCCTCCATAGAACTCGAAGCTCACTTTGCCACGGGATACCCAGAGCGCGCACTCCAGCTCATCCACACCCTCTGGGGGTGGTACATCGACCATCCCAACGGCACCGAATCAACCGTTCCAGAGGGGTATCTTGTTAATGGAACATGGGGATACCGCGGTGACAGGGGGTACAGGTATGACCCGACTTATGTATCTCACGCGCACGGATGGAGCAGCGGGCCCACGTCGACATTAACTGAATATGCCGTCGGATTGCGTGTTACGAAGCCCCGTGGTGCGGAGTGGAGTTTGAAGCCGGCTACTTTTAGCTTTGATGGGTTTGGTCAGGCGGAGGCAGGGTTTACGACTGGGTTAGGTAGGTTCAGGGCGGGCTTTGCTGTTGAGAATGGGGAGGTGAGGGTGAGTTGGGATACGCCGAGGGGGACGAGGGGGTGGGTTGAGCTTCCTGGAGGGAGAGGGAGATGGGTTGATGGAGGGAAGGGGAGTTTGGTGGTGTCTGTATAGCCCGATAAGGAAGGATGAGGTGGAGTTGGGTTGGTCGTTCTTGCCTCGAACGACAAGCTACCAAGGAAGGAGCTACCAAGACTTAGAAAGAGGAAGGAACACCACCATTATTCTAAATGCAGAAGGAACGACGTTGCTGTTGTTCCTTCCACATACGGCCACTCCTGCGGAATTGGTTGAGCCCTAAGTCTTACGACAAACCCAAATGTGAATGCACAACTTGGCACTTAAACGCATACATTCAAAGGTTATAGCGCTTACTTCTACCTTCCTTCCCCGAAACCTTTGGCATGGCAGTGATGACTATATTGGCAGAGGTGAGACCACATGGAGAGGGAGAGACAGCTGGAGTCACTACGCTGCTTATCCAAGATTTTTACAGTACAAATTAACTAAATATAATATTTCATATGGAATGGATTGTCAATTATTATAGAGCCTACGCTCAGCTTAAATTTATTTAAACAAGTGGACTTGACAGATTATATGAATGTCAACTAAGAAACCCAATGCTCAGTATCGCCCTTATGAGAGACAAAACTCCCCCCATCCCCATTCTCAACACTCGACTTCTCAATCACAGCAAGAATATCCTGAACCGCATCCTCCACAGGCCTAGGACCCCGGAAAGAAGGGCCGACAAACTGCTGGAATGCCTGTATCATCGGCGCAATCTTGGCCTGCTCTTCTTCCGTCACTGAATTCGTCAGCATCAACCTTATAATATGTATGGGTAAGCATACAATCAGTAGTGTGCCCCGTATCAACCATCCCAGGACAGATATTCATAAACAGCACACCATGCTCGGCGTACTGCATGCTGAACTTTGCCGTGGCCATGTTCTGCGCCGCTTTGCTGATGGTGTATGCAGGGCTGATTGCGATGCCCATCTTATTCACGAATTCTGTGGCTGCGAGTCCGGTGGAAATTGAAATAACCTTCTTAACGCTCCCCTTGAGGATCAAGGGAGTGAAGGTGCTGAATAGGTGGATGTTTCCGATACAGTTCGTCTTGAAGCTGTCGAGGAGCGTCTTTTCGAATTCTGCAGGGTTTTCGTCCCTATTCCTGTTATTCACCTTTCTTCAGGTAAGCTTCTAAGGTTGGGAATTACACGTACAGTACACCGATAGGGTCCAGCTCTTGCACGACAAGACCGGCATTGCCGATGAGGTAGTCCACGCCACCGCCGGTGATCTGTACAGTAGCAGCGGCAGCCTCCTTTAGTGCGGTATAGTCGGTGATATCTGCTTGGAGGATGTGTACATTCGAACGGCCGTCTAGTTCCTCTGCAACTCTTTTATCGGTTGCGGGTTTGCTGCGGACGAGGCCGATGACGGTGTTGGATGGGGAGCTGGATAGTTGGCGCAGGAATCCCCACTACAGCTGTCAGTTTATGTTCAAGAAATTTGAAAAGTACATACACCAATGCCTCTTGAGGCTCCGGAGACGACGTAGGATGGCATTTTAACCGTATATTTTAGGGTTGCTGTAATGTTGGGTCGATGAAGGCCATAGGCGTGTAGTAGACATATTTATACCCATTTTTCTACTCTCTTTCTTAATATTTGATTTCAAAGCAAGGAATATAAACTGTATAGAATATTCGAAGGCATGTTCTACGGTATACTTCTATCTCAATCCACTGATCCATATTAGCGCCGCAAAAAGTTGCCGCCAAGCTGTGATGGAGCACGAGCTATTCCATGTAAAGTTAAGTTTAATTATTGCAGAACTTTCATTGGATGTTAAATCCGGAGTGATTGACTCTGACCCAGACTTCCTTAGGGCTGATCGTGTAAGCCGAATCCCCAGCATTGAAGTTACTTATCACCCCCGTCCTCTCAAGCAAGGCAACTTTGCGCGACCTACATCTCCTTTAACGTTTTAACGAACTGCATATTCCAACTAAATATGGGTCGCAGCTGCGGGACTTGTAGAGGTACATAGCCCCCCATCTTCTAGATCCACCATTTACTGCGGCTGCTGAGTGCTGACAAATACCAGACCGACACATCTCCTGCGACCGCGCAGTCCCTGTATGCAGTCAATGTACACGGGCCGGTCGTATCTGCCAAGGTTACGGTCTGCGTCTATCCTGGCCAAGAGCAAACGATGGCAGACGCGCTGTGGTGGGCCGGTCGGTGCGGCGAGGCGTGGCTCGCCAGTCCTCGATGGCGTATCATGTTAACGCGTCGTCTTGGGATATTGAGATGCATCGGTATCTGTTGAGCTTGTCGTCGAAAAGTAAGTCTTCCAGCTTAGTGTTTATTATATATGGCTAAGTGTGTACTAGAGCAAGCTCGGCTGGCGTTACGAGTGCCGATGCCGTATGACGGGGCGACGTATAGCGACGGTGATAACCAGTTACTCCAGTACTGTATGTGGTTAAGCCAAAAATAAGGCCAAGGCTGACTTAAATAGTTCAATGTACTGCCTCCCAAGCCCTGCCGATTCTCGGCCACGATCCAGTGACGCTGGGCGAGACGCTCATGCGCCTGGCTCTCTCGACAACATCCCATTCCGCCACTGCGATACGGCGAGGTATACTAGGGCTATCCTCACTGCACCGCTACGGTATGCACAGAAAGGCCTTTGAGTTCAAAATTGCAGCAATCGAATCCCTCGCCGCCGCATCAAGCGGGACCATCAGCGGCATCGAAGCAATGCAGCACGTTGCCGCGGGGATGCTGCTCTGCTCGTTTGAAATACACAAAGCATCCTGCACTTCAGGGCAGTGGCGATGGTACATCACCGGCGCGAAGAGCATTATCCGGGCATCGTCTCTGTCCCAGTTCAAACCCGACGCCGACTTCAACATCTTGCTCGACTGGGTGCATTACCATGATGCGCTGTCGCGGCTTAGTTCGCTGCACTGGTGTCCCCTGCCAAAGGGCCTGGAGCCTCTATCTGATAATACGACGCCTGAAGAAGAGTGTAGATTCGACGAGAGTGAGGATATCCCCATCTCGCCGGCTATTGAGCCGCCCACTTCGTCGACTGCGAATTCCCTCCAGGTTATCCTTGCGGAGGCTTGCGATGTGTTGGCTGCGAAGCGGCATTCCGACCAGAAGAAGTATTACAGTTTTATGCACGACCTCAGCTGGAGACTTGCTTCTCTCTCTGGTTCTGTTGCAGCAGATCCTGTCCTTGAGCTCTTCTATATAGCTATGGTTGTCTACCTCAACCGCGCCACAGGGAATCTACTGGAGCCGGAAACAAAAACCCAACAGCGGATATCGCGCGCGTTTACGATGTTAGCGTCTATGAAGCTATGCGAGCGTCAATTCCCGTTGTTTATCTTGGGATGTGAGGCACGGACAGATGAGGACCGGCGCATGGTGCTTGATCTTGTTGACCGGACGGATCAGGCTGTTTCTTCGCGCTGGATGTTCCTTACCCGGGCGTTTATTAAGAAGGTCTGGGTGCAGGATGACCTTGCGGATGGGGAGTTGGATTATATGGATAAGCTGAGTGCGATTATGAGTACGTGTAAGATTCTGCCTCCGCTTGTTTGATCCAAGAAACGTTTCTGCTTCTATAGCGTTCTGTATACTGTACACAAATGAAACAAAATATGAACAAATGAAACGCATGAAACAGCAGATGTGTCGCTTCACGGGGATATCAATCATGTATTCATGCCATGCAATGCAATGCATTCCGTAAGTCGTTATTCCTGCCAGCGGTAATCGTTACAGGGCAGCCTCCCATGCTTTCCGTCTTCGCATCAGGTTTGGAAGTCTGAGATTCGAGGGTCTCTGGCTTGTTTGGCCGGTGTCTGTCGGGCTCCAAGAGTTGAGCATCTTCTTGATCTTGTCTCCGTCTCGGACCAGCCAGAGTGCGCATGCCGCGAAGACATACGTCGTCAGAGACAAGATGAGGAAGACGGGGATGAAAGATGTTTGTGATGTCTCCATGGTGACATCTGATTTGAATAAATGCATGCCGAAGAAGGACTGCTAGGTCAGTTTGTCTCTAAAACATCCATAGAACTGGTAACTTACAGTGATGAGACCCATTGGGAGATAGAACACAGTAGCGACTGTGAAGCCCAGGATATAGCGATGTTGCGCACTGCCAGCCTCGGCCAGTCTGGCTTCTTTCGTCCATTCTCGCGCTGAAGCGACATTGACCTGGACGAGTCAGAGCTGTTCACTTTCGAATACGACAACATACCTCGTCGAGAGCTTGTAGCTCGTGCTCCTCAATAGGCTCGAGAGTATCCTCCCACATCTCCTCATCAGTCTCCGTGTCCCATTCGTCCTCTGTGAAGGTGATCTGCGCCGGCCTGGCGATGTATTTCTCCGTGAGCACATCCAGGTACTTATTCTGCTCGGCCAATTGGGACCGGATGTCGTTCAGCGCCTGGATGATCTCTTTAATCTGGCCTCCTAGGCCGTACTTCCCATCCTCTGACTCGGAAGTTCCGTCCTCTGACTGCTCGTCCGACTCTGATTCTTCCGATTCAGAGAATGGCGGTGACTCTATCGCGCTCAGCTCGTCCCTTAGAGACATTGCGGTACTTGTCATTTACAGACACAACGAGAGAGAGTCTGAAATGACTGAAGAGTCCAATTGAGGAGAAAGTGCGCTGGCGACGCGTTGGGCGTGAAAGTTACACCGCACTTTCGGGGACACTGACCCCCCACTAGCACCAGAATGCCCTAGTTCCCTAGTATGTCCTCTCTGCCCCCACCCTGTTGAGTCTTCCAGGTTCACTACGAGTAATTATATTCTATCTATGATGCAGTTTAACTTTATAATTTGTTATAATCAGATTCTGGATTCAAGATAGAACTGTGGTAACTAGCTCACCGACATTAACCATTAACCAGATTAACAACGCACGGCCCACTTTCAATTGTTCTTGCATGTTGGACAGTCTCCACTCGGTCTTCTTTACCGTAGACAGTGGCTTGGCTCTGCTGTGGATGAGTCTGTGATCTTCTATTCTGTTTAACGGCTGTTATCTGTATTAAGGCTGTTATACTTGTAGCTGTTGCGCTTGGACTCGCGTGGCTCAGGCTGTGCGTAAGTTCGAACGAACATGTGGAGATCAACGCACGGCCTGCATATGCCAGTGTTCATTCGCTGGAGCTGTCAAGCAAGTCAAAGCATGGGTAAATTCACTGGTTGTGGATTGACCCAATAGTGATGTTGATTCTTTCGTGCTTATTACTACCATGGTCTTTATCAACTTTTGTAGCGTACAAAAGACTGCTATTATGCTTGGTAATGCTGGAAATCTGAAAGATCGTTCATACCTTTATTCGATACAAAAACCATAGAGGAACAATGAAATAACATAGTCAAGAACACTATAAGAACCACCAACATAGCTTGTCCACTCACATAACCTCCACTATACTATCCCCCTCCAGCAACGCAACTTCATCATGGTAATATATTGGCTCACGCGAGAAAAACACCGAAGCCTTACCGAGCGCATCCATGACCTCATCGCCAGTCGACACTCACAAGCAGGGGACCCCCCAGGATCCGAACCGTACACCCTCTACATCGGCAGACCAAAAGAGTCAAGGCCCATAGCCGAAGGCGACTTCATACTAATCCTACACGGCTCAAAGAGCAAGAGCTGCGAATGGATTTACAAGTACTTACACAGCCAAGATAGGTGGAAGACCACGCGGACTCTTCGACGGGCTAAAGAATCGCACCTGCGATGCGATTTATCGACAAAGATCACGAAAGTAGGGATTATCAAGGCCGGGGATCGGGTGAGCTTCGAGGCAGCGATCCGGGATGCTGAGGAGATGGGTGCTGTGGACGGGACTCTGGAGGATGGGGAGTTGGGTCCGGGCAAGGGCTTTGCTGTTCGTGTTCTCCTCTGTTGTCGTCGGCGTGATATACTCTCGTGGGATGATGTGAAGAAGACGCTGCAGAGGTTTGGGGTCAAGGATGGTGGGCAGCTTTATATGATCTAGTCTACGATGTCTTTCGTCTAGTGAGAAGGTGGGTTTATGGATTAGTTTGAGTGTTTAATTAATATCACTAAATACAATTTTCATTTGATAGAATTACAGTATTACTTCATTTGTAGTTTATTAGGGTTGTATAACTAGTGCACTTCTTTAAGTACAATGACCTACATATTCTTTTAAGATACTCTTTGATCATTCTAGTACTATATCAAGGACATTTGCAAGACCAGTGAATGTATAATCAGATTACTCTTTGACCATAATACAATCGCCATTGTTCTAAAGCTGCAGGATCGGCTATAAAATACCCTACATCTCCCACTAAAGACAATCTTACCCACGCCGTCTCCTTCTCCCCAGCTAAAACAAGTTAAAGAATACTATAGTACTTCATCATGGGTTCTACAAAGGAAAAGCTGTACTATCACGAACAGCTACGTACGCTAGGCGAAGCCCTCGCCGAAACCCTCGAGATCAGTTCAGAAGAATCCAGCTCCGAAACAGAAGCTGAAGATGAGGACATGACGCAGATTTACCGCAACACAGTTCAGAAGATAGGAAAACAGTTTGGCAAGGTGAAGAGGATCAGAGAGTCCAAAGAAGCCCAATCAAAACCCGCACAAGGCTTCAATGTCTTTCTCGGCGTGCCAAAGACACCTTACCACGATAATGACTGTGATTGTGAAGTCATTCTCCATGAAATAGGAGGGAGGCTTTGCAGGACTTTCTATACGGTGAATGTCAGTGTTGACGAAACGTGGGAGAATGTCTATGAGAAGCAGCAGCGGCCTGCGTTTGCTATGGATGGGGAAGACCATCGCCAGAAGTGCGACAAAATGACAGAGAAGCTGTGGATTGGGTTCATGAGGGCTGATGCCTATCACACATTCCTGGATGCTTATAACAGCATTGAGGCGGAGGATTCCAGGACGTTTGCTTGCAGGCTCTTGATCAGATGTGTTGCGAAGAACACTCTCCCGGTGACAGTCGGGCCTAGGGCTATCAGTCGTGCCTTGAAGTTGTTGGATGAGCTGGCAGAGCTCAACGCTGCGGACTCTTCTAGACGGTTTCTAGGATAGATCTGTGGCTGGTGCATGAGTTCTCCTGTTCCTTTTTCCTTTTATTTCTTTCTTTTTTGTTTGTTTGAGATTATGAATACACTTCCTTCTGATATACTAGCCAGCAAATATTCTACGTAACCATCAGGTGCTGTAGTCGAACTCGTAATATCACAGTTCTCAATAGAATATCAGCCAGTTCAGCCTTGTATGCAATCTGCCTATTCTGAAACACTTTATGCAGTGTGACGTGTCTTGGACTGGATTGCCATCCAAGCACCCCTGTTGCTTCCTCCTTCCAATTAAATTATTAGCAAGAGAGCTGGAGCTGAGTTGTTGCATGATTGCTTATTCTGCCCGGCGCGTAACGCGTTATAAGTTAGAAAAGCCATTCCTTCTTCTCTTATTCTTCTTTACCTTTCTTTGCATCCCTTATTATATTTATCATCTATTCTAGAGTGGGTTGAAGTATAATGGATGAGTTTGATACACCCGAGCCAGCCAACGCCCCCGTACCCCCCGAGTCAAAGCTTGTGGCAGCGTGCAGAAGAAAAGAGTGGAATGTCGCCGAAAAAATTCTCCAAAATGAAATATTCAGGCCACGACACTCCGACGCTCAGGATCTTCCGATCGTATTTCCATTTTTGCAACGCTTGGACGACGATGGCTGGGAAAGGGTTTTGAATGTTATATTGAACCATCACCCAGGTATCCTGCTTGCAAAAGACCGCAATGGCCGGACGGCTATTTCCCATGCAGCGGGCTGCGGTAAAATCAGATCTGTGCAACGCCTATTAAAGACAAAACAGATACCAAGGGAGGATATGGTCGAAGCGCTTCTCTGCGTCGGAAGACATCGTTCCCCTAATTCCAGAGCAGTCGACAAGGTCATACAACTTCTTATCGAGAACGGAGTCGACATATCGAGGAAGCATGAAGGAGCGATACCTTTGACCCACGCAGTGAAGCTTGAGTGGGTGCATGTTGTGGACTGGTTCTGCAGGAATTCTTCCACCTTGGCCCCAGAGGCATTCACCTCTCAAGACGATCAAGGCCGGTCACCGCTGTCCATTGCTGTTCTCGATAAGCACGACTGGGCCATTGTTCCCCTTCTCAATACGGGTTACTATGACGGTTATGGCGACAGCCACGGACGAACGCCTCTGTACTGGCTCCTACAGAGCGAGAGGGAGGAGACGCAGAAGAGGAAACTGGCCGAGATTCTCATCTGGAAGGAAGCACACGACAACAACATGGGCGTGCATTCCGGACCGCAACCATTTGATATTGAGTCTCTGGGTGTGCAGCCCAGAAGTCCTCTGCATGTGGACCCAGAGATGCTGAACCAGTATCATCGGAACGATGGGCTCAGCTTGTTATCACACGCAGTTCGCAGCAACGAAGGAGAAGTCATCAGGACGATACTGAAAATCCCCGGAATCCAGGTAGATGCACCAAATAAAGACAGCACTACTCCTTTGCAGGTTGCCTTAATTGAGAACAAGACCGATGCTGCAAAAGCACTGATGGATGCAGACATTTCCACATTTAAAAAGTTGATCAACGAAGGCGCCATGGATCTACTTGAACAGCTGCTAGAGCTAGGGTACGATGTCAACCGCGAGGTTGACAAGGGCCGTCCTCTGCTTCACTATGTCCTGGAAAATACAAACACGAATGCAGCTGAGGAACTACTTGGAATCATTCTCAACCCAGAGCGTGGCAAAAGAATAGAGGACGTCAACCAGCCGGATGGGCGACAGAGGACCGCACTGCAGTTGGCAGAGGGAAAGCTGCAACTCATGCGTCTTCTTCTCTCATATGGTGCGGACCTAGAGCGTTCCACCATGCAGAAGGATGACTGGTTTCGTATGTATTTCCTACATACCCCATTTCAGAATCATTCTTTGCGTTGGGAAAGGGCTACGTCTGCGTTACTGTTCAAGCGTTGGGGCGATGGGGGGATCGAGGTTGAATTCCGACATTTGAGCGAAATGCAGATATTCCCATGCTGCCCAGGCAGTAGTAGCTTCAACTCGGAGGCGAGCATACTGTGTGTTGTTGGTCTATACTCTACGCTGCAACTATAACTAACTATAGGCTATGGGAATAGTGTGCTCAAGGACATGAGATCCTTTGAATATCTGCCCCTTGTAGCACCCGTTTGCTGTGCTCGAACGTGGCGCAACTACCACATTTTCTCTGGACTCCCTGTCGGAGATGGAGCGAAGGAGGAATTTTTGGGTATCTACTGGACCGCGGAAATCACAGCAAACGGAGAGCCGGGCTTCGTACTTTACAGAAGCACGCTGTCTCGAGTCTGGCTCCCACGGAATGGGATGGACTTCTTGGGTGAATTCCTGAAGGAGCTGTTCTCCCACTGGCAGAGAGTGTGTGCTCGCGTTGACAACAGCATGATATCCCACGTACGTCTTCTGTTCTATAGAAATGGACCCTGCTAACTGCCTACAGCGACTGAAGGGCCACTCTGCCGACTCATCGAGATCGGCATTATTTGACAAGCTTGAGAAGGACTATGTCTACCTTGCACAGCTTCGCGCAGCCCTATCCCGCCACGTCGAGGATGTCAGAATGGAAGTCCAAAGATACTGCAATGACTACAAATATCCTACTACGGACCTGGACGAGGGTATTGAACGCTTCCACCAAACTACCATAAAGCAGCTGGATCAATTCGAGCAGGTGACAACAGGTATACTGCAGTTGGTGAGTGTGCGGACCCGTTTATACTGCAACTCCTAACAGTTTTATAGCAATTCGCGCGTGCCTCAATCAACGAAGCTGCCACTATTCGGAGAATCACTCTTGTCACGGTACATCTCTCTCCATTTATCGTTGTCTATGCTGATATCAACAGTTTGTTTATTTGCCGTTGATGTTCTCTGCGGTATGTCTACCTGTCTTGTCTTAACAACGCTGACACAGTTTAGTCTCTATTCGGCATGAATGTCAACGTACTCGAAAACAACCCGGACTGGCGATGGTATCTTCTTTTTGCCGGGGCATCTTTCCTTGTGACATTTGGTATCTACTACTATCCATTTCCGGGGATTCGGCTCCCTGCAATGCCTAGGAATCGGGTCCCTACTGGTCCAGATAGATATAGACCAGGGGTTCCACCTCCGCTTTATGACAGTATTTTGAAGCGTCGCTCAAGGTGGTTTGGAATTGTCTAATATTTTTAATTTGTCTACTATTCTAATAATTGGCGGGATTACAAGATATCTGATGGTCAAACTGGCATTCTGGAGTAACAAATATAGAACAAAATATTTGTGACTAGCATAGCATCATATCCTCTGGATTCAAGCTTCAGCAGCCAGTGCCTCACGTCTAGACTTGGACGCAGGGTCGTAGTATGGTATTTCTCCAAGTGACACTACGCGGTTGCCCTGTCGCTTTCCATCATAGTCACTAACCCGTTAGCTACTTCTTATCTGTATAAGGTATAATTGTATACTTACTTCGTAGCAGTGTGGAAAACAGAGCGGCTGTATCACATTAGCAACCACATATATGCTTAACAGAGGTTGACGTACTTATCCCAGATAGCCAGGTCATTCGTCCCCCATTTAAACCGCACTTGCAGGTCATGGTTCTCGGAGATGAGTTGCCGGACTGTTATATATGAGTACAGCTACTTAAAAGCACTTCAGACTTACAGTATTTCTTCAGGATCTCGCTCTCGCGCTTGGTTACGCCTTCGATCCAGCCGTTGTCCACCTGGCCTGCTGCTCCGAAGAGACTCTTCCAGCCGGTGACGGGGTTTGTGCGAACAAGGGGGCTATATTGTTAGCAATATACTATTTAAAGGTGGGAGTCTTACTGGGAAGCTTTGAAATCGAAGCCGGTATTCTCAGGTGCACCTCGGTCTCCGTCGATGAGCTCGATTCCGTGCTCTTTGGCGATGTTGTTGAAGGATGGCTATCTCATTAGCAAAAATAACTCAGATGTGCTTAGGTGAATTACCTGGTGATGAGTTGCCTTCAGGGTATCCGCCAGAGCCTGGATTGGCGGCGAGAGTCGGTCGTAGACTTCATATCCAGATGCCCAGAGTGTATCACCACCAGTCTGGTCTTCGGGGCTATGGGTGATTTTCAGGATTGCATAGTCCGAGGGGACTCTCTCGAAGGTGATACTACACCGTGAACGTTAATATAATCCTGTTCGAATAGGATAGGATGCATACTCAGCGTGCCACCCTTCACTAGCAAGGTGGCGCGAGTTGTTCACGAATCTGTCTCCGTAGTACTTGCGGTTTGTCTCAGAAGAGATGACGGAGATTTCGTCGTCGAGTTTACCGTGCTCGTTGACGGTCAGCTTTCTACCGGCGTTGTTCACCGCGTGGCGGTGCAACTATTACAGCTTATCAGTGCCATGAGCAGGGCTGAGGAGGGTTTTAGTATGACAACCTTCGAGGTGGCAGGCTTTCCTGTCAATTCACCGAGTTTCTGGCCGAGAATCTTCTGGTCATCGGAGTTGATGCTCTGGTTCCGGAAGAAGACGACGCCGCGGCGAGAGACTATCTTGTTTAGTTACCTTATAGTTACCCCAATTCTATTACTGGATCACGTACCGGTAATTGCCAGATCGCGGAGTTTCTGCTCGTCGTTGAGGATATCAACGAGCTGGACGTCAGAAAACTCCCGTCCGATAATGGGGGTGACGTCGAAGCTCTTATATTCGTCCAACGAGCCAGAGTACTTCAGAGGCTCACGAACGTAGCCAGAGCTTGCAGCCTTTTGGGCTTCGACTTTCGTATCCACAGCTGGGACTGGAGTGGCGACTTCGACTGATGGGGCCATGTTAAATATCGTGGTTATATATATGTACGTTGATTGACTTGAGTATGGGTGTTTCTCTGCCATGAAGAGTTGGCCCTCTTATATCTATCCAACACTATTGCACCATCTAATCCTGAATCACACCTCTGTCTAAATGGTACTGAGTACAGTGTATCAGATCTCCATACATTTGGAGAGCATGGGATGTACACAACCCCTCACTGACGACATATTGCAACATAATTTTTAATGCAGTTCAAGTGACTTTGTTACTCTAAGCAGCTCTATTAGACCCGACAGTCGGCGATAAGTAGAGTGATGCTCCAAAGGCCGATAGTCGTGGTGATATTGGATGTTGATAGCGTAATTGGCAGCAATTCATATTACATGTGAGGGAAGTGCCCGGCATGCTTTGATGAAGTATGCATTATTGACTAGAATTGACTAGTTGACTCTATAACTTGGCTTGCACCGCACCAGCCTTGAGCTTCTGCCAATACTTGTCCTTCAGCTGCAGAATCGCAAACCCTAACTCTGGCAGCGAATCCTCAAACACTGGCAGCGCATACCCCTTGGTCCCTTTTGCTGGTGCCCCTGAGAATTCCCGCAGATACTCAAAGTATTCCTTGAAATCCGGCTTGATCTCGTGGAACAGAGCAGTTGGCCCTTTATACTTCAGCCGTTCCACCTCCCACTCATCCTGCTCGCGGGGACTGGGAAGAGGCTTCGCATTGGTGTTCGCAAAGTACCGCGCCACTGCAACGGCCTGGTACTCGTAGACACGGAAACTGAGAGCTCCACGCACCTGGCCGACAAGGGCCAGAGACGGGTCTCGGATCTGGAAGATGTGCTGGTAGAACCCGGCAACGCGGTTACTGGGGGTAACGGGGTCTGGCACGAGGAATGGGTAGACGAGTCTGTATCCTGTGGCGAAGATGAGCTTGTCGATGTCCTGCACTGTAGATCCATCGCTGAAGGTGACCTTGACGCCATCACCCACTGCCTCAACCCGAGTAACCCCAGGCTTCTTCTCAACCCCGGGCAGGGAGAAGACATTGTGCAGCAGCTCATTCTCGTGCCGTTGCGAGAGATACAGCGAGCCCTTCACAACGGCGTGCAAGTCCGCGACCAGATCTGCGGACGAGATATTCCCTCCCACCACCACAACCCTTTTATCCACGTAGTCGTTCGCAGACCGGAAGCTCTTTGAGTGCTCGAAACTGCCTGGCCTTGCCTTAAACGCAGAGTCTAGCCCCTCAATCTCCGGAATCAGAGGCACATTATAGTGTCCCGATGCCACAACAACCGCATCAAACTCCTCCTGCCACCAGTACTCCGCAGGCTGATTCCTCAGATAATGGCCCTTCTGGCGCAGCGTAACCCTCCACTTCTTCCCAACCTTCTCAACCCGCTCCACAGCCGTGCTAAACGAAATCAGATCCAAATACGGCCGCGCAAGATCCTCCAGATACCCGGTAACAACGCGAAACGGCCTACTCGGATTCGCCCGTCCAAGCTGCCTGACCGAAACCGCAGAATTCACCTCGGGAAACGGCGTATGCGTAAACGACATCGCATGCGCACCGACATTGCTATCCAGCGCATCATGAATGCCCGTGCGAGCCGTCTTATCCTCCGCAACCGGCGCCGTGAATGCAGGCAGCGACTGCGGGATCTCGTTGCGGATATCTGCGGCCCCGGGCGTGGGGAAGGAGTCTGGGATGGGATCGTAGTGCCAGAGACCGCCGACTCGGTCGCGGCGCTCGAAGACGCGGATCCGCGAGAAGGTGTTTTCGTCGACGAGGGCTTTCACGGTTGATATCCCCGAGGGGCCGGTGCCGATTACGGCGATGCTGTCGTAGCGCGGTGCCATTCTTTCCGTATTTTCTCTGGCTTTATTTTGAGTTTTAGGGGGAATGTGTTATGTCTGCGACCGTGGGCATATTCAAATTTAAGGGCTTGAAGCGAGTCATTGTAGTGGGTTTGTATGGCATGGTTGGAGTCGCGGATGGCGCAATGCCCACCGTCGACGGGGTATAGTTGGAGAAGACATGAAATGAATCCAGCTGCTACATGATTACATCCTCTGTGCATCTTCTGGCGTGATATGGGGCTGGCAGGGTACTAGGCTTATCACTGTATAGCCTCATTTAAGCGCCCTTGACGCAATTACCAGGCAATGAGGTCGGCTTATTCTTTCCTTTCACTATTATCTTCTGTATTCAGTCTATCTCGCAGTCTTGATCCAGTTACGATGCGAATGAGAAATCAATCCTGCATATATTAGCTCTGGCCAGTCTCAAATACTGTGGAACTCACCGTTTATTGTTCATAACCGAGTGTTCACGCAGATAGGCCTCTCTCTGCTCGCTCGTCAGGGCATTCCATTTCGCAGCGTTTTGCCTAAACAGTTAATATCTATACACTCTCCAAAAAAAAAAAGGAACATACCTATTCCGCCAGTCATAGTAAAGCTTCGCCGCAGTAAACAGGAACATACTCGCCACCGCAAGCGCAATGAGCACCTTGTTCCCCTGCTTATAGTACGGCGCGTCTTCAGTGCGGTACACCTGGTCGCTGTCAGTCCCTCCACATCTTGTCAGGCTTTAATATAATATATGGACTTACATTAGCACCGGCAATACTGCTAACCTGCACAGACATGTTATACAGCGCCGACGCAACAGTGCGCGTGCGTACAGAGCCCGCATTTCGCGACGTCAACGCCACCACCACAGGATGCACACTGGGCGCGCCCACAAGGAGCGTCAGAATCGCCCATCGCGGCCACGGCATGTCCCTCTCCGGTAGAGTCTCCAGGGCAATCAGTAGAACAAGACACCAGATCTCCACGCCTATGCCGACCACCAGACGCTGGTTCGACCGCTCGGCGATCCACGTGGTAACAACCATCGTGATGATCGACACCACGGCCGAAGGAATGGTCAGCAGATTCGTCTGGAAGGTCGAGAACCCCTGCGACCGCAGCTGCAGGGTGAGGTAGTTCTGCGCGGGCGTTGTGGGGATCATCCAGATCAGACCCAGCAGGTAGATCGGCCACATGTGGTAGTCCTTGAGACTGTGCCAGAGGAGACGAGGGGTGACGGCTTGACGATTATGCATGCTTCCCTTGCTGGGGTCGTCGCGGATGACTCTGTTCACCATGATCTTCTCCTCGTGCTCGGTGAACCAGCCGTTCTTGCCGCGGAACCCGCCCTTGGTTTGTGTGGGCGAGGCGGGCATCCAGAATGCGGCGATGATGCCGATGACCCCGGTGATGAGGCCCTCGTAGGCGAATAGATAGCGCCAGGAGCCGCCGCCGGAGGAGTCTTTGATGTGCAGGAAGCCGAAGGCGAGGAAGGCGCCGATGATGCCGGTGAGGGTGTACGAAACCCAGAAGCAGGTGAGGCGTTTGGGGAGCTCGCTTGATTTGTAGAAGAAGGACAGAAACAGGATTGTGTCGGGGATGAAGCCGCCCTCGAGGAGGCCCAGGAGGGCGCGTAGGCCGAGATATGCGCCTCGGGTCTTGAGGAAGGCCTGGCAGGCGGCGACGAGACTCCATGCGACCATCTGGATGGGGATCCAGCGGTCGGGGCCCAGACGCTTGGATATCAGCTGCGAGGGCATCTCGGCGAACAGAAAACAGCAGAGGAAGATGGTCTGGCCGGTGTTGTAGTCGTTGCTGGTCATGTTCAGGTCTTGTAGCAGAGTGTCTGCAAGGGCCTGGCCGATGTTTCCCCGGTCCAGCTGCAGGGCGAAGAAGGTGACGCAGGCAAAGGTGCAGACTCGCAGGTCAATCTGTAAAGTCAATATATAATAAATGAATGTCAGACTGTAGCCCTACCTTGCGCACGATCTTCCGCTCCTCGTCCTCCGTCCAGTCAAAGTACGGGTCCCAGCGATGAAGGCCCTCATAGCTATCGATCGGTCGGTAAAAGCGAGGATCCTCTGTCGAATTAAACGTGCTTTCCTTCAGGCGAGTCTGGGTGAGGTTCTCCCTGTCCGAGTCGTCTGTATCACTGACGCCTCGAGAGTCAGATATCTCCCGGGAAGAGATGGGCACGCTCTTTGGTCCCTCCGCCATGTTTAGTCTTTGACTGGTACAGCAGGATATCGAGGGTACCGTCTACCTAAATACCTCCGGATGTCGTGCCTGTCAAAGTAAATGAGATAATAGCGCGAAACTTCGCCTAACGCGCTCAGACTACGCTACGCTGTGGGGTGACAGAGGAATAGGAGATGCTTAGCACCAGAATCTAGATTCCTCGAGTCAAGCCAACATGAGAGTGCTTAGGCCTGACAAGCACCTCGTCCGCGGAGAAACAAGCACCTCTTACTCCTGACGTCTTGCACCACCAGACGGTTTGACACGCCATCGCAGCTTGGCATGGCTTCCCACAGCCTGTCCACCTGTCCACCTGTCCAGCCAATCTCCATATTTGTATTCGACATTCATTGAGACGATTATGTCGTCAGAAAGGTTTATCTCACGTTGAATCTTTGTCAAGCGTCATTGGGTGGGTGTTCTGTGGCTGCGCGGACGACACCGGGTCGCGACATCGAGGGCAGCGATGGTGAATATGCTATCGCCGATTGTCGGTGTTAGGACTTCGGTTTCTGATATTATCGAATAATGCAAGTATGCCTAGGCACACAACTATACGGAGTACTGTCAAGTCGTAGTGCTTTGGATTAATCGTGGTACTGTCGCGCTACATCGACTTAGGGCTTCTCAGCAGCCTCTTCCACTCGACAATGCAGCTCCCTTGGCTGACAAGTCCTTCCATCCTCAATCCCTTCTCCAGATTCTCCATTTCCATTGTTTACCCTGCTATGCTGCATCCCCAATGTCCGTCCGTTCTCACCACCGCTGTTTGAGCACCGACTTCGACAGCGAGCTTTATTTCCATTAACAAACAGCACGCTCGCGATTAAATGCGGCAGAAGCCTACACGCTATCCCGTCTCAGTTAGACGTCATAGCATCTCGCAGCTGGTGTCGTCCACGATACTATACATGAGCCTGCTTCAGTGTACTATGGTCTATATTTCGGTCGTTTCTACCTTTAATAGGGCATCCTGCAGCCAAGAATCACAAATTATGATATTCGAACTCACCATTGGGGAGCCAGTCCCAGGGATGCGACAAGAGTGATCGCCTGCTGTGGGTCTGGTATTAACTAGCGTGCATTTTGTTTATTTTTATCTTTTCTGGGCTGGTGGTTGTGGCTCTTATACCAGATTACTGGCAGTCTGAGCGGTGATTTAGGATATGCTCCAGAGAGATAATTACATTGCAGGGTCTATGATACCAAATTCAATTAGGCATGGCTCTGAAAACATCTGGTCCCTGCTGTATTGCTTCAGCTGGCCCCAACTGCTAATCGGAATCGTGCATGAATGCTGATCATTCAAGGCTTTGATCCACTGCCATATTCAGTGGCAAATAGCCCTTCTAACCGTGGGCATGATTCAGATTCACGATTCATCAGGCTCGAGCATCGGGTGATCTCGCCTGGATCTCTGTCGGTGGGCTGGATATCAATGATCTGCAGTCGATCCACCTGGGAGGGCTGCAAGTTAGGGCAAACAGTTTAGCTGTAAGGGAGTAACATTCCAGCATATTTCTATTGCTGTCCCTCTTTCACTCTGGTTTGTGAAACTGAATTCTTCACCGTCCCACTGTCGGTCTCCTCGACAAAGATGGAGATCCCCTTCTCGCGGCTTCTCTTCGAACAGGGCGCCATCACCCAGGCTGTCATCGACCATCCATACTCTGGCTCAGGCACAGAAGACGATCCCTACGTGATAACCTGGATTCCTGACGACCCCCGAAACCCGCAACTGTTCTCAGCGTCCTACAGATGGTTCCTCGCAGTGCTCATCTCGCTGGCCGCCCTGGCTGCGGCCCTGGTCTCCTCCGCCTATTCAGGAGGCCTAGTTGAAGTCGTCGAATACTTCCAATTCTCCAAAGAGGTCGCATATGCAGGGATTTCTCTGTACGTTCTCGGGTTCGCCCTGGGCCCGCTGATCTGGTCACCCCTGAGCGAGATCTACGGCCGGCGCCGGATTTATATCATCAGCATGGCGAGTTTCACTGCGTTCACTGCCGGTACGGCTGGGGTGACGAATACAGAGAGCCTGCTCATCCTGCGCTTTCTGGCCGGTAGCATGGGCTCCTCTGGCATGGCGCTTCCCGGGGGTGTCATTGCGGATATCTTCCCCGCGACCATCCGCGGGCTGGCCCTGAGTATGTATGCTACAGCGCCGCTCCTAGGGCCGACTCTCGGGCCCACTGTTGGCGGATTCATCTCGGAGAGTATCGGCTGGCGCTGGGTGGAGGGCGTACTCACTATCTTTTCTGCTGTCCTGGTGATAGCCATCGTCTTCCTCCTCCCCGAGACATACGCCCCTGTGCTGCTCCAAGCACGAGCCCAGAGACTGCAGCAAACCACGGGAAATATCTACCACAGCGCCTCGGACAAGGGCAAGAAGTCTCTGTTCAAAACACTCGGCACCGCCCTCTCTCGCCCGTGGCTCTTCCTCTTCGGCGAGCCCATCGTCTTCCTCCTCTGCCTCTACGTCTCCATCGTCTACGGTATCCTATATCTGCAATTCGCCGCCTACCCCATCGTCTTCCAGCAAGTCCGCGGCTGGTCCGAGGGCATCGGCGGCCTCTCCTTCCTCGGCATCCTCGTCGGAATCCTCGCCGCAACCGCATACACCTTCCCCGTCTATTTCCAGTATAGGAAGAAATGCCTCGCCTCCCCAACCGGCCGCCTCCCTCCAGAAGCACGCCTCCCAAGCGCCTTCATCGGCGCACTCGTCCTCCCCATCGGCCTCTTCTGGTTCGCCTGGACAAACGGCCCCTCCATTCACTGGCTGTCCCCCATCGCAGCGGGCGTGCCCTTCGGCTTCGGCATGCCCTTCGTCTTCCTCCTTGCCCTAAACTACCTGGTCGACACGTACACGATCTATGCGGCGTCCGTGCTGGCCGCGAACACGCTGCTCCGATCGACCTTTGGTGCGGTCTTCCCGCTTTTCACGGGCTATATGTTTGAGAGTCTAGGGATTCATTGGGGCGCCTCTGTTCCGGCGTTTTTGGCGCTGGCTTCTGCCCCGATTCCGTTCTTGTTTTATTGGTACGGGCCCAGGATTAGGAGGAAGTCGAGGTATGCGAGTGAGGCGGAGGCGTATATGCTGCGCCTGCAGGGTGTGCAGGTAGAGACGCAGCAGCAGCGGCCGAAACAGGAGTCTGTCTGATAAACAAGACTAAAAATGACCATAGATATATAGACTAATTCAATAGACTTTCAAGAAAAGAATACGCACACTATTCAGATAAAAATGGAAAGTTCTCGCCAAGGTTTCCTCCAGGATCGACAGCTCGTCAACTTCCTCGGCCGAACCCTCGACCCACCTGCTTGCGAATCTGCGACCCATATATTCAAACTTCAAAGACCATTTGTTATCACATAGCAATCAGAAATGGGGTCCACTTCGATATCGTGCTAAACCTGGCAGCCTGGAATCTGAAAGCCAGTGGTCTGTGACGAACCGGTCAATAAGACTGGAGAAATGTTGAATTTCCTAATCCGGTAGTCCTGGCCCTAACCTCGAGGATGTTGATGATCACCAGACACAAATCAAACCAAGCAGTGTACTCTGTATTAACCGCCTATTATCCGAGCCGACACAAGCCGCGATTATTGCCAGGAACAGTAACTGAAGAATACTACTTTACCCCTCATCGCGGTCCCTGTCGCTCGTCTCCAACGGGATAAATCGATTCCGTCTACCAGGATTGAACAGGCCAGTTGCGAGACTGGCAGGACGTGATGTATATAAGGACGGCCATGAACAGCAAGGCCAGACTGTTTTTAATGAAACTGGTAATCAGTAACTGTGTTTAAAGTATCAATTCCAGTTCAATACAATTTATTCCCATGTGGCTCATAAAGATCCTAACCACCCTCCTCCTCCAATCCATCTTAGCCACTTCTCTCCCAAACTCCAGCAACATAACATCTGCAGACCCCGGCCCAGGAGGAAACTCGCCGATCCGCCCATTCCGCCTCGACCAAGTCCGTCTGGGCTCCGGCTTACTCCAGGAAAAGCGCGACCGGATCACCGCATTCCTGCACGACTACGATGAACGGCGCTTCCTAATCCTCTTCAACAACCAGGCCGGCCGGTCGAATCCAGACGGAATCTCCGTTCCCGGAGGGTGGGAAGATGGCGGGCTTCTCAGCGGGCATTGGACGGGGCACTTCATGACGGCTCTCTCGCAGGCATATGCAGAGCAGGGCGATGACGCAGACCTTTATAAGAATAAGCTCGACTGGATGGTGGCCGAACTAGCAGCGTGTCAAAAGGCCATTACAGCGCGGATGGACGGTACAGCCCCAGGTAAAGCAGGAAATGCATCCTGGATCCCCACACATCCAGGCTATCTCGGCGCCCTCCCCGAAGACACAGTCCTAAGACTCGGCCCGCCGCGCTGGGCTATTTACGGCGCCGACGCAGAGAAGGATACCTGGGCGCCGTGGTACACGCAGCACAAGATCATGCGCGGGCTTCTGGACGCATACTACCACACCAACAACACCCAGGCACTAGATGTCGTGGTTGAAATGGCAAAATGGGCCCATCTCGCGCTTACCATCGGCGACAAGAATCACCCTGACTATCCCGGGAATATAACCCGGGATGATTTGAATTATATGTGGGACTTGCATATCGCGGGGGAGTACGGTGGCGCGAATGAGGTTTTCTCAGAGATATACCAGATAACCGGAGATGCACGGCATCTGGATACAGCCAAGACATTTGATAATCGCGAGTCACTGTTCGGCGCCGCCGTAGAGGACGAGGATATCCTCGTCGTGAGTCCAGATGCGATTCCAGGCCGACGGAGAGCAGCGCAACTGCACGCCAACACGCACGTCCCCCAGTTCGTGGGGTATATGCGCATATACGAACATAGCGGCGAGGAAGCATACCACAGCGCCGCAAAGAACTTCTACGCCTGGGTTGCTGGACACCGAACATTCGCGCACGGCGGGACGGGTGGGAAATTCCCGAATTCGACTGATAACCCGGAACTGTTCCAGAATCGGGACAATGTCGCGAATGCAATCGAGTTTGAGGGCGCTGAGACTTGTACCACGTATAACATGCTTAAGCTGGCGAGGGATTTGTTCTTGCATGCGCGGACGGATGATGATGATGATGACGCCGCGGCGTATATGGATAATTATGAGCGCGGGCTGTTTAATATGATTGCGGGCTCGCGCGCGGATCGGGATAGTCTTGATGAACCGCTGGTGACGTATTTCCAGCCTCTTACGCCTGGTGCGGTGCGCGAGTATGGGAATACGGGGACTTGCTGTGGTGGGACGGGGATGGAGAGCCATACCAAGTATCAGGAGACGGTGTATCTGCGCTCGGCGGATGGGTCGGCGCTGTGGGTGAACTTGTATGTGCCGTCTAGTCTGGATTGGGAGGAGCGGGGGTTCAAAGTTACTCAGGAGACGGCATTCCCTCGTGGAGATACTGTCAAGTTGACCATCACTGGAGATGGCAAGCTGGATATCAAACTCCGTGTGCCTGGCTGGGTGCATAAAGGCTTCCATGTCACTTTCAACGGCGAACAGTACGAAAGCGACGCAGTCCCAGGGACATATCTAACCCTAAGCCGCATCTGGAAGACAGGCGACCAGATTGAAATCCGCATGCCATTCACCATCAGAGTCGAGCGCGCCCTCGACCGTCCAGACACGCAGTCTCTCATGTGGGGGCCTATTCTGCTCCAAATCCTCGGCAGCCCAAGCAACAGCTTCCAGGAGTTAACACTGTACAAGAATCTGAAGCTCGACGGGGATTACTCCGCGGCCATCAAGCAAACAGGAACCACAGCACGAGGTGACCCTCTTTTCAGCAGCGGCAATTTCACCGTCAGGCCGTACTACATCAGCGATGACAAGTCGGCGTCTTCGTACTTCCGCCGCACCGAGCCGGTCGTGGTGTTCGGCTCGATCGATACAGATGTGCCGAATCGGAAGCGTGATGATGGACTGCCCGACTATGATGTCCCTGTTGGAGGGATCGAGTCGCCTGGTGATGATGGACCGACGTTCTTGGACCTGGTTTGGGACCGTGCGCCATTTGATAACCATGAAGATTTTGTAGAAGCTGTGACTGATGTTGCAGATGCGTTTGTGGATGCTGGGGTTTATACCGAGAAGGAGAGGGATTCAATTATCGCTGGGGCTGAAGAGGCGAAGGGGAGCTTGTAGATTGAATTCTGATCTGGTAGAAGCAGTAACAATCTTGAACAAAATTATCTCTCGTCAGTCCATGGATAAACAACTCCTGTCAAATCTTGGTGACAGCTCTTCTCACCTCGCCTTATCCAAGATGACACTATTCTCCCTCCATCACCTTCTTCGCCGTGTCCATGCCGTGAGACTTCAACCAGCACATATTTTCCTGTTAATGGTCAGGTTTTGGCGGCGAGGAATATCGTCCGGCTCGATTTGGGTTGATGCTGATATAGATGAAGGAGATTGGGATGGGTTTTATAGAGCGAGACTAGAGTGTTCCATAGAATAGTAGTGATACTCGTTCACTAGTCAAGCACATCCAGTGGAATCAGCCATCCATATTCTATTATTGATTCCTGGATATTTGGACTCAAGGCCCACTCATGAAGATCGCACCCTTTCTGACCTTCTTCGCAAGATCCTCAACCCTGCTATTTACATACCCACTCGCCGGCGAGGAGGCTAAAAGTGTGCAGTTTCTTTCATCTCCAGTCTCCATATCCGCCTGTGGAATATGAAGCAGCGTAGTAACACGTAGGAACTGCTCGCAGATCCACTCATACTGCCCGGGTCTGAGAAACGTCACCATCCGCTGCCCATGGCACTCCGAGAAGAGCGTCAGTAAGCGACTCAGCGGGCTCATGAGGTGCCACGGGCCTTGGGCAATGAGATGCCGTTTATGCTCGTCTAATGAATGAGGGATGTTACTTTGCGTGTTTGAGCTTTTATCAGCCGGTGTCAGGTTGTCGCTAGGGAACACGATCGCTGGATCTGTGAAGTCGGGAATACTTGATGGCTTGGTTCGGTTGCCGAGATAGAAGGGCACGCTGTAGCAGATGGAGTCAACGAGCTCTTGGAGTGTGTGTTTGTGTTCGAGCTGCTCTCTCGAGTTCGTACTAGCTGAGCTGAGGGAGATCTTGACGAGTAAGAGGCGCTGGATGCGCCATAGATTCCAGATGTTTGCGATCTGGCAGTGGGGATAGACTTCGCAGACAGCTTGATAGGTGGGAATCGACGGGTCGGTGTCTCGTCCACTGGCCAGTCTCAGGGGATACCAATGATCTGGCACGCTTTGTGCCCAGGCCAGTAGTTGTTCATCGATGCGCTTTGCTTCGGCCGCGCACTCCGCCAGCACAAGGTCTCGCTGTGACGAAGGAATGGCACCACATTGCGTTAGCTGCAGATATGTAGCCTGCAACTCAGCAACAGACGCACCGATGGCATCGAGTGCCGAACTCGGGTTCTCTGGCACAGGTATCGAGTTCAGACCGTGTCCGCCAGCCCATGCGTACGCCGCGCTCTGCAACGGTCTCTCCTGGCGCATTGCCGAGGAAATCTCGGTATGGAGAATAAACCTCCGAGGATATACACCGGCTCCAGTGATATTGTGCGAATGCGAGCTTACAAACGGGAGCAGCGACATTGCGCCGTCGTGGTGGACTCGCGTGGCTGTGCGAAGCCCATAGATAGCAGCGATATTCTCATACAGCTGCAGCGCCAGCACGGCGAGAACTGTTTCTGGCTTCCCCCATTCGTTGCGATCGGCGATGGTCCGCCGAAGACACTTGACGGCTTGGGTGTAGCTCTCCGATCGGAAACTCCTGACATCGTGTCGCCACAAAGCCAGGACCTTCGAGGCTACGGCCGATACAGCCAGCGACAGCGCTGAGTCCTGCGGCTGCGAGAGGTAGATCGGAATCAGCACCTCGAAGAAACCACGCGCGGATCCCATGGAACGGCCGATGCCTGCGTAGTGTTGGAAGAAGAATGGCACGGCAGTGTCGGGTTCGGTCGGCGGTCGGATGATAGAGACAGTCCCTCGGTTTTTGTCTCTGTTATTTGTGAAGAACTTGTGAGTTTGGTCGCGGAATTTGAGGGCTGCGTATTTCGTCTTGTAGCCACCACAGTGAAGCCCGAGGCGCTGGCAGGCCTGGCATTTTGGTATTGCCTGGTCGCATTTGACGCGGCGTTGCTTGCATGTCATACAGCCATTGGATCTCCCGTGGTTGACCATGGTGTGAATAGATGTCGGGTAAGATCATGAAGGAGGCTGTTGTTTTGTAAATGGTGGTGCCTGTAGTCGGGAATCTCGGTAGGGATGACAGGCCAATGAATAAGTTTACTAAGAATCAGCTTGTGTAAGGCATATTCATCAGGATATAGATTCACTGCTGGTGATTTAAATATATTACCTGGGATTAAATAAGCCAGTAACTTATTATAACTCTCAAATTCCTTAAACTATGGTTTGCTTCGTCCACCTCTACATATATATTGTTACTGCTCCACTGTGAATACTGCCAGAAATTACTTCGTTGAAACCGGTTACTGGAACCCCTAAATCTGCTATCAATTTGACTATATACAACAGAGACGTTTATATGCATTCTTCCTACTTATTTATCGTATTAACCACATCACAGGAATTTTGAAAGCTTCACTTCCCAATACCTGAGGCGTTAACAGGTGTTAACCTGGTTATGAGTATTCTGGAGCCTTTCATCACCAACAGGTTAAGGCGCAGCACTCAAGGGAACCTTCTTCAAGATCTTCTCCTCGCAAGAGGGGGCTTTGCTGTGGAGCAATCCTCCTGTCCCAGTCTTGTCATTTGTTTGTGAACTTTTTTGAACTTTTTGTCCTCCATGTCCTGATTGCTCGAAAACTATTATGTTACAACGCCGTGTTAGCCCACGCGCAACACTCAACTTGGAAGAAAAGTAACCTACCCTAAAATGGGATTGCTATGTCCCCCTGGTCCCAGTATTCATCTTTTTTGTTGCTCAATCCACCCTTGGTCCCAAACGCTTGTTTGTATGGGATATGCCGGAGGTCCTCGGGGTTCTGCTCCATAAGTGTTTTGAGGAGATGAGTCAAGTTTGGGATAACTGGAGGAAATCTGACCTCGGGGCAGACGGATGACGGTGCCTGGTTAATAGAAGGATATATTAGTACGAGGAATATTTGGCTTGTCGACTGGATGACGGCTCGCGGGTGAGAAACTATCTCAAAAGCGATAGAGGCCTGCGGATTCTGACGAAGAGTCTGAGCTGGGTGCAAGAAGGCTGCAAAATAGTTGCCACCCAGAATCTTTAATTTTGGTTGTGTTTTCTTGTCTATCGTCATGATAGTTATAAGCTTATGCTGGCTGTTCTTGGTTATTCAGGCTTCCGCAATGCACAAGACACCCAACCAATGAGCGGCCTCCGTCGCAAAACACGCACCCAGTTCGGCCTAGTGCATTGTCATCTCATAGATCCACAGATCTTCAATATCGTGGTTCATCGCAAAACATACACTCGATTTGGATCAGTCAGTCAGGCTCTGACTTGGGTGGAATATGTTTGCCTGGCAGCGTTCAATTATAAGTAGATGCGAGGACCGTAACAAAAGGGGACACCGATTCAATCATCAATTCAATCGTCAATCATCTTAGACCTGTTCTATACTCCAGCATGAAGCTTTCTATCTTGACCAGCCCTCTTCTGGCTGCACTGGTATCAGCCGCAGCCAACCAACCAAACACCTACCCAACCCTACAACTAAGTACCGACACCGCGTTCAACTTCGAATTCCTCACTGCCCTGCGCAACTCCCTCACCGGCGGTTCAGACATAGGCCCAGTCCTCGGCGTCGCCCAGGCCATCGAACCCGGCAACATGACCTCCTACGCTGACGAGTTCCTCAAACTCGCAAAGCACACCAAAGCCCAGGCTCAAGACCCGGAGAACGCATACGACCCAGCCAATGTCCGAGACACCTGGTTCTCGGCCTCGCACTACTTCCGCCGCGCAGACGTCTACCTCCACCGCAACTGGTCCAGCCCTCTCCTCGCCTCCGTCTGGGCCGAGCAGACCGCCGCATTCGACAAGGCCATTGCGTCTCTGCCTATCCCCGGCCAGCGTATCCGCATCCCTGCAACAGAGGCAAACTTCACCGTCGAAGCTATCTGGTACGCCGCCGCTGCCCCTGAAAGCAAGAGCCGGAAACTACCTACCCTAGTCATCGCCAATGGTTTCGATGCCGCGCAGGAAGACTCGTACCACTACTTCGTTGCGGCGGCTCTCGCGCGCGGCTGGAACTGTATCACATACGAAGGTCCGGGCCAGCCTACCGTCCGTCGGAACCAGAATATCGGGTTCATCCCGGAGTGGGAGCGAGTCACGACGCCTGTCGTGGACTACATCTTGTCTGAAAAGGCCGATCTAGTAGATGAAGACCGAGTGGTACTTATCGGGAACTCACTTGGTGGATACTTTGCAGCCCGGGCAGCGGCATTTGAGAAACGGCTTGCGGCGACGGTTCTGATCGGTGGTGTTTGGGATACGTACGCGGCGTTCACGAAGCAGCTGGAGCCGGAGATTCTGGCGGTTTATGAGGCGGGGAATTACTCTGACTTTGATGAGACGGTGCTTTCATTGCGGGATGCTGGAGAGCTTTCTACGGATGCGACTTGGGGGCTTGACCAGGGGCTGTGGGCGTTTAAGACGCATTCGCCGAGTGAGTTTTTCAGTCGGAGTAAGAAGTTCAATCTGGAGGGGGTGGCGGAGAAGATTGATATGCCGGTGTTTGTGGGGGATGCGGAGTTTGATGCGCTCTACGAGGGCCAGCCGCAGAAGGTCAAGGATGCGATTGGGGACAAGGCGACGCTGCATCGGTTTGAGGGCGTTGCTGGGTATCATTGCCAGACTGGGGCTGACCAAGAGTTGTCGAGGACTGTTTTTGCGTGGTTGAACAAGACTCTTGGTGGTGCTTGATGTAGTTGATGCAGTGGTATAGCCAAGACTTTCGGTGTCGTTAAGTGAAGGATGTTTGTATTAATTACCTGGAATGCACTTTATTTTCTGAAACATGACAGCATCTGTACAATCGTGTTATCTAATATGATGGATTGAATTGGAGTCGGGCTCCGAAACGGGAATGATGCGAGATCTCGTCATCAGCGAGCAGTTTGGCGTGACTCTCCACCATAAATACCAGACCTCGATACCCCGCAGTCTTTTCTCTTTTCTTCTCAACTCACATTGTTCCATTGAAACCAATTGCCCAGTGCAGAGTATTCCCCAAAGGTTAATGTACCCTTCCAACAATGTAATTACTATAACCCGATCAGGGCTGATCATGCCGGTCTTCCCTAGCAGTCAAACACCATGCGCACCCACTGGCTCTCGGCCATAACCCTGCTGCCCCTCGCAGCCGCAGACTGGCAATTCAAGTCTCGCACCGACCTAGCTCCGCCCAGGCTGAACATCACCATCCCCGCTGCCCCTGACGTCGAGAAGGGCTATCTCTTCGTCGCTCCCTTCGCCGGGTACGCAGACACCGCAGGTGAACAGCACGGCCCGCGTCAGGCGGCACCGTACATTTTCCGCGACGACGGCGAGCTCGTCTGGTCTGGATACGGGTACTACTCGATCTGGGCGACGAATTTCCAGGCGGCGCGCTGGAAGGGTCAAGATGTTCTCTTCTCGTTCGAGGGAGACCATAACGCTGGTTATGGACATGGTCATGGACACACTACCATCCTGGATCAGCATTATGAGACCGTCCGTGAGTTGAGGGCGGGTAATCATAAGCTGACTGATAAGCATGAGTTCCATGTCATCAATGAGAAGACCGCTCTCATCCAGATTTACCAGCCTGTCCCAGTCGACTTGACTGCGTGGGGTGCCTCTCCTGAGCAGCAGTGGATCGTGGATGCTATTATCCAGGGTATGGCTCACTTGCCACTTCCCATGAGTTTGAGCTAATCCCAGCAGAACTCGACATTGAAACCGGTGAACTGCTCTTCGAATGGTCAAGCCTGGACCACGTCCTTCCTGACGGTAAGCAGATATCTAAATAAATTTGCCCAGAACCAACTAACAAAACAACCAGAGGCCATCCTCCCCATAAACCCCGGTCAAGCCGGCTCCGGCTACAACTCCTCCGACGCCTGGGACTACTTCCACATCAACTCCGTCGACAAGGACAGCGAGGGCAACTACCTCATCTCCGCGCGTGACGCCTGCTCCGTGCACAAGATCAACGGCACCTCCGGCGAAATCATCTGGCGCCTCGGCGGCACAAAGTCCGACTTCAAGCTCGGCGACAACGTGAAGTTCTGCTTCCAGCACCACGCGCGGTACGTCTCGAAATCCGACGACGGCGCTAAAGAGGTCATCTCTCTCTACGATAACTCGGCGCATGGCACCGAGGACGGACGCGGGCGTGAAGTCCACACCCACCCGTTCTCCCAGGGCAAGATCATCGAAGTTAATACTGAAACTTGGGAGGCAAAGATCGTGCAGGCGTTCCAGCCGCCCGAGGGGCATAATCTCCTTTCCAAGTCCCAGGGAAGCACGCAGTTACTTCCAAACGGGAACGTGATTGTGAACTGGGGCTCTGAGGGTGCGTTGACCGAGTACCGCGCGGACGGGACCCCCATTTTCCACACTTACATGGACTCCGGGTTCCTTGGTCTGGGCGTTGAGAACTACCGCGGATTCCGGTACAACTGGACTGGATTGCCGAATGAAGTACCCTCTATTGTATCCCTCGAAAACGACGAGGGGACGACCGTGTATGTCTCGTGGAACGGCGACACCGAGACCAAGGTGTGGCGATTCTTCAGTGTTGTCGATGAGTATGGATCCCGTGAGTTCCTGGGCGAGGTTGAGCGCAAGGGCTTTGAGACTTCCCTGTCTGTTAAGAGCAAGGGTCTTGGTCCTGTTGCTGCGGTGGCTGTTGGCGAGAACGGCAGGGTTTTGACCGAGTCTGCTGTTGTGAAGCCCAAGGCCGAGGTTCTCCCGCCTACTGCTTCTACGGGTGGTCGTTCGGCGAATGCGCTTACTTACACTCTGTATGATGAGGATGGGGAACAAGTGCCTATGGGACAGGACGAGAAGAGTCGCTGGGATGAGTACATGATCTTGAAGGTCAACCGATTTGACTTGAAATAAGTTGCCCCGGTCCGCCAGCTGCATCGCTTTGCTTTACGGTGAGGTGTGCTTGTGACCGGCTGGTCTTGACGGGTAATCGGTATAGGTATAGGAGGGCTACTCGTGGACATTGGTAGAAATATCAGTCAATCATCAGTCCCGAAACATAAACCGCTATTCGTTACATCGCATTATCATAAGTCGTAATTTCACAGATACTACCAGCCTGTCCCTGTCCATGCGGACCCCCACAGCCGTGTCCCTTCTGTCATTCGGGCCCAACCTGCCGATCGCAGAAGAGATCGACAGCCCCGCGGACTATCCAGGAACAACTTTCACCACCAATGCAACCACATAAAACAACAAGCCCAGCTAGACCACTGATAGCGCCTCGCTCAGATCCTCCGTTGGATCCGGGCGCGTCGAACCGTCGACTCCTTCCAGTTTAACCTCTTCAACCGCATTCCAGAGTTCCCCCAAACAAACCCCTAAGCAGAGCCAGTCCCATTCAAATTCCACTGCCGCTGAAAAGACACCTCGTCGCATATCACCGGCACAGTGCCACTGCCCTCCCCCTCACTATACCAATAAACCTGCTTGACCCCTTTCGCCGCGGTGCAGGCAACAAATCCCCCAAACCCTTCCTTGACCAATGACAGCGCACCGCTATCCTTATCAATGCTGAAGCCCTTGGTGTATTTCTCTGACTTCTGGTCGCCCAGAACCACCAGCTTGTAGGTATCGCTTATGCCTTTGTCGTTGGAGAGGAGAACAGGGGCTTCCGAGCTTGCGCCGATTACGTTGGACGTGTCGAGGGTTATAGACCCGTCGCTGTCGTGGAGAGTGAGCGGCTGCGCGAGGGCTTTGTCGGTCAGCAGGACGTAGTTTGTGTTCCCATTGAAGGTCATTGAGGAGGAGATGAAGAGGTCAGTTGAGGACTTTAGATAGTAGCGGTAGGGGGTTGCGGGTGCCGACAGGGCTGGAACCGCAGCGAGGAGGATAAAGGCCAGGGAAAGAAACATGGTATCGGTAGAGAGAACAATTGGGTCAGACTATGTGGATTCAGACAGATCAGAGAAGTGAAGAGGAATGGAAGATTAGACCAGAGGATGGAGGGCGATATATGTACATTCCGGGAAAGTGTTAAGTGACGAAGGGCCGCGCAATTTCCATCCGCACCAAAAGCGCACCTGCCACTCGGCTGTCAAATAAAGCCAAATAGTGCTGTCAAAGCGTCGTAAGGCCAAGGACTATCTTTTCTGAATCGGTTTCAGATCAAGCTTTCATCTCAGTTGTCGACGAATGTGGATGCAGCTTGCAGACACCTGGACAGGCCGCGCTGGGTGCAGAAAATACCCGATCCCAGTCATTGGCAGATAACTGTCAATCTGTGACTAACGATCTGGCCTGATGAGCCACTAGAATGATACAGACCCTGAACGAGTTTTTCACTCGCAGAATGTCGCACATCTTGCGACCTCGTATAGTTACTCCAGGAGCACGGATTACGTCATCCATGCCACAGTCACATGGCCTCCACGCGGATCACGTGGAGATATGGCCCTTATCCGGCGGCCAAGCTTTCCCGCCCTTGAGCCTCCTCCCTTCTTTCCTTCTTTCGTTGCCTTTCACTCCTTCATTCCCTCCCTGAATCCTAATGACACTTCGAATAACCTCTGCTCCAGTCTCGGGTATCAAAAAGCGCAAAGCCCCCTCCCAAGTCCGCCCCCGCGCCTCCCCCTTCGCCAACCATGCCCGCAGCAAACCCAGCATCCGCCCTGGGGGCTTGAACCCAAAGGCCGACAACGACAAGCACGACGATCCCGCTCTCGACCATGGCCCGCTCCCCGATCTGGGACTATCGCGGTATGTCCCCGAGACCGCTCCCGTCGACACCGTCCTCGCAGCCCTGCAGCACATCCGCGATAATATGTTCGAAGAGCTCCCTTCGCGGGCAGGCATGAACAGCACGCGCATCGCGCAGGTGTTGAATTTTAGACGCTTGCTACCGCCTATTGTCTCTGTTGCACATGTGCATACGATCCTTGATGCGCCGACACAGGTCGAGCGGGAGATTATGGAGCTGGCGACTGCTGGGAAGATTCGGCGGTTGATTGTTCCTGGGCGGGGAAATGATGCAGCGGGGCTGGGTGATTGTTTGGTTGCGACTGAGGATTGGGAGAATCTAGTCAGGGGCAGTGTATTGGATGGTGCGCTGAAAGGTATGCTCCTCCCTTGTGTTATTAATAACGTTGGTTTTGTTAACGAAAGTAGAGAAATTCCTCACCGTGCTTTCTCAAATCGGAAACACCTGTGCGGTACCCGGGACGGCGTTTTCCCAGCACGAGTATACGGCTCTTGTTCGGGCTGGGTTTATCGTCTCTTCGTCGTCTTTAGCAAAAGGCACATCTAGTGTTCCGTCTTTACCGGATCTACCAACTGCCGCTCCTACGATGGCGGCTAGTCGGGCTGGGTCTGCAGCGCATATGAACGGCACAGAAGCCCCATCTCGAGCCCAGTTCCACACCGCGACGTTATTCCTCTCTCTCCCAAATACCGGACCATATTTGAAACTGCTAGGTACCGGACGGGACCACCTCATCATGCTTCTCAAAAAATCGAAATCCGGAGAAGTCCCCGTCTCGCTGCTTCGGGACCGTTGGGACGGCGCGATCGAGTCCGAGCGAAGTTTCAGCGTGGCGAAGCGAGCACGAGGCGAGTTTGCGGGGATTTTACCCGGGAAAACGAAGAAATGGAAGGATCTCTACGGGATGAGTTTCCGGTGGGTGTTGGAGGAGGCGATTGGGGCGGGTTTGATTGAGATTTTTGATACGGGGAGTGTTGGGCCTGGGGCGCGGTGTTTGTGATTATTTATATATACCCTATTTGCTTGTTTTATATATTACGTTTTATCTTCGAGTATTCAAGAGAACTGAAGAAGATAGCTGGTCCATGCATTTTTGGTATCTTGGTACTTCAGCGGGAACACCGTTCCATGGTCAAGTGTTGGCCAATCAAAATAAAACGCGGAATCCAGAGAAGAAATGTAAGACGCATCAGTATTAGTATGGTATATTAAAATAAAAGGCCGTAGCAGTAGCAACCCATAACGCCGTCCATCCGTCCATACCGGGCCACGAGATCCTCATTAAATCCAACCCAAATAAAGTAAACCGCACCAGAAACCAACAAAAAGAGTCATAAAGCATCATGCAAGTATATGTGCGTGTAAGGGATATGTGTATGTAAGTGTAGTGCTGGAAGGAAAGTTTTTTCTACTCCAACCAACCCTCCCTCGTAAATGCAAACCAGATGCGGATGCAGGCGCAGATGCAGGTGCAAGTGCACGAGGCAAATAGCAATTAAAGCTTAAGTTATGACTGCGGACGCCGCGACTCGCTCTCCCACGAGTTCCGCACAGACCGAGCGGTCACATTTGAAGTTCTAGAGGTAATTTGCTCATCGATGCTCCGTCTCGTGTTGGACCGCGTAAACGCCGCCGGCGGCTGCGTGATAGCGGCCATCGGCATCTGCGGATTTCGGTACGCCGATGAAATCGACATTGAGCGAGACGGGGCGGGGGACCAGGTCCGTGGGGAGTACGGTGGTGGAGGCGTCTCCCTAGTCGCTGTTGATGTATTGCCGTAGCTGCTGGGGAAGGAGATTGCGGAAGAGGCATCGGAGGAGACATCTTCGGGGCGGGGATGGGTGTGGTAGGGGTAGTAGTCTGGAGAATTGGCCGCTTCTTCCCAGGCCAGGCGCTGCTTTTCACCTGAGCTAAGGTAGGTCTCGTTGGAGACTGGGGGATCGCGCATGTGGGCTTCGAGGGTCTTTTCCCGGATGCTCATTGGCCGGGGAGTGTACGCGGGGAGAGGGACGACCTGGTTGTAGCCATTTTGGGGTGGTTCGAGGTTGTTAATGTCGTGGTTTGAGCTGGGGTTGGGGCTCGAGGGATGAGTGGTAGTGGAGTTGGGAGCTGGACGCTCCGCTGTGGGTGCTTCTGACTTCTCGTTGAGCTTGGAGGGTAGGCAGCAGCTGAAGATGCTGGAAAGGCACGACATGCTGCCTTTTTTTCTTGTATACTCCTGGTTATGGTGGCGTTCAGATGGCAAACAGCCAGGCACGGCCTTTTTGACAGGAGGGAATCTGGGTGCCTGGGTGGATCGTGGATTGAGTGAGGGGAGGCTCCGCAATTTAGAGAACAGCGGGGTTAAACGGTTAAAAGAGATCGAGATTGGGCTGGATCACAGCAGTCAAACCATGGCACATCAGAACTCTCCGTCGAGGAGAGGCCAGATTGTCGAGTCTGGGAGAGAGAGAAAGGCAGGAGAGGGGAACACGAGATAACACGAGGGATGGCAGCTTTAAGATGCGAGTGAGTGCGACAATTGAGGCTGTGAACAAGCTGTCCTGGCCTTAGGCAGACCCGTTATTGCCGCTTCTGATTGGCTGCATCTTATCGCCCCGATCCGAAGCGTTCGTGCTGGAATGGTGTATTTTACCGTATTTTACTCGGGCGGTGTCTTTTTTGCCGGCAATCAACAATTTTTTGTCTCCAGACTTTCAAGATTCTACAGACTTTGCAGGCTCTTCTCCTCCAGTTTCCAGCGTTTCTCTTGTAAATACCCTCGTTCGTTCAAGGGCCTGCTACCATGTCTTCTACCCCAGAAGTTTCTGTCCCTACAGACGTCGTCGCTGCTGCCCAAGCCGCCAACCCTCCGCAAATTGCCCCGCATCGATCCCACGACCCCTCCAACAACCTCAAACGATCAGACCCTTTTCAGTTCGGCTCTCGCTTCCTCGAGCAAGGTGATGATGTCTTTGAATTCAATGCCTGGGACCATGTCGAGCCAGATGACGAATTCTTAGCCTTCGCCGAAACGCAGTATGCTAAGCAACGTGAAGCTCAAGCCTCGGATTTCGACAAGAAGCGCTTCAACGCAGACCCAGCAAAGTGGTGGAACTTATTCTACAAGAACAACACGGCGAATTTCTTCAAGGACCGCAAGTGGCTGCAGCAGGAGTTTCCGGTCTTGGAGCAAGTGACTCGGAAGGATGCCGGGAAGCAGGTCGTGCTGGAGGTTGGTGCTGGTGCGGGAAACACTGCGTTCCCCTTAGTTCGGAACAACGAAAACGAGGAGTTCATGGTGCATGCGTGCGATTTTTCGAAAACAGCGGTCCAGGTTATGCGCGACAGCGAGTACTACGATCCCAAGCACATCACAGCTGATGTGTGGGATGTTAGTGCCGAGCCCAGTGAAGAGAATGACTCGTTACCTCCTGGTCTCACCGAGCAGTCTGTTGATATCGTTATTCTTATTTTCATCTTCTCGGCTCTTGCACCTGAGCAATGGGAGAGGGCCATTCGCAATGTGTACCGGGTACTGAAGCCCGGTGGTCAGGTCTTGTTCCGTGACTACGGAAGAGGGGATCTTGCCCAGGTGCGGTTCAAGAAGAACCGATATCTGGCCGAAAACTTTTATGTACGCGGAGATGGAACCCGTGTCTACTTCTTCGACAAGGACGAGTTGGAGGAGATGTGGAGTCAGTGGACTCCCGAGAAGGGTTTACCAGGCTTGGATACATCTGATGCAGCCGAAGACGGTGTGGCAGAGACGGCCCCTACGGAAGATGGTGCCTTTGATGTCCGCAATTTGGCATATGACCGTCGTTTGGTCGTCAATCGCCAACGCAAACTGAAGATGTATCGTTGCTGGATTCAGGGTCATTTCTTCAAGCGCCAATAACCGTGACTCAATCTTCTCGACCAGCATGAAGGTCTAATTCATCCACCAACTTGAATTCCACCGGAGATAACCAAGAGACTCGCCTCTGCCGGACCACCGACGTCTCTGTATTTTAAAGCATATCCAAACCGCCCCGGGTCCCTGGAATACAAACGCAGGGTCACATGTTATACGAAGGACTCGCTTCGTGAGACTAAGCACCAGCGACGCTCGAGACTGCTGACACAACTGCCGAACGATGCCATGCCACTGCCTCGGCTTCTCTTCCGGAAGGATGACTCCAGGCTGAAAAGACTCGCTCTCAGCCATCGGTATATTGGTTATTGCAATGATTCTATTGAATAGACATTTGGTGTTAAATAGATCAATCTACCGTATAGACGGCCTACAGCACGATAGACAAGATACTCTATATTCTCCTCTAATTCAACCACCATCACCCCACCTCCACGCAGCCCTCAGCCTCGCCTGCGACTCCGTCGTCGGCCAATAATTACTATCCTGCGTGGTACTAACCACCAACTCCATCAGCGCCCTCTGCTCCCTCGCATCCGTAAACCTTCCGCACAGATATTAATCGCAAGTGACAGAACCCCCAGCCCTAACGCGGGGTAGTTTGCCCTAAAAGTCGAATGCCGCCGACAATTTCCAGAACAGGACGGAGAGTCGGCGACGCTAGCCCGATCTGGAGTCGTCTCGCCGACTGGCATCAACAGCTTCAAGCCCTAACTGAGATCCATCCAGGCTATATCAAGCCAACAATATCTCCTATGATTGAGATTTGGCAAACTACTCAACCAAAATGTTCATTGCAACCGCAGTCCTCTTCCTCGCCTACCTCTCCTTCACCAATCTCCTCCTCCCCTGAAGGTCTGGAGGAGGGTCAGGATGGAAGATGAAATATGTGTTTAGCCATGTTAAGCAAGTAAATTAGATAGAGATTGCACTTTAAACTAGATACTGCGTGATGAACCCTGATATTACGTTCTAATCCTGCTCTACCCTTTCTGCAGCCCACTCAAGGACCTGGGCACACGCCTCAGCTGGCTTCTTCTTATGCTGCAAAAGAAAACCCTGTATCTCAGCCAAACTGAGCTGCCGTTCTGGTAGTTTGTCCGCAAAGTCTTCTGCGAGTTCATCTAATGGAGCATCTCCTTTGCTCTTCTCATCACCACCCAAAGCATTTCCCTCTTCTTCCTCGATATCCAAGTCACTATACATGCTCAAAAACAGTGCGCGTAGTTCCTCCCTCGACGGCAACTCAAATTGAATATGCAGATCTACCCTCCCAGGACGTATCAGCGCACGATCCAAAGATTGCGGTGCGTTCGTCGTCATAATCAAGATCCGGCCTTCGTGTGAAGAGATCCCGTCGATGGCATTCAGCAGGCCAGAGAGAGAGATTTGCGAGGAAGCACCGTTGGATGATGTTTCAAGCCTCGTGGTGTTAATATCCGCACGTCTCCTCATAGTCCTTTGCGATGCATCGCCATCCTTGCATAAACCATTGTTGTTATGCTTTTCAACTGGAAGAGTATCCATGTCTCTGGTCGTGGTCACTCCCGCGGCATCGATATCTTCCAACAACACAACACATTGCTCAGGCACTTCGGAGAACAAACGCATGAAGTGGGACTCTGTCATACTAGAGTCCATCAGGCTCAGAACGTAAATGTCTAATCCAAAAGCACCCGCGATCGCAGACGCCAGACTCGTTTTCCCCGTTCCTGGAGGTCCGGAGAATAGATAGCCGCGGCGGTATGGAATGCCGTGATTAGCGTACCACTGCTTTATGCGTAGATGGAGAAACTCTTCAATGTCATTCAGGAGCGCCTGTTTCTTCCCTTGGTCCAGGATAACGGTTGAAAGGTCCCGGCGGGGTCGGGAGGTGATGCGTCTCCAGCGGAGGTCTCCTCGCTGGCTGGTGAGAGCGCGGTGCACAGTGACGTTGGACATAGATACTTTGCGCCTATAGGCTGTTGCCTCGTACAGAAACCGATGTTGGGTGTTGAGAGAGAGGCTGAAGCATTGTAGCTTCAATGGTACCTTATCTTCATCGCTTTCCAATAACATCCTACTGACGCCGCTGGTACGGGAAGCCGAGTGGCTGAATAGGATCCATCTGCCGTTGAATCTGAACAGGCGAGAACCTTGAAACGGCTTGAGATGAATCGAGGAAGTGGTCTCTGACAGTCCATGCTTGCCATGGCTATCTGCCGCGACACCTGTATTCATGGTGTTTTTGTGTTCGAGCCGCTTTGATGTGACCGCCGTGACAGATCGGAAATTCCGATGTTGGAACACGTGGTCGTCCATCCAAAGGAGAATATCATGATAGAGAGGGTCTTCCTCCTTGATGTAGACGGTTGTCAAGCAGATACTCTCTGCGTAGGCGTACAGCGACTTCCATGTTGAGCGGAGGGCTGCCACCACCGCGAACAAGGCTATACCAGTGTTGATGAGGACGGTGACGTTCACATTCAACGCATCGTTCAGCCACTCCACCACATGTGGATTCATGTAGCGCATGATGGATAGAAGCAGATAATAATTGAAAATGATGAATGTAAGAGAGAGATTATAAGCAGCGGTGGCACAGCAGGCAGAATGTCACTAAACCAAATCAGGCCTGCAGCCTGGTCGGTGGCGAAGCTGGGGAATCTGGAGAGAATACCTGAGGTAAAGAAATAATCACTGAATGGCTGCTGTGTTATACCGAGTAAACCTCCAGCACCTCACTCTGTATACCAGACCTTTCCTGAGCAGCGTTGAGGTTGATTGGTCCGCCGTAGTCTTTACTCTGTATGGTGGAACTAGACGAGGTCATTTGATGAAGTATACCGTGTGACTTTGATGTGCGTTCTTTGCAGGTCATAGGCACAGATAGTCAGGCGAAGCAAAAAGAAGCTGCTGTATTTATAAAAATAAGTATCCATCCTCTAATTACTGCTGCTGCTGCTGTTCCTGGTGCCTGGCTATTGTTTGGATGAGTCAGCAACGCATCCACATGAAACTTTTCTCTCGATAGCTTCATCAACACCGACTCTCCTCGCCAACCACAGCATCCGCCATGTCCAAGGCCACCGTCGCGGCCATTGCTGCCGCCAGTGCAGCCACGGGTGCTGGTATCACTGCCCTGTTCTACTCCCGACCAGGGCCCCAGCAGCAAAAGCCAGCCCCGACACCCACCACTCTTCCACCCCCAACACGAACCGTCTCTGCACCACCTCCTCAACCTGCCGCTCCCTCCCTCGCCGGTAAAGCCGCGGCTGGCTCCCCCGTTGACCCCTCCGGCATCTACCAATATGGCTTCCCCGGCCCCATCGCCGACACCATCTCCTCCCTCCCCCTAACAGGCGCCTACGACCGACGCACCCGCAATCCATCCTGGGTCGCCGAACACATCACCCCGGCCTCGCTGGCCCTGAAAAACGCCGACCGCAAGCACAGCACCTTCTTCGAAGACACCACCATCCCGCCGCTCTTCCGCGCCAAGCTCGCAGACTACTTCCGCTCCGGCTACGACCGCGGCCACCAGGTCCCGGCCGCCGACGCAAAATGGTCGCAGGAGGCCATGGACGGCACCTTCGCCCTGACAAATATGTGCCCGCAGGTCGGCGAGGGGTTCAACCGCGACTACTGGGCTCATTTCGAGGACTTTTGCCGCAATCTGGCGTCCAAATACCCCTCTGTCCGGATTGTTACGGGCCCGCTTTATCTCCCGCACCGTGACCCCGATGGGAAATGGAGGGTGAACTATGAGGTTATCGGGACGCCGCCTAATGTGGCCGTGCCAACGCATTTCTATAAGGTTGTTTATGCGGAGGAGGGTCCTGGAGTGCCTACTGGGAAGGTGGCGCTTGGTGCGTTTGTGTTGCCGAATGCGCGCATCGCGAATGACAAGCGGCTGGCCGAGTTTGAGGTGCCGGTTGAGGTGGTTGAGAGGGCGAGTGGGCTTGAGTTTGCGAGCAAGTTGGAGGCTGCAAGGAGGAAGAGACTTTGCCAGGAGATCAAGTGTGATATTGTGGTGAGGGAGTTCAACAATGCGAAGAAGCGGGCCTAGACTTCGTGATGTACATTTTTAACTTCTTTTACATTCTTACATGTGTATTTTGGATCTTGTCTATACAGAATTTATGTGGATATACTACATCATTTATTCAACGCAGTCCAGCTAGCATTGAAACGCAACACCAGTCTTGGTTGCAAGATTCCCTCCTCGGCCTGCGAATCCCGTCCCCTCGGACGATATCTCCACCAAACCCGGCTGAATCCCCTCCTTCTCCTTCTTCTTCTTCTTTTTCTTCTCGCCTGCCTTGTCATCCCGTGCTGGATCGCGGGGCGTGAGATCCGTCTCGCACACGTAGCATAATACTTTGCCGTGCAGCTCGGCCGTCTGCTCCTGCTCTTCCTTGGATGCGTGCGGATCTGGCGCATCATGCGGCGTCATGAACTTGTCCACGCACGGCTTGCATATAACATGGCCACAGGGTTTTGTAACTGGGGACAGCATTAGCACCAATATAACAGAGATAGCAACAGGGTAACTTACGCATCACCTTAACTGAATTGGTTAAGGTCTTTTTGCAGCTCGGACATACCCGCAACATTGCGCCGTCGGACCCGGCTTCCTCCGTGAAATGCACATCGACCAGCGATTTGAGCGAGTAGCTATGTTTATCCGACTCCGTAGACCCAGGACATACCGGGTTCAACTTGGCAGCCTTATTCAAAGTGACCTCATTGGGGTCCATCCCTGGGGTTAACGACGGCACCCAGAATGACGGAAGAGCCGATTTATTCGAGTCCGGCTGCCAACAAACAGACATCATTAGCCATCCAGTCCCAGGTAAAACACCACATCACGGAAATAAACAAAACACACCTTTTCATGCCTCTTAACCCTCTCCGAAGCCTCCTTCCCCTCCTCCTCTTCTTCCTCAAGTTTCCTCTTTTTCTTATTCTTATCCCCATTCGCATTCCCCCTATCGTCAAACCCCATACTAACCATCTCAAACTCCTTCACCTCCCTCCCCCTCGCCTCCTCCGCCTCCCGTCCATTCTCCTCCTCTATCCTCCGCCTCGCTTCCTCTTTCTCCTTCTCTAACCGACTAATCTCCTTCCGCTGCGATAGCAGGTCATTTATCGCACACTCGCGGCAGAATAGGTCGCCGTTGTGGGCACATGCGACGCTTGGTTCGCGCGACGGATGTAGGCAGAGTCGGCACGAGCCGAAGGGGATGAAGGAGTCGCGGCCAATGACGCCGCGCTGGGTGCCCCAGCTGTTGCGGAGGAGGGAACGCTCGTAGGAGGTGAAGTGAGGGAGCGATGTGTTGCGTTTTGAGTGCGCCATTGTAGTGCAGGTACTTCTTTTTATAAAGAGTGTTGTTTCTGGTTTTAATTGGTGGCTGGGACCCCCGAGCTGATTGGGTTGCTTTTATCACGGCAGACTGGTTAGGACATGGGATTGGTGACGGTGAGCAGGAATCCTAGAGTCTGTTCTTGAGGAAGGATATATCGGGGAAGGTGAAGAAGCTCGAGTCCAGGCTTGAATTTTGTGGGGTCGAGCTCTGTCTCACCGCCCGCCGATCATCCAGATCTATACAGTCACGTGAATTTCGTCAATGGATGGTGAGAATGATTCCAAGTGAGAGGTCGCAAGGTGTACTATTTCTGGAGATATCAAGGGTAATCAGTTGCAGTGTCAGTTGTGGGCTTTGTTGAAATTTGCATATTGACACGATGCTTGGGTGAAGAACAGTCCTCAGCTTTTATTATCTTAAATATATAAAAGTTGTATATACATGCGTGACCAATATAATCCGGTAATAAAGACGGCCATTGCCTATTCAACACTAACTACCGATCCAGAGGATCTTAGATATACCCCCAACTCAGCATCTTCTTCATCAACTTCTCTTTCAAAATGACACCCTCGGGCTCAATATGATCCCACCGTTCCTCAACTAGTAAGCGAACGAAAGGGTCACCCTGCTCATCGGCATGTTTTAATGCAGCCCGAAATACCATATTATTGGTTGGCCAGATAATAGGAAACCCGTAACACTCTATCCGCACATAAATGTCCAGCAATCGCGCAAAAATAGGGAAATCGCGATCACGGATCAGACGGCGCAGAGTGCGAGTTGCGCGGTCATAGTCGGTATCCCTGTCAAGGAATGCTCTTGTCGAGATTAACTGCAGGAACTCAAGCTTTTCTTCCGTCCAGGGCGCACATAGCAGTTTGTCTGGCAGATTGGAGCCCTCGCAATACGGAAGCTCGAAGTAGATTTTCCCCTTGGGGTCTCCTTCTCTCGCTTTGAAGACCTCGACAATGCCGAGATTGAACCATACCGCAACGTTGTAGTCATGCGAGCGTTTAGGGTTGGATTCATTGAATTCGTTGCCGGGCCGGTTGGCCCGTAAGACCAGATCACGCTCGCCGCGTTGCCCGTTCGAAGTGGTATCACAGGGTTTGGGATTGTCAAACCACTTCGCGAATGCAGCAAGGTGGTGCTGGTCATCCGGAACGACGTTGAAGTCGGGACGCTTGTATTGGATGACATGCTGGAGAAAGGCCAGCTGACAGCGGCGAATCAAGGGCAGGGTGCACCAACGGCACTCAAGAATCTGAGTGCGAAGCTCCTTTAGCCCATCACCGCCAACGTATCCGACAGCATCATGCGGGGGCAGAAAGTGCCGCGTATGGATAGATTCTCCATCGCCATCTGCCTTGGCAAAGGCAAGCTTAACGAGCCATGTGTATATGATAGGGTTGGAGAGCGCCCGCGCAAGATGGATAGAGGCTCGCGGGAGACTGATCTCCAGACAACGCAGGAAGATCTCCTGGATGATTTCTGCAGGCAAGGTTTCCAGACGTGACTTGGGTCTGATCAGAGGTTGATCTCGGACCATTTGGCCGAACTAGCTTTTTTTTAAGCTCGCTGCTCGGCCAGGCGGGTCTCCAGGACGCGACGCGGAAGGCTCATGTGGCTGCCCAGGGATGGTTCGGAATGGCACTTTGACATGTTCGAGGGGGCGGCGCCTGTCTACAGCTTTCCAGCCATCCCTTTCCTCGGAAAAATGCTTCAACCGGCTGTTGGTTCCGTTGAGCAGATGTCAACACGAAGGGCCCCAAGGTTCTTGGGGAGTGAGTTGACGTGCGGGCTGTCGGAGCGGAACAACAGCCTCCGGTAGGACACCCATGCGCAGGGGAATACCCTACCTAAAGCCTGATGCTAGGTGGCATTTGGAATATTCTGGATCATGCTAACTCGGTGGCCATTACGTAGCTTTACAGATTCAGAAAACAATTATCAAAGAGTAACCAGTTGGATGATGCTATCAGTCTATGCTCCGTCGAGGTCATGATAGACCGACTTGCTACCAGCAGATGGTATAGTACTACTACCCGAATGGTAGTAGAGGTAGTACAGTAGTAGTACCGAAGCAATACCGGTGTGATGGATCCTAGATCTGGAATGATTTCAATAGGCCCCAAGTCGAACAGAAATAAAGTTAGCCCTGGAACTCCAGCGACGAAATGACACCAGCCCTCGTAAGACGATTCTACAGTAAATCGAGTCCTCCGGTGCTCCGTCAGAATTCAGACTGATCCCAAAGCAAGCGCACTGCCTTCGTAAAATTATGCACAGTCCCGGCCGCCCATTTTTTGCGCGCATCGAAGGCAATCGTCCGTCTCACATACCCGGTGGGTGGATATGCAAACCCGCCCTTGCGCGATATCCAGCAAGGAGGAGAGCAAAGGCTGGGGACTTCTCCCAATCTCCAAGTCGACAAGCGGGACGTGTTTCTCTCGGTTTTCGAGGTATTCCACTAGCCACCAGCGACATGTGGGCCTGTCTGTGGACGCGACGCGGCGACGAAAACTGGAGCTCCCCTTGTATAGGCTGTCCTTGGGCAGAGTCAGGAATACTATCTCCGATGAAAGCCGTTGCCCAATCATGAGTTGGCCTGCGCGAAATTTGCGGTCGCAGGAATGCCAAAAAAGCCAAGTTGGAATGTTCTGTCATTTGCTTACTTGGACATTCTCCGATTAAGATGACCCCAGGCGATCTGCGAAAGGAACGAGGTGACAGCAATATTCGTGACGACCGGAAAGACATTCCGCCATCTGAATCACTTCATCTAAAATGTGTCAGTCAAGAAGGTGGGTCTTGGGTTAATCAGAGCATCGAGGGCGGCTCCAGCGAAAAGCACAGATTGCTGGGCTCGGGAGGATGCATGAACTGCTGCTTTCCGAGACGGCCACGCTTTGGGTGCTAAACAGCTTGGGTAAAGTATCCCTTCGGAAATAAAGGAGTGCAGAGACACTCGCGTGTCCATGTTTTGAGATTGCATCCAGGCAGCCTCGAGCTCAGGCAGCCGGGCATTTGTCTCCCGGTGAAATTCTCATTCGACGCCTTGGGAAGACAGCGAATCGTCGTGAATGGCTCCGGCTGGTGACATGCAAGGGAAGACCACCGGAGTAAGCAAACGCTGCACAACAGTTTTCTTTGTGTAACATTTCAGCCGTGACCGGCCTGAGGGAAAAGCATCCAACGTTGCGCCCTGTTATTTCAGAAGCCAATATCAGTGATATTTTTGCTTTTTCGACGGAATCGTGGCCATCCTATTCGTGCCCGAGATTATGGGTCTGTGTTTCCCAGGGCGAAGGAACGGATTGTCAAGCAAAGGAATGTGCTGTCGGATGCCAGGCAGCGAGGAGCCAGCCAGCACATACCTCCCCAGTTCCAGCCCGTGCCACACAACTGCCGATCCGCCCAAATCTGCACGGGAGCAATGAATGGCAGCAGATCGCCTGAAAAGCCTTGAAAGATTCTCTATCCAGTATATAACTCTCGTTTTCCCGAAACCTGGACTGGATTTTTTTCTCTTCGGCCTCCAATCTGCCTCGAGCGATTAGTCTTTCGTTTAGTTTTGCCTTTTGATTGTTTCTGCGTTGATTTATAGTCCTTCGTTCAATATCCTTTCGCTTCGTCCAATAGAACAGCCTTGCATAGCATACGTTCGCTCGCTCGTTTCGACTTCAGATTCCCCTGCATCGGTCCGATTGTATATAGTGGCCGACCGCTCACAAAACCTCGTCTCTCGTTATTTCACAATATAATAAAATCCACGTCGATCGTTAATCGCCATGGACTGCTTCCTGCAAATATACCGTCTGGTCAAGAGCCCGTTTACACGCAACAAGCATCGGGTTTTGGAGATTGTGAGTCGATCTGCAGGACGATGCAGGGTGCCCTGCTGACGTTCGTTTATTAGGGCCCTCCCACAAATTTCCGAAAGGAAGAGCTACCGAATTTCTTCGCCGATGATGAGTCCGTCCTCCTTGAATATCCCATGCATGGATATCATTCTGACATGTCGCAGCGCAATTACCCTGCACAGCCGCACGGCACTCGAGAAGGAGGCGGTAGTGAAAACGACCGAGGCCGAGCCTTCGAAACGGGATAAAATCAGGAGTCATGTTCGCAGGATGAGTGTCAAGATGTCTCGCCCACTCATCGACGCGCAGTGAGGTATTTCAATAATGCCCGTGAGTCACCAGGATGGTAAAGCAAGGGTTTAATGCTTTTTTGTCGGAGTTCGGTCACTCAGATCAAGAATGTTGGTACTTCATTTAGTCGAGATTTCTTCGACCCAGTGTTCTTGTCGTCGAGTTTCTTCTGTTTAAAATTTGTGGAGCTGGGTCGTCGTTTTTCAGGTTGTATACTATGCTTGGGCAGCTCCGGAAGCTCGTCAAAGTCATCGAATATCAATCTCCTTTTAGCTTGGATAGTGTTCGATACTTTCCCTTCTGACCGTGGAGCCCGTAGCTCTTTAATATCTTCGGAGTGCCGTTCCTCACTCGAAGGACGCATCGTAGGTGTGCTCCGCAATAATCCCGGACTCGACGTTTCCTGATTCCTGACAGCCATCGGAGTAGGCTGGCCCATCCCAACATCAAGATCGTCATCATCAGTGGTCTCTTCCAGTGCAATGGGGTCTTTGTTGTCCGCCTTCCCAGGGCCGCTGCAGGTAAAACCATCATCATCCCCCAACCCAGACGACTGTGAAAATCCGGCTGCCGCTCTCGTGTAAGATTTAACCTTCTGCAACCCTACCAACGACCTCACTCTCCTCGGACTCAACATAAGATCCTGCAGATGCGTCCCGGCCCACGAGTTCTCCGCCTCAAAGTCATCGCCCGCGTCCTCGTCGTGTCCATCCCCTGCCTGTTTTCCTAATTCTCCATCAATCGCATCCTTCTGCTTCGTCTTGAGCTCCTCTGCGGCGTATTTCTTCTTGATCTCATTGCTCATCGGGGTCGCTCCGTCGGTCGGTCTCGCGATATCTGCGATCGTATCCGCATTTAGTGCCTTAACCTCTTTCTTCCGACGTATATATTCCGCGTAGTGGAGATGCTGCGTGAAGGATTGCGCAACGGAGTAGAACTCGTCTTCGACCATCATGTAGATATCGTCTTGATCTAGACCTTCGCGGAGGAATCTAGTTTGCTTATTAGTACCGCGCTATCTGAAGCTCGCTAATGACAAGACGGGCGCACTCTTCTGATGGGCAGCGATGAATCGGTGAGGACGGAGGACTTGGAGCTAAAGAACAGGAGGTGTCAGTCTCAGTCAAATCTAGTACAAAACACGCCCCAACCAAAGAGAGCTTTAGATAAATTTTAGGCAATACATACAAGATTTCATGAAATCCCTCTTTGACGTAAACGTCTCCTTTCTCGTCGGCGTCTCATGTTCGTTTTTCACCCGCGGGCTCGAAGTACGCTTTATCGCTGGAGCTGGCGAATTCGGCCCTCGTTTCGTCGTTCCGGCACCAGTAAGCCAAGGGAGAGTCCTTGGCATGATGGACTTGGCAGTTTGTAAATAAGAGTAAAGTGAGGAATCGGCTCATTCATGGTTTTGTCGCCGGTCGCTTGGTGTTGACGATTGTTGAACGCGAAATAGTTTTAGATCGCGTTGTCGCGGCGGCGATCTCCCCTTAAACTTTACCAGGCGGTTGCCCCACGCTCCGCACGGTGAACCAGGCTAGGCCCCAGCCGACTTTCTGGGGCTTTAATTTAATGACAACTCTTGGTGTTGTTTTACATATTCTACGTGAGAAAAAGAAAAGAAGGATTATTCTAGTTCTTCATTCGGGTATCTTTCTTGTCCGATGAAAATCGGTAATGTACAGCACAAATAATGCCATGGGAATGTCCTAAAACGCCGACACAAAAACGACCAGTGCCCATAAACCAGCAGGGTCAAATACGTAGTGTAAAAAACAAATCGAAGAAGAACGCCCCGTCTCATCTCATCTCATATGGCCATTGTTTCGCTTCATAGGGTCCTCACGCCTCTCCGGGCCTCTTGCTGTTGCAGCTCACAATTTTAACCTTGTCCGCGCTGATAGTCTGCTGGTTATCTAGCTTGAAATTGACATCCTTGATGAGGAACGTCCAGACTTCATCGCAGAATCGATATGTGTCAAGGTGGCCCTGCAAACAGAGAACACATCTGGTCAGCGTCCGCTCTTCCATCCGAGATCCGCCACAGGGAATTTGGCAAAGCTCGTAAAATATAAGAGGGCACGGCATACCTTGAAGTTCAGCCGAGTGCGAACCTTGTCCGCGAGTACTTCCGTAATAATACGGTCAAAGGTCGAGAGAATCTTCATGGCGAGCTGGGGCTCGATCCGCCCTTCGTTGATCAGATCATCGAGGGTGTCGGTTAGGGACAGGCCGAGGCTAGTGTTTTCGAACGCAGAGTGTTAGTACAAGCAAGTCTAGTCACTTCTGACAGAGGTAGAAAGTACCTGCTCCCACGGTAGAGTTCGTAATACGCCTGGGCACTCATGTTGGCTTGGTTGTTGAGGTGATGATGAGGCTGAAAGTGGTTGAATGAGTGGTTGGTGACTCCGATAAGATGTGGAGATCGGGTCACGGGTAACCACGTGATATCCAAGGCCAATTAAAGAATTATGTCATGTTAACTATTGTCAATTTGTTCTTTACATAGTTTTGAAGTTATTCCGGGTTTTGTTTGTCACTGTTGGGCCACTGTCACCTCAGACAGAATGCAGAGGGTAGCGCCATTACCAACAGGGGCAAAGGCCTTGTTGAAAAAACAACCGCTCCTGGCCCCTGCCCGATGTATATTTTCCACATCACGGCTCCAAGTGGACTCCAACTCAGGTAATGCAAACTGTTAGCAGTTCCCCAAACCCCACACTGAGAAGGGTACTAGATAAAGAAGCGTGTAATAAGCAACAACCAAACGAATCATCGAAACAACACTCTACATCGGAACACCACAAACCGCGGAAAGCAGCCAAAAGTGTGGCCCAAGAAGACGAAGAGATACGCCGGCGGCTTGAAGAGATGTCTGGGGAGGGCGGTGCAGCTGGGTTAGAGTACGAAGATGGAAAGCCTCAAACCATGAAGCGAAGTGTTAGAAACAACATGTTCCGTTATATATAATATATTAAATAATTCATTTACTTCTATCCGTTGCTCATACTTAGAAAATAATCCCAAAGATCAAACGCTTTCGTGCTCATGAAACTTGTATAACATAACTGCGTAGCCGTGCATGTTTTGCAAGGCCACTTAGTGCTTTTTGAACCAACTCAAATATATGCCACCCACAGCGCGCGCGCAGAGTTGAATACCTAAGTACACCAGGTAGGAGCGCCTTAGTATATAGATAAGTTCGCCGGCAAAGCCTCGATGTGTTTCGCTGCAAAGGTGGGGTTTCAAAGCCGAATCAGCGATTCCCCACCATCCCTGCGAGAACACCAGCTCCAATAACACCGCCGTCAGATGCCTCGCGTAGGAAGACTGATTTCCCGCTTTTTTGAGGGCCCGTACGCATGATGAGTCGATCGATGGTTTGCTGGCACATTTCTTTGAAGTTGGGATAGTGCTGGATTATACCACCAGTATACGCAACGACAAGTTCCTCAGGTCCAGACTGCCAATCTGCAGGCGTGGGGGACGGGGAAATTATAGGAACGATCGGACCGCGAGCGTTGCTTAAACCGTTTAAACTTGCTGGTTCAGCTTTAGTCTGAGAAATGTTCGTGGTGCTCTCATGTTCAGGCGAGGCGGCAGAAGATTCTTGCGGTGAGCTCTCGTGACTGTCCAACCTCAACTCTATTTCGCCGGCACATGCTAATAGGCCGACAACTGCTGCAGCTATTAAGCCCGCCGATCGCCTTTGAACGGCCCTCGCGATTTTCCGTAAGAGATCTGCGGAGGTAGCATCCCACTGCCACGTATCGCTTGGCGGGGGGAGAGAACCGGTCAGCTCAGCTGCGAGATCTTCGCCTGAGCGTGAACGCGCAATATTGTCTGAGACGTATGATGTGGTTAAGCCGTATCCCTTGGTGAGTCCCACAGGTAGCGCAGCCCTAGACACCCCGGTAATGTTGGTTAGGTAGTCTATGAAAATGAGCCGTATAAGTTCACCGACATATCTACCTCCAGTCATATATTCAAATGGCTGAAATCCGGGACGCGCACTGGCTGCGTCTAGTTCCGCATCCCACTTCGTTATGATATCAAGCTCTTTAAGAGGAGGCAAGACACCCGATATCGTCCATTCGGTATTCACGATGATTTCTGATGTCTCGGGATCGCTCCTCCTCACATGATTTACCTTTGCATCATGCAGGGCACTAAGTTTCATTGGTATTGTGGCATTGCAGCCAGTGCCCACGATGATGCCCATCGCAACCCGGCTGTTGGGCAGGGACTTCACCGCATACGCCAGGGATGCAAGAGTCGCTACCGCATCGTTGGTAATGGCAGAAATCTTCAATTTCGGTAAAGCGAACAGTTTCCGGCGCTTTTTTGACGGTTCATCTTCATCATCAGGGCGTTTCGTGTGTTTTTCATACCCACTGAGTAGTATTTTTCGGAGATTTAGATCTGAAGTAATAGCAAACCCCTTGCCCATCGGCATGAGAGTAGCTTCTGCAAGAGACTCTTGCCTGTTATTTGTCAGTAGGTGTAGAGAGTGCGGATTTCCTGAGCGCGAAGCTTCGGAGTGTATGAGCAATGGGCTGCCTGGGTAACTTACATTATTGGGAAACTGAAGGTGATCCCCATCTCCAGCTCTTCAGGGACGGAACCCTTTGTCGCATCTGAGGTTAAGCTTTCAGCCACTACTTCCGCAATACAGTCTCCGATCCACGCAAAAAGATCCTCCGCCTTGTCCATCTTCAAATGTTCCTGAATAGGCCATGCTTTCTCAAGGGTGCGTTTGACGCGTTGCGTCTGCGCCTTTTTCAAAGGCCTCTCCGCGGCTCGTGTGCGAGCCATATCGGGCTCGGCAGTATCGCCGAGTAGTTCGATAAAGGCAACCCGTAGATTGGACCCCCCAACATCGATGGCCAAGTAACGACCGGTCTCCAGGCCACTAGGCAGCTTTGAAACGGGGGTTGGGAGGAATTGCTGGTCTGATTTCAAGGCCAGCTCCCGATACACGCTCGACAGTCGGCGGGCCAACTGGTAGAGCACAGCTTCGTCTAGGTCTAGCGGTGATAAAAACCCATCGACCTTTCGCTGGTGTTCCAGATATGCCCTTACGGAGGGGTCTATCTCCGTGAATTCCTCGTCATGGTCCTCATCCACGTCAATGGGGTCGTCGTGTATGATCTCGTGCTCTTCCACGGTATGTAGCTCTGACTGTCGTGAATCCGCCGAAGCCATTGTTATGATGAAGCCGGTTACCGCGGAGTGGCGATGCGGGGTGCAGAGATAGGATGCAACTCAGCGGGTTGCGAAAGTCGTCCGTGTGACTCAGACTCAGGATCCCCGGGGGTTGGGGTTACAGTTTGGTCTCGTGTGCGTTCAAACAATTCTCAGGCGGACTGCGGATTTCTAATCGGGTATATATGCGTTCCTCCGCAGAGTATCATTCAAAAATAGGTGGTGGGCGTTGCCCAATCCGCGTCACGGGTGATCGAATAGGTATGTATCCGGGAGTGGAGGAGATCTTCGACTCGGAACCGCGGGAGCAGATCCTCGAGGAAGGGCAGGAGTCTGGAAGCCTGGGATCAGCCAGCCCAAATAATGGTTAGCTTCGATGTTACAGCAAATTCCAAAGCGGAACGCGTATGTCTGCAGCAGGGTGAGGAAGGAGGGGATGGCACAACGGTGACAGTCATATGCACGAAGCCAGACCGCGCACCGAAAGCGAACCAGGCTCGGGTAGGAAAGACAGTATGGGCAGACGAGCACACACCTCTCACAGTATGTTTACAATTGCGCCGAAGATGGTGGCGACAGGTGGTACACAGGGAACAGCGGGTGGAATGGAAGAGGAAGCGCAGGAAGGGCAAAGCAATTGCGTACTATTATAAATAAGAGGGAGCAGTACGGAAGACCTAACAGAGACGAAAGGTTAAAAAGCCACAGGACCAGCCAGTGGCATTCCCCACCATTCGGAAACGAGTAGCAGAGGATGAGTGAGGCAGCGACGAGAGACAGAGAAAAGGAAAGAGGCCGCGGTGGCCCAGGGTGGAAGGGAAGAAAAGACAAGACGCGAGAATGATTTGATGCGATGGAATGCGACCATCCGCCAGACGATGTGACATCGCCCCGGTCGGCTTCTACGACCATGGCTGCCGATTATTTGCTGCAACAGCTCAACTGCAGCACCCGGAAATCTGGGCCTGTTGTTGCATCTGGCAACGAGCCATGAATGTCCCGGAGATTCCCCATTCGCTTGCTCTATCCACGTTGAAGTCGTCAACCATCTTGGTCGAGACAGAGACGGACTCCACTGTCTCCAGTCTTGGCTACGGGCTGAGGCACGTCGCAGAACTACCCAGGATTCGGGAACAACAGTATGCATCCCATCGCTGTTCCAATTACGCATCCATCTTCCGGTGAGCTGTTATTGTCATTATCTCCGTGCCTTCAGCTACTTTTCTGCCATGTGGGTGTTAGGTAGCTGGGTGGGGCGACATCCTCCAACTGGGTAAAGAACTGCCACGCCCGCCGCCTCTCGTGACAAAGAGCTCTATTAATCGGAGCTCGCTCTCGGCTTCGATGTCGACGAATCGAGAAAATAGCCCTGGGGCCCTGATTCGTCCAGGGTCTGAGTGGATCGATCAGTGCGTCCATGGCTGTGGGATGCATCCCTCTCTAGCCTATCTGATGTTCGTCTCCCCAGCTCAATACGAGTTCTCCCCAAAGGCTGGAACTCGTGCGCAGGCTTTTGAGGAGAGCCTCGTACCTTACTTTCCAGTTCACCCGTTGACAGGAGCGGCAGCTTCAGCCACAAACTGGCGACATGTCAACTGACCCCGCAGATGATAATCGGCTTGGCCCAACCCGATATCGCCATGACAAACTGCGACGATATGGATGGGCAGTTGAGCACGCTGGGGAGGTGGATCAAAGCAAACGAGACGCGCAATGGAGTGTCAGATCTCGGGAGAATAAGGAATGGCTAGTGCTTGTCGCTCGAGCCAGGCTTTGTACAGAAAACGTACCAAGGCAGCCTCATAGTCGTCACTCGTCACAGCTCCGAAATCGGAGCTGGGGCTGCCTATTCCCTCGTAGGCGCTGTTATCACAACGCTGTTCTCGCTTCGGCTCACTCTTGACTGCCGTTGGCTCTTTCTTTTGCGCCGGCCCTTTGTCCAAGAATAGAAAGGCGGAGGAGAGTTGTCTTGCTCATGTGGGTGGGTTTCCCTCCGGCTCAGCATGGAGAACACCCCCCATGACTCGATGACCCAATGTAACTCTCTGATGCCATATGCCTTGGAGTAATAATGAACTTGTTTATCGGAGAATTTTGGCGCCACATAGTATCCCTGAAACCGAGCTCCTAGGCAAAATGCCTAAATGCTAGTATCCAACTTGAGGGGTCTTGCAGGATATTGAGGTGTACTTCGAGTGAAGGACGCTAAACCCGGCCGGAGCCGTTTCAGGTTCAACTTCAGAGCCTCAGGCGGTGCAGGCGACAGGCCAGGCAGCTGCTTCCATTGTCCCACGGCCATGGTCTAAAAGTTGAGGCTGTGCTCAACGTCACCATCAACTGAGCATCATATCATCTCGCAACATGAATAGCCAGCCCCGGCTTCTGTCAAGACCCGTACCGCAGAAATGGCCCGGGATATCAGTGTCGGAGTGGCTGTCAGATTGGCACAAACAAGAGCGGCCGACAAAGGACGCCCAGATTGCCCGGCTAGTCAAGCTCGCTTCCTCGTATGATCCTTCAGAAAAGTGGGCGCCAGAAGGGAGTGCCTTTGCTCTTCAGCAACTTGAAATGCTATCGAAGTCCGACCCACAGGTGTTTGAGGGATGGCTCTCGATTGCACAGCGTCGGCGCGAGCGCGAATTCGAGACCATACTAGCCAAGAGACAAGAACGAACTACCTTAGAGGATCGTACAAGAGAGACTGGGGATCCGCTACCCAGGGATCAGAAGGGGGGATGGACCATACTTGGCGACGGTCTTCGCTATGATGATATCCCTCTTACGGACCCCAATGATCTTACCTTTATCACTGAAAACCCCCGCTTTCTTGGACCGCCACCTGAATACTATAGCGGCTTTGAATCTGCCTGTCGTCGGGGCTCTCTTGTGGCGGCGGAATCCATCATCGCTTCCGAAATCATTACGGCCACCCCCGCTTTCCTTCACCACGGCCTCTGCCTTGCACTGAAGGCTGGCAATGTGGAAGTTGCACGATATTTTCTCGCTACTGGAGCACCTATCGTCCGGAAAACCCCGAATCACATTCTTTCCGCCCCAGTAGACCAGCAGATTCCCCTCTTCCAGCTCTTAGTTGACTATGGCTGGACGCCAAATACCCCCGGTATTTGATTTTCTTTCACCGGGTCATCACGATAAAATAACTAATCCATATTAATTCAGGGACATGGGGCGCAGTTCTACTACCTTCTATTGTGACCAACCACTCCCTCCTCCGGTGGTTCCTGGACCATGGTGCAAACCCTAACCTGGGAGAGCAGGATGAGTACCTTTATGGCGAGCCCACAAGTGACTCATGCGCGGCTCTCGAGAAAATGGCCTACCAAGGGAATCTCGAGGCTGTCCGTATGCTCCTGGATGCCGGTGCCGTGATCCAAAACGGGTTCCCGCTACATGAAGCAGCAGGGGCTTGCCCACCTGGTGGTAATCCACATGCCGGCATGGTCACCCCCAGCGAGGAGTTCGACAGAAGTAAAATCCCCGTTATGGCCCTTCTAGTGGAACGCGGTGCCGACGTGAACCAACTCCAAGGGCCTCAAAAAGGGAACATGGTACCTGGATATGCAATCGTCCACGCTGTCATGGCAGGTGCAGTAGAGCGAGTCCGGTGGCTCCTGGAGAACGGAGCGGATCCCACAGTAAGGGGACCATGGGGAAGCGCCGTGGAGTATGCATGCACGGTAGGGAGCACAGAGATGAGACTGGTGCTTGAAAATGGGGTTGTCGATAAATTGAGCAAAAGACTAGGCCAGGCCTAAGTTTACGCCACTGCTGCAGATTGGGTAGTATCTATCGGTAAAGGCTTTTCAAAACAGTTCGTGTTGATTTGTGATTATACCTATTTGTAAACGGATTTCGGAGATGACCAGAATGGACATAAACACCCAATATCACTTTCGGCATAACCCGGTGCCACAATGATACTTCGGAGTACGGCGCTGGACGGATCTTAATTATGCCGTGGTCTTTGCTTCGAGCTAAGATCGTTTCCAGGGCCATCAATCGGCGGCGCCAGTGATGCGGGAGCTGATAGGTGAATCTTGCAAGCTCAGCTTCCGCGGATAAAATAGACATCCGAGCTCTCATTCGAGGAAAATGGGCGAAGTAAATGAGCGTCGAAGTCGAGATGATTGTTGACGGGATGTAAAGAGACTGCCGCGAGTGGTTGATCCACGCTGACTGGAACCCTGGAAGAATCGTTGGGTCGTGCTCCAGTGACCCCACCTGACTCCAGAACTTCTCCCGGCCGATCGTCACATCGCGTCTCTCCCTTCATTTATCCACCACCTCGAACCGTTACACCCGCTTGCCCAGCATGGAGAAGCAGGTCGAGGATCTATCTGGCAGAGACCAGCTACCTCCCACAACTGGCCATAGCACCCCCCAGCGCCGCCGGGCTTTCCCCCGCCTCGCCGGCTTCCTCGGTATCGCCGCTTGCCTCTGGCTGACTTTCCACTGGCTTCCTATCGCGTTTCCGAAGTTCAAGTTATCTCCGTGTCACCATCATTCTCAAACGGCAGAAGATGGCTTCCCATTCGAAGACCAAGATGCACTCCCAGACTCGGCGACTGCGGATCCAGAACGTATTCCTCTTGAAGCGCACATCATGAGTAAATGTCCAGATGCGCGGGATTGTCTAAGGGAACTTGTTGTGCCGACAATGGAGAGGGTCAGCGACGAAATCGACTTTAAGCTTTCGTTTATCGCAAAGTGGGTGGATTATCCCTTTTACGCTTCGTTATACACAGAACTAACCCGTCAAATTAGCGTCTCAAATAGGTCTTCCGATGTAACGTGCATGCACGGCCCCGGCGAATGCATCGGAAACATGCTCATGCTCTGCGCCGCGAACCTTCCCTTCCCACCAGATGACAGCTCTACACAGGCGACGACGCCCACGGTTCGATACCTCGGGTTCGCGACTTGCCTGATTAGCTCATACGAAGAGATCCCAGAGAGGCAGTTCGTTGAGCAATGTGCTCTGGAGCACGGTATTGACTTTGATGCTCTGAATCAATGCGTCAGCCGACAAGACGACAATCCCAATTTTCTTCACCAGGAAGATGCTCCGCTGAGCGGTATTGCTCTTCTGCGGGAGAGTGCCTATCACAGTGCGGAGCTTGAAGTGACGACGAGCTGTACTGTGCGTGTCGATGACACTGTCTGGTGTATCCGGGATAGCGGAGCCTGGAAAGACTGCGTAATGGATGGCAAAGGTAGTCAGGTGTCGGTTCTTGTTGACGAGATTGAAAGGCTCTACGGGCAGCGGAATTGATTCCCGGTACAGTACAGTGATTATTTTTAATGGAAAATGGCCTTATAGAGCCTTAATGACCCTATATACGACGAACTATATACCAATTATGCTGTATGGTTGCTGGACAGGTTCGCCAGGGCCTGGTTCTTGGAGCGACAACGTTTATTTCTTATGGGTTTAATGAGATTTTTATATTATTATATTCAGTTCGGGGATTCTAATCGCGTGAATGAATACAAACGACCATTAATTTCAAGCTTGCTTTATTACTCCTAGAGGTAAACAGTTCGAACTCTGCAAAATACTTCTAATATTCGATGACATTTGCTTTCTTACAGCAAAGCCGGGTGTGTTTCCAAGGTGGAAGCCACAGCAGAGCACTTTATTATGTTGTGCTGTTACTCCTACAAAGCAACCATCTTAATTCCCTCACGACAGCCAATTTTGCCATGAATGTCGCTGTCGCAGCCAAAACAATCAGCGCATTTGCCATGTTCTTCACAGCTCAAACGCCATTCACCACTATGGGTTAAGAAACACTAGGATCCCATCCCATCCACAGGATAGCAGACTTCCCATAATCTCTATACCATCTATCATCCTACTACAACTACCTCCATACAATGTCCTCCAATCCATCCGCAATGCCCAGTTCCCTCCAGCCCCGCGCCAGAGGCGACGGCCCCCAGAAGCGAGTCGACGAGCTCGCCCGCAAATACCGCCGAGTCAGCAGGCCCAGCTCCATCATGCTCGAGGTCTTCAATAATCCAGATAGCTACTCCATCCTAGTTGCTTCTCTCCGTCGCCACCTCGCGCTTGTCAAGTGCCGCTCGTCAGAGTTCGAGGACTGCCAGATCACAATCTACGACAGGGCTTTGCTCATCCTCTCGGACTACGGCGAGAGCCCGACGGACCCTGGCGTGCTAGAGCTCTACTTGACTGAGTTTCTGGGGATTGTTCCGATTGCGCCTGTCGCGGATGGCAAGAAGGCTGTCTCGAATCATGTTAGGCTGCAGAGTATTTTGGACAGAGGTAAATAAATGTCCATTTATATCCGTGGGAACTCCTCATAACTATCTGCAGCTCAACCGACCCACGAGGACGAGAACGAAAACGCCATAGCCCCAGCCCTAAGCAGCGAACATGGGCGTGATCAGGAAGAATCGCCCCCCTTTGATATTCAAGTGGAGTACGGACGCCACTTCCCCGAACCCTATCTCTATGCGGAGGAGGAGGAGAAAGAGACAATTCCCATCATGGAGGCGAAACAAATAAGCAGGCCTGATGTCCGGGCTGCGCGGCTCCTCGATGTCTACAACCAAGCCAAAGAGGACTACCTCACTACGAAAGCGAGGGACGGCGTGGATAGCCTCCCCGCAATCCGTTTCCTCCGCGACTCAGCCGAGAATACCCTCCGGTATTTTCATGACAACGGACTGTCCCATGATAGTGTGGTCCCGGATCTGGAGCGCACCTTTGCCGTCGCCAGAGACAAGACGGCTCAGATCCTCGGTGGTCGTAAGCGGCACTTTGACGAAGATGCAGGAGGCCAGGGCAAGAAAGGCAAGACCTCTCATTTCCTTGGTGCGCGTAAGCGACACCTTGAATGGCATAGCAAGGGTAGGAGGCATCGGGGTCTGAACAGCAACAGGAGAGCTCGCCCCATTATCGACTCTTACCGCCCCCAAGGCCACTACTAAGGACTTGACAACGCGGTTACGGCGAGTGAATCGTTGGGAGCCAGGATATCATGTACTCTAGTGTGTTGGCTCGTTTTTTCTCTTTTTCTGATATCCTTGAGCTGTGCTGCTTTTGCGCTAGGATTTGTGGATTAGTAACATGATTGGCGGGGGGGAATTGGCGCGATCATCACGCGGCATAGTCACACAGGAACAAGCTGCATCCATCCCGATCCCCCAGGTGGTGGCTGTCGAGCTGCTCATTTACTGCTCTTCCCCCATTTCTTTTTCTGTTTTATCGCCTCAGTCTGTCCAGAGTCTGTCTTTTAGTTGCGTCACTCAATCAGATATGCGTGTTTAGCCTGCATAGTCCCGATCCCCTGAAAATGGCCTCCTTTAGGCCGCCCTTGGCGGGGCCGGCTTCCAACGAGAGCAGCGGTTCCTCAGCATCCAATGTTCAGTATACCCCGGTCTCTGATGGTTCCGTTGAGGGCCAGTCGAGTCGTAATCCCGGTGGGCCCTTGAAGATTCAGACTGACTTCGGCGACGGACAAGATCAGTTCTCTGAAGACGATGGGGACTCGTTCAACTATAATGATGAGGCGCTGCCGAAGTTCAGTCGGCCCAGGGTGCCGAAGTATACTCCTGTCGAAGAACAGCAGGTTGTGAGGAGGTTCGATCGCAGACTGGTCCCATTCCTTGCGCTTCTTTACCTGCTTTCTTTTCTAGACCGTTCAAGTTAGTTTCTTAACCCCCACCCCCGAAATCTTCCAACTTCTATCTTCTGGACAACGTTGACACTGTCTAGATATCGGAAACGCGAAAATTGCTGGCCTCGTAGAGGACTTGAAACTGTCGTCTTCCCAGTATGAATGGCTCTTGACAGCCTTTTATATCACATACATTCTGTTCGAGTGGATGACTCTGCTTTACCGCGTGTTTCCGGCACATGTATACATCTCGCTCTGCGTGTGCGGATGGGGTCTCGTGGCCTCGTTTCAATCACTCGCGGCATCGTTCGGGGCCATGGTCTTTCTGCGCGCAGCACTAGGCATCACAGAAGCAGCATTCGGACCAGGCGTCCCATTCTACCTATCCTTATTCTACAAACGCGAGGAACTCGCATTTCGAACAGGACTCTTCATTTCCGCCGCCCCGTTGGCCTCGTCATTCGCTAGTAGTCTGGCATGGTTGATTGTGAAGACCAGCAGCGATGGACCCATTGCTCCATGGCGAGCCCTGTTCCTTGTGGAGGGTTTTCCCAGTGTCATTGTCGCTGTTTTTGCGTGGTTCCTGATCCCTGACTCGCCTGGGACTGCGTCGTTCCTTGAGCCTCGCCAGCGGATGGTTGCCCAAGCGCGGATGGGGAACGGGGGTAGATCCGATTACCCTGGGGACCGGAGGAGATTCAATTGGAGCGAGGTTGGGAAGACCCTCGCTGATCCCAAGGCCTATATCACAGCTGTACGTCTCCCTCACACCTGACCCACCGTAACAACTAACTAATTAATCAATAGTTCATGTTCTTCAGCTGCAACGTCGCATTCAGCTCCATGCCCGTTTTCCTCCCAACAATCATCCAAGAGTCCGTCCACCCACATCCACACCCGTCCTCCTCACCTGGCAGTCATACAAAAACTAACTTTCTTATCTAGCATGGGCTACTCGTCTCTAAACTCCCAAGCCCTCAGCGCCCCACCCTACCTCGTCGCCTTCATCACCGTCCTAGTAACAGCCTACCTCTCCGACCGCTCCCGCTCCCGCAGCCCCTACCTAATAGCCCACGCCCTAACCTCCGCAACCGCCTACCTCACCATCGCACTAACCGGGCAGTTCCACGTCTCGCTCTCCCCAGCAACACACAAGCTGCTGCGCTACGCAGCCGTGTACCCCGCAACAGCAGGCTTCTTCTCGGCCATCACGCTCATTATCACGTGGAGCATGGACAACCGCGTCGCGAACGAGGGCAAGGGCGCCAGCGTCGCGATCTTGAATGTCATCGGGCAGTGTGGGCCATTGCTTGGGACGAGGCTGTACCCTGCGGAAGACGGGCCTTGGTATGTGCGTGGTATGGCTGTCTGTGCGGGGTTTATGGCCCTTGTGGCTGTTTTGGCGGGCGTGTTGAGGGTTACCCTGCAGCGGGCTAATAGGGAAGGTGTTGGTATGGGCGGTGGGAGAGATGATGGGACGGATCGAGAGCGTGAGGTGCTGATTTTGGGGCCGGGGGCTGCTTCGGCTGTCGTGGGGAGGGAGAAGGGATTTACGTATATTGTATAAAGTAGTGATTGTTTGGCCGTTTGTTATATTGGCGATGTACTGTAGATAAGATCACCCATATCGTGATATAAAGATTCAATGTTTTGAATGAAGCAGCAATTATTATCACTCTTAAAACTAAACCAATAAACAAGCCAAAGGAGACGAAACAACCAACATAACCAGAAACAGAAACAAATCCGCTCGTCAAAACGCTCAGCCTTGGGAACTTGAAAGTCGAAACCCATATTATACACATGCATGCAAGATGGATAGTAGTATGATATGGCGGTCATCATTATGAAATGTTTTTTTTGCTTTGTTCAATTCAATCAATCCCTTCGATCGATCCCAAACCCAAACACCATTTCCTTTCTTTTTGTCTATTGTTCGCTCGTTTGATTAATTATGCAAGGTGGATACTGTTTGTCCTTTTTACCAAGCAGTATGTCCTCCGTCAATCAACATCGTACTCCCAGTCATAAAGCTACTAGCATCACTGAGCGCAAACAGCGCCGCACCCCTGAACTCCTCCGGCGTCGCCAGTCGCCCAAGCATGTTCTCTGCCTCCCAAACAGCCCGCGCAGCAGGCTCCTTCTTAAACACCTCATCCACCATGGGAGTCACAATATGACCAGGGCAAAGCGAGTTTACACGGATTCCATGCCGTCCCCACTCCATTGCCAAGTTCCTGCCGAGCTGGACAACAGCCGCCTTGGAGGAGTTGTAAACGGGCGAGGTCATGCCCTTGTTGGCAATAAGCCCGGACATGCTAGCAACGAGCAGGATGGAGCCCTTTTGCTGGTAGTTGAACATTTGCCGGGCGGCGGCGGTGGCGCTGTGGAAGACACCGTTGTAGTTGATGTCCATGACTTCGTGCAGCATCTTGGGGCAGTGCTCGAGGGCGGACTCGAGGTAGTTGATGCCGGCGGCGGCGATCAGACCGTCCATGCGGCCGTTGTTGGCGGCGATTTCGCTGAAGATGGCGTTTGTTTCTTCGGCATTGCGCACGTCGATGCGGTGGTAGTGCAGACTGCCGCCGTAGTGCTTGTTTGCGTGCTCTGCCGCAAGCTCATAATCGGGGTGTGGGGTTGTGAGGCGGTCGAGGCAGTAGACTGTTGTCCTAGTTAGCATTTCTGTATAGGCCATAAAAGTTGGTTTAGTTGGCAGACTAACCCTTAGCACCAGCTTCAAGCAGGGCTTCGGCCATGGCAAGACCGAGACCGCGGCCTCCGCCGGTGATCACGTAGACGCGGTCCTGGAGGTCGAATTCGCGGAAGCGATGTGTGCCTTCTTTGATGTCCGGGCGCCGGGCCTGGATGTGGTTTGTGTCTTGGTGAGGGTTTGCGGGCTTCGAGGAGTCAGGCCCTGTGGCGTAGGTGAAGCGGGGGACGGCAAAGGGGGAGCGAATGCGGCTCCATGATGCTGATGCCGGAGCAGCGGATGAGCGTGCTGAGCAGAGCGACGAGCGCAGGGGGAGAGACCGGGAGAGTGTGCTGCGCATTGTGGTGGTTGTGAGGGAGTATATAGAGGGAGGTAGGGTTGGAGATAGGGCTGAAGGAGGGAAGGACGGAAGATGAGGTGCCGCCGGAGGTAGGAGAGGAGAGGAGAGGAGATGTGAGAAGCGACACAGGGATTAGAATTAATTAAGAGGGAGAAGAAGAAGAAGAATATGTTCAGTCTATGGAAAGCAAACCCAAGTTCCCTTGAAGGGGACGGGTTTATATCTACGAGCCACCGCAAACGTTACCAAGACCCCTCTCGCACTCGCAATGAACAAAAACAGAAGGGCCCGAGAAAAATTCACGAAAGGGTAAGAGCAAAAATAAAATTAAAATTAAAATCAAATTCTAGAAGGCCGCGTGACTGCCTCAGTTGCAGAGCTTCCTTCATCGTGAAGTCAATCGCGATCCAGAATTGGAGCCATGGAACGTCGGCTCGATCTCGGAGACTCATGCAACAGAGGGCAACGCGTCTCAGACTGCCGCAGGTGACCACCTGGGTGGAGAAAGGAGATAGCTGGGCTCCGTCGAGGCACAGGAAGACACAGCCTGGGGGAAAGGAGGCCGACAGCGGTGAATGGGTTATGCATGCCTCGGAGGATTGATGGGCAGTGGGATGGAAGGCCTCGAAGGGGCTGTGAAGGCAGGGAGCAGCTCAGGTGAGCATCGTGAGATTTCATTTTTGACCTCGATTACCGGAACAGGCAAGCCAGGGTCTGATCGGTCGGGTCGAGGCATGTCGAGTTGTCCACGGGGTGTGCACGAAGTACGGTCCACCCAGAGACACAAACGGGCATCCCGAGATATGGGGGAGAGTCCTGGTGCTATTCTGGTCCTTGCCCGTCGCCACGACGGTAGGGCTGTTCAACAGTTCCATCGCTGTCGCATCGTTGTCTCGCAGCCCAGCACAAAGAAATTATCGGCGGGGAAAATCGACAGCTTTGATGGATTTATTGATGGGTTTGGTGGTGAAGGATGGCTGCTGCTGCCGCGCTCCAATGGGAGACGCGGGCCCGAGTGGTGGTGTCACTCTCGCTGCTGTCAGACCACGCAGACTCGCAGTCCATCGACTCTATACGAACTCTGATTCCAGGATCTCACCATGGTCGACCTGCCCAGCGCGCACTGTGCACTGTGCACCAGACCCCGGAATCTCCCCCAACCTTGATATCGGTCGTTCGGCCGGCGAACCCTGCTTGGCTCTTAGAATAGAAATCATGAACCTGCCTTAGTGCCCATCATCACTGAGCCCTTGCGGTCTTGGCGTTGCTTCAGACTTTTAATTGCCACTGGTCGCCTCCACTGCCTGCATGGCCGCGTCTCGGGCACATGAGATGAACTGGTCGATGCAGAAGAGAGAAGACTTTGTTGTCACGATGTTTTCGGACTCCGAGGGCCTCCCCGGCTCGGGTCCTCGGGTTACCGCTTTAGGACATCCCTGCTGGCCCGACGGAACAACTACAAACAAACTAGGCAATGTTCTCGAAGCGGATCTTTGAGCTCGTCAATCATTCTCATTACATTAGATCGTCAGTAAAGCTCCATAAAATGCAGTTTCGCTATCAGCCCGTACTCCATATCCGCGCGCTACCATGGGGGAACGGTCCCCTTAACCCATCGTGGTCCCAAAGTCTAGCTTCATCAACAGTCGGTCGACGCCCCGAGCTTTGCGCGGCACGAATGAGCAGCCATTTGCATGGCCAAGTGTCCAGCTCCCAGTGGCGCTCGTGGTCGGCTCGAACATCATTTGCCCCTCCTCTGTCCGGCTATCGTCGATGTCGCGCAACCGTGCGACGACCCCGTTGATACCCCTCTCTGTGTCTTCTCGCGCTGCCCTGAGGGCTTGCCATACTTCGCGTTCCTCACTTGCGTAGTCTACCAATGCGTCAACCACCCCCTCATCAGTTTCTAGATCCATGTTGCGCTGGATGCTCTCCAATCGAATCACGAGGGCGATGAAGTGGTCGATCCTTGCAAGTAGAGCCCGCAGAGCTTTCGTAAAAGGTGTATCGTTGAGGAAGAGCGATTGCACTAATGAAAAAATGTACCGGCGGTGCGCAGTCGTGAGGGCTTCTGGATCGTGCCGCCTGGGAGGCGCCGCCTCCGATCCAGGTCCTTCACCTTGCTCATCCGTGGCTGTGGCAAGACCTTGAATCCGCGCCTTTGATGAATTTGCAGTTCCGGGTCGGGATCCGGGCGTCGAACCAGTATCAGACACCCCTGCTTCTATCCATTCACAGAAGTGTTGCCATGACCCATTGATGACTTCCCCTTGGAAAAAGCTTCCTATTTCTGAAAGTACAAACAGGGATGCGCTGCTTGTTGCCCAGATAGCCCGCATCTGGCTTGTTCTAGCATTTTCACGTTGCCTGCCCATTCGGAGTCTACTTTGTCCAAATCGACTATTACTCCGCGGCGGGCCCCAAGGCGATGGGTGGCTTCGTCGGATGGGCGTGTGCTTCCATAGGTTGCCCAACCGAATCTGTGCACGTCTGATGCCAAGCAAATACGAGTGCACTTTGGAATATATTGAAATGTCGGATGCCGATAGGAAGAGGTCCAGGGGTGCCCGCACCTGCACTGATAGGGATGTTGACGTAGGGAAGAGAAGGTCATCAAACGGGACGCTGGAGGTTTCTGCTACTATTTCGGCCCCCGCTTCACCTGATAACAATCCCTGGCTGTCTTCTTTCGTTTTGAGAGAGAGCCGAACAAGCTCCGTAGCGAGGTCAAGCTCATCATCTACGGGGTCTTCTTCATTTTGTAAGGAGTACAGTTCCGCCCAGGTGTTGGTCAGTGTTGTCGCTACGTCGCCTTCCTTGATAGCAAGCCCGTCGACGCTGTTCGATACAATATTCCTGGTGGCCGTGGTCTCTGGTATCCGCTGTCGTTCTCGTAGCCGCGCGTCAGCATGTGATACTAATGCTGTAGCAAATTCACCACGCCGTAAGAGTAAAAAGTCGTGCAAAAGTGAAAGGATCTCCAGGATCTTGGGAAGCGGTAATAATTTTGAAAGCGTGCTTTGTGACAGCGACGTCCTAATTGAGTCGACAGCGGCCGATAACTTTGAAGCGGATATAGGTGATTTTAGCCCAGCAAGGTGATCGATGTGTTCTCCATGTAGAGTGACTGGTGACGTTAAAAGAGCGTCGGAGGTATGTCCGCTGGAAGGACCCCGCTTAGCTCGGATAAGATTCAAGGTCTTCCCTATGAACCATATCGAGGCAGCGGTATGCGGCGAAACAAATTGAGGGATTAGTCTGGTATGGATTGCAAATTGGTCGCCCGGAACCGGTCCTTCCACCCCATTTGCATCGGTCTCTTGAATGAAAAAGTCGCCTTTTCCCAGAATAGGGAGGTTTCCATAGAGCAGCCATGTAGACAGTTGCCTCATCCACGCAGTTTCTGCGGCGCTGACCAGCTGCAGCGCGATCTCTTCGATGTCGACATATCCGGTCTGCGACTCCCCGCGAAGATGGTCTATCAGACCCGCACCGGTGCAGCTCTGAGACTGATCCTTCTTGTTTGTCGGCTGAATAAACCGCCCAACCCCCCACAGCCATTCCAATCTTCGTGTCCAGGGTTTGAATTCGCCGACAACCGTCGCGAGCGGGACTATTCCGTAGCCTCCCACATAGCCACTATCCTCGACCAAGATGGCTTTCTCCACCTCAAGTATCTTCTTCTGGAATGCATCGAGATGGTGACTCCGAATAGCAGTGGAAACGGCGCGACATATAACCGACGGATGTGATGAGCAGATCAGAGCCGTGTGCGCGCGAAGCCGAGCATGAAGGCGGCTCAGGCGGGCGAGTGAGGTAAGGAGTGCTTTTTCCGGGGGCGAAAGGAGCGGAAAGGATTCTTCAGCGACGAAATCTTCTTCGGTTTGGAAGCTGAAGAGAGACGACTGCTGGCCGGAGAGGGAGAGGAGGATCTCGTGGAGCATCCTGGCTGAAGCTCTCTACGGCGTTTGCGGTTAGTTAGTGTTCCAGGCAGCGGGGAGAACTACGACAAGCACTTACACTAGGCGGTATGGCTGGTCCTTGCTGCTCTGCACCGACTTTTGGCGTTGCCAGTACAAAAGCCCACTTCCCAGGATCTCAAGCCGACACATGTAAAAGAGAATGCGGGTGCTATCATAGGGAGTTTGTATTCCGGACCGCCGAGCTAACTAGAGTATTCCACGCGTGACATTTATCGACAGGAAACGCGATGGAGAGCAATTACGGCTGTTGGAGGGGCGTCTAGTTGTTTCATGGGCGGCAATCCGGAGGTAGCTTTCGCTAAGTACCTCGGATCCAGGGGAGGTCTAAAATTGCAGGTGGTTCTCTCGTCCTGCGATCACAGGTGCACTTCACCAACCGAGCAGGAGCCACGGCCGCCAAGACCAGCCAGTTATACAGTTCTCGCTCCAGAGATGACTAACATTGTACATTCCAATTCACATTCTATCCGTCGCTCTATCAATAATACAATTCATCCGCAGTGATCGCAAGTATTTGAAAATCAGTTGCCTCTGGCGTCAACCAAGTCCCGCTAAACAGTGTGGCTCTCCTTGATCAGATCGGAAGCCTTCTCAGCAACTGCATAGAGAGTGCTCATCAAGTGCCCGCAGAGCTGGAATGGCAGAACCGACGCATCAACAACACGGACATTCTTGGTGCCATAAACCTTCAGCTCGGTGTCAACAACGCCGCCATTCTCTCGTGGGAGCATACTGGCAGTGCCGACCGGGTGGTAGTTGGGGCGATCTGGATACGGGTTAGCGATAGTCTAGATGTCTAGATGTGCTCAACTCAAACACTTACAGTTTGCATTAACCCATTTCTCCCAGGTGGAGTTTGAAGCGATTTCAGGAAGAGCGTCCAGTCCTGGAGAAACCTCGTCTCCCACAATACCGCTCAGGGGTGCAGTACCGAAGGCCTTGCGGATATACTGAGCCACGACGACTTGAGCTTCAGCATCTTGTCCAAACATGAAGTAGTTCGGGTTAATCGCGGGGATCTGCGAGGCATTGGCAGATTTAATGTGGACATTACCCCGCGAGAAAGGAAGAAGAGGCCAGAACTCCGCGGCAAACGATTGTCCGCTAGGAGAGAAGACGATTTCTGCATATGGGACCTGCGACTTGAAGACCAGGTCGTACTGAAGCTTGAACGCAGTCATGAGATCGGACTCCTTCACTACGCCATTCGAGGCCTTTGATACGGACTTTGCGTAGCTGGCGAGGTTGGCTTTGACAAATGATGCCAGAGCAGTGACATTTTTGCCGTATATTTGGTTGACAGAGGGCAGAGCGGAGAATGTCGCAAGGCCGGTCCAAGTCTCTCGACCTTCCCAGGAGAGGCCATTGTTCGTTTGATCCTGCAAGTTCTCACCAACAGTGGGGAGATTCACCTTCACAGGGATGTTATACTTGCGAAGAATGTCCGGGTTTCCAACGCCGGACAACTCAAGAAGCGCCGGTGACCTCAGCGCTCCAGCCGACAAGACGACCTCCTTGGAAGCATAGATTTTCTGCACCCCATGGATGCCAGTAACCTCAACTCCGATGGCAACAGCATCACCATTGTCGGTGTCTGCCCAGATAATCTTGTTGGCAGTTGTGTTAGAGATGACCTTCAGATTAGACCTGGCTTTGTATGGCCAGTAATAGGCTCTGGCAGCATCGTCGCGAACATTGTTTTCTCTGTCAACGGTGTCAGGATGGACCGTGAATCCAACCATCTGGCCTCCCTCGGAGTCGCGGTTGTGATGGACGCCCAGCTTCTCAAAGGTCTTATTGAGAACAGGAAAGACACTGCTGTTGGTCATTCCTGTAGGCCAACCGACCTTCAGAGGCCCCTTAGTCCCATGATAGTTTGCGTCGTAACTGGCACCATGAGCAATTTGGTCTGCAGTGGGCACCTGGAACCCTTCCGACTTCTTGTAGTATGGGAAGAGACTCTTCCAGTTCCAACCCTTGTTCCCAACAAGTTCCCAGTTATCGATTTGCACGTCTTCCGCTCGAGTATAGGACATTCCTGAAAGGTGAGTCTTAGTGGAAGCCCTAAAGCACACACTTATGAAGCAAAACAGAGCAAGTCTTACCATTGATAGTACTTGTACCACCAAGAGCCTTTCCGGCACGAATAGTTTGCTTCAGGCCTCCAGCATATGTCTGGTTCTCGGTCTGGTAAGCCCAGTCGACCTCGCTTC